AGTTTTTTCAATTTTGTATATCCTTCTTTTTCTTATCTAGTAGGAACTTAAATTGCTGCCTTTCAAATGAATAACAGGTTTATGGAATTGGGTGCTATTTTGGAGCCTGGAAATCCTCCCAAAACAGACAAGGCTGCTATCTTAGTTGATGCTGTCCGCATGGTGACACAGCTACGGGGCGAGGCCCAGAAACTGAAAGACTCCAATTCAAGTCTTCAGGACAAAATCAAAGAGTTAAAGGTGAAATTTGTAATCCTCCTTTTTCCCCATAAAATCATCGAATGCTTACTAGTTTCTGGTTCATGTAAATCAGACTGAGAAAAACGAGCTGAGAGATGAGAAACAGAGGCTGAAGACAGAGAAAGAAAAGCTGGAGCAGCAGCTGAAAGCCATGAATGCTCCTCAACCAAGTTTTTTCCCAGCCCCACCTATGATGCCTACTGCTTTTGCTTCTGCGCAAGGCCAAGCTCCTGGAAACAAGATGGTGCCAATCATCAGTTACCCAGGAGTTGCCATGTGGCAGTTCATGCCTCCTGCTTCAGTCGATACTTCTCAGGATCATGTCCTTCGCCCTCCTGTTGCTTAGTCAAGAAAAATCATCAACCGGTTTGCATCTTGCTTCCGCTTAAAAGAAAAGTCTCCATTTGTTTTGCTCTCCTCTTTCTCGGCTTTCTTAGTCTTATCGTTGCTTTTGCTTTGTCGTGTTATCATCGTAACTCTTATCTGTTGAACAATGATATGACATTGTAAACTCCAATTGCTTCGCGCAATGTTATCTATTCACATGTAAATTTAAGTAGAGTTTGGCAGATCGTCTCTCACTTTATGTGTTCTTACATTAATACATAGAATGGGGTTACTTTCTCGCCATAAGAGTTTGAAAGTACAAAAAATTAGAAACATGAGAGACTGAAGAGACCGCAAAACATGATCCGGTAGAGAAGTGAAAACTCCATTGCAGAAAAGTTTGCTCCTATATTTTGATCTGTGAATCTCCTCTCTGGGTGCCAATGTAGAAATTGGGTTTTGGTTTGTGATTATCATGATGCTCTAATGTGACAGCTCTTGATGAACCTGTCAGAGGAATCAAGATACTTGGCCCAGAGAGGACGTAGATGAGGAAATGCTATATCCAGCCAAGGCTTAGCTCTTCCATTGAAATGAACAACGGCGGCGCTTTCAGCATCAGCATAGCTCGTGGTCTCTTGGTATCCGAGACCAAGCATATGCCAGAACGGATCTATGGTTTGGACATGGCCGTGGAAAGCTATCAACCCGGGAGGCAAAGTTCCCAGCTGCCACAAACTCAGGTCTGATTTTAAGTTCTGCAACACATACATGAAAACAGTTTTGAATTAATATGATTACTGCTTGATAGTGATTGTTGGGTAGTTAGTGGTTTCCATTTACCTCGTCAAGCCAATGATAGTAAGTGGAGCTTATGTTAGTCCTCCTCCAAGCTGCTAGGTCGAAAACATTCATTCCGTAAGCCCAAGCACATTCCTCTGGATCGAAGTTTCTGGCAATTGTTGGGTTTGAGAAGTTGAGGTAACTCTTGAACTTCTTTGACATCACAAACTTGTCTTCTCCTCGACATGTCTCTACTGCACCATTTACTTTCCCATTCATGTCAATGTCCCAAAGAGGTGTAAGATCAGTTTGGATCACAATGTCATCGTCTAGAAACACAACCTTGTTTAGGCTCGGGAACAACTGCAAAAAGAAAGAAAGCAAACACGGTTTTAGGTTTGCGGGTCTAATTGTGTTGAGTATTGAGTAATCTTCACCAGTCACAGATCAAACTTACCTCTGGTAGATGAATACGGATGTGATTCATCAAAGAGTTGTATTTAGGGCTAAGAGCTTGTAACTTAGCAGCAACAACAACTGGATTCTCTTTGTTATTAGCCACAATAACCGATGATCCGCCTCTGAATTGAGACCTCACTCTCTGATCTTTCTCCATAGCTTCCAAAACGGGAACTTTCCCTTTCGATAACCAATCGAAATGATGCAAAGCCTTGACCTCAATTATTGCTGGAGACAGAGGATGCAATGAGAACCAAGCTTGCATTGGGAAATAAGTTTTCCTATCCGTTATGATGTGAAGAACGATCTTATGAGGTCTTAAAGCGTTTTTAACCAAAGACTTAGCCACGACCGAAGCTGCAAGAATATTGTCTGAAGCCAAGACAAAGTGAAAGTAGTTGTTGTCAACTAACATTGGGACTAGCTCAGCTTCTGGAAGCTGGAGACGCGCAGCTGCGTTTATCGAATGCTCGTTGGCTAATTTAAGAGCTAAACAGTGAAGTTGTTTCGGTATACTGCTTGATGCGACGTGTCGATATAAATACTCTTGGATCTTAGCAGTTCTTGTTCTCTGTTCCATCAATGTCACCATTTCTTTTAGCTTTTGAGCAAATTCTCTTGCGTCTGATTTACTTCTTTTGACTTCAAACATGAAATCTTGAAGTGTTTGAGGTATATCTGATCTTCCTTTGAGTTCTTGTTCACTTAAAGGCTGTTCTAAAACTTGATACATAGCTTCAGGAACATTCTAGATAAATAACCAAAGAAAATTAACTTTTTAATCTCAGTAAATGTAAATGTGTTCAAAAGTATGAAACTGAAGTTAGAGGACTTACACCAGAATCAACCCTTCTTCTTCCTAAAAGTTTTGGCTTTAGTCTCTTCCCCAAGCAAGCTGTTAATTTAAAAGGTAATTTTTTGGTCTGATGTTAAAATGATGTGTAATTATGAGATTAAGTAAATTAATCTCTTTAGGTCACTTGAAATGTCTTTAAATATTTAATTAAGCTTGACCATAACAATACAAAATCAACCTGAAACAAACCGACCAGCTCTTGGATTATTCACTTTTAAGAGTAAATATCTAGTAATTATTCCACTTCTTCGTTTAGATTATTGTTTTACATGAACTAGAGCATAATATAAAATTTATTTCTCAGCTCGACGTAATTATATTGCTATTTTTTTCAACATGTAAGAAAATATCTAATGTGTTTTTTGAAAAAACGAAATCAAGAGTTTACATAAACATTATTTTACATAAATTCCGGATTTAGAAAATTAGGAAATAAAGAAGAAACGTACCAAGAGAGGAGCAAGGAGAGGGATCGCCGTCGATAGTATCAACGGTGGAGAGAACAAAGACGAATCGGAGAAGAAAAGTGAAGAAGAGTAGAGAATAAAACATCATTTGATAAGAAAATCTTCTAGAACCAACCTTCACTTTTATGAACTCTCTCAATCCTTTCCCTGTGACCACAGTCACATGTCTCAAGCTCGGAGATATATGCAACTGCATGATCTCTCTGTTTCTCCTCTGTTTCTTTGTTTATGTCTTTGTATGGTTTTGTCTGAAAGGAGATGGATGTTCCAAGAGGGAAACTGGACCTTACGTTGTTATGTATTGTATGATTATTCATATAAGGGGTCCATATCATTTACCTAACCTTGCTTTGTGTTTAGGTTATTAATGGCAGATCATAACTCTGATGTTTCTTGTGAATAAAAAGGAAACGTGTGTTGGTTAGAATTAGAAACACCACGGTTTTATGTTACCGGTTTTCTGTATTTGTTAGGAAGCTTCGGTTTTTCTCGGTTATGCGCTATTCGGTTTTCGGTTCGAATCTCTAAGCTGGTGGAATCAATATAAATGTCACACATTACTTTGATTACTAAATCGAGTCACTAATATTGCTGTTTATGTAATCTGATTCTTTTTGGCACGTATTGGTTTTATCGGTTAGGTGATTTGGATTTAGGGTTTTCTATTTGTTTTTGTATGAAAAACTTAGTTATTTTCCGGTGGACTACTCGTAATACCACTCCGTTCAAATCATGAAACTCTTGTCACACTTTTTCTTTTTATGATTACTAAACCGTGAATTTTTTTGGTAGTTCAACATCTTCGGTATTATTCGGTTCGGTTAGGGGATTTGGATTTAGGATTTGGCTTTGTGTTGAAGGAGGATAGTTGGAGAGAGAAAGACAAGTCAAAGGCAATGCAACACACAGATGTTTAAAAAATTGAGAGTGTAGATGAAAAGGAGCTGTTTGGTGGTTACAAGACATAACTTTACATCTAAATAAAGTCTTTGAACAAAGACATTGGAGCTTCAACTTCAGAATTTACTTTTTGAGGACTAATTTCTTCTCTAATTTCGATTGCGACCTTTTCTCTCTGAAGTTATTTTATCTCACCCCCACCAAAACAAGAAGTCTTTGTATTTAAGACTTTTTGCCTTTCCAGTGTAATGATATTTGAATGTTTCATTTTCTAAAATGGAAACATTTTGGGCCTATGTCTACGGCCTCTATGAGATAGATACCATTACCAATAATATCTTGTAGGAAAATAACCCGAAAAATGAATGTATTTCTTTTTTCTTTGTTGAAATGTGATATTAATTAACAATAAAAATCAGAGATTATTTACAAGTGGAACAAATAACTCAAGTACTTGAAACGTTAAAATCCAGACTATAAAATGAATCTATGTAATTTATATGCTTGAATTTTTGATAAAGAATCTCTTTTTTTGGTATAAGATATAAATACTAAAAAAAAAAGAATAATGTGGTCAATTTAGCGGCTAACAAGAAAATGTTACCAAACGACTAATGAATAAAAGATGGAGCTTGTTGAGAATATCTAGGATTTTGTAGTCATGTATTGGGAACATTTAGGAGGAGAGAGCCTGACCAATCCGAAAACATTCTTTCAAAATGTATTTTTAATTTAACAATAATTAAAGGGTGGTATATTTGACATTGCGATTTTTTTTAATATGTGGGAAAATGGTAAAACATTAGTATATTTTTGTGAGGAATGGATGAAGAGATATTCTAATTGAACATATAATTGTTGAATTTTTCAAGGGTGGACTTTTAACGGATGTTTCTTGGAAAAAGAAGAAATAAACTTATATTAACAGCTCAGATGACTCTTAAACCAGCATTGTTTTTAGAGATGGCATCAAACAATTATTTAAAGCAACACATCAAGTGATTAAATCTTACCTAATCTCCGCACTGTTACAAAGAAAATGCTAATGATTCAAGATCCAAGTCTCCTCAAACCTTTGGTGAAGAAGAGTTCTGCACCAATTATCGATGCTATCCTCAGAAACGACGTGTCCACTTTACTCATTCTCGCCGAGGAGAAACCGTCGGTATTGTGGGAAACATATCATTGGGAGACTCTTGGTGGGACGGTTTTGCACCTCGCAACTAAGCTTGGGCATAAGGAAATTGTGGAGACAATAATCAAGCTCTCTCCTTCTCTTGTCGTTGTCACCAACCTCAGTGGTGACACTCCTCTTCATGTTGCTGCTCGTTGGGGGCATGGAACCATCATGACTCAGATATTAGCAGCTGAAGATACAGAGTTCACGGCGCTCAACGAACGAGGAGAAACAGCCTTTGTCGTGGCTTGCCGCTACAATCACCCTGATGCTGCTAGTCTCATTCTCGAAGAATTACCTTTGATTACGATCGGGGAATTTTGTGCGACCATTTTTGGAGAATACATAGGTCAGTTTCGAGAAAATAAACTTACATTTTACTTTTTAAATCCAATGAAAAAAGTTTTTAAACTAAAGTTATAGGAATAGTTAATAACTAAAAGCTTAAACTTCTAGTTACATTTTTAAGAGAAAATTAATTTGAAAGAGAAAAAGGGACAAGAATTGAGCTTTTGCATGAAACATAAAAAAAAAAAAAAATCAATTACTATAGGTAAAACTCACGAATAAAGCTAAGAAAACAAAATTTAGTATTATATTTTGTTTGATTTTATTATATTTTTGACCTTTGACTATTCAAACGTCAAACTAGAGTTAGCAAAACGAAGAAAACTTAAATAATGAGACTGTTGTTAACTCTAAACTAATCAATGGAATAAATATGATCTATGGTTTTAGTAGTATTGAAAACCATTTAATATTAATATATAAAAGCTATTAAGCTGAGTTGAATTTGTTTGGACCGATGATCAGATCTGGCAACGAAAATCCTGGCGAGGTTCCCAAACATAGCTAAAGAGGTTGATGGAAAACTATCCACGCCATTGCATTATGCGTGCAATGTAGACAGCAAAGTGATGGTAAAAATGCTGCTAGAGGTTGATGAAGGACTAGCAGAAAGAGTGAACAGAGACGGGATCACACCTTTACATCTGGCGATTATGAGATGTTCAGTTGCAATCCTGGAGGAGTTTTTTGACAAGGCTCCGACGTCTTTTAACATACTCACATCAGCACAAGAAACCGTCTTCCACATAGCTGCTGAACACGAAAACATTGAAGCATTCATCTTCATGGCAGAGAATTGTATTGATAGTAGTTCAATTCTCCTCCAGGTAGATGGCTTGGGGAACACTGTACTACACGCTGCTGCCAGTTCCAGCTGCCATCCTGTGAGTTCTTTTTTTTTCTTCTTTTTGCTCTAATTGTGTATGATAAGTATTTTTTGGTAAACATGTGAAAAATTAGACAAATTGTGTATGATAAGTTGGGATAACTTATAGACACTAAAGCGTTAATCTGGCTATTAACTGAATGTATTACAGGTGATTTTGTACATCATTTATGAAACAACAATAGATCTCTCTGCCAAGAACAACTTCGGTTCTGAAGCCGTTGATCTTGTCAGCATAGATGAGGAAAATTATCTTGTGATATGCAAGTGGCTCAAGGTTGACGCAAAACGAATTCGAGACCCTCAAGTTCAAAATCGTAGTCAAGGGAACGGGTATAACTACTGGGGAATGTCATCAGAAACCGAATTAATAAATAGGATAATAAAACTTGAGAGGCGGATGACAGAAACGTATAGAGACCCTACACAAAGCGAACGTGAGATGCATGCAGAGGCATTGCAAAGCGCAAGGAACATGATCACGATAGTAGCAGTTTTGATTGCGTCGCTTGCTTTTACAGGCGGCATAAATCCTCCAGGTGGCGTCTACCAAGAAGGACCCTCTATAGGAAAATCGACTGCGGGGAAAATGCTTGCCTTCAAGATCTTTTCAATAAGCAACAACATTGCGTTGTTCGCATCGCTATGCATTGTCGTTCTTCTAGTCAGCATCATACCTTACAGGACGAAACCACTCATGAAATTCTTGGTTATAACACATAGGATGATGTGGGTTGCTGTTATATCCATTGCTATTGCTTATGTAGCGGCGGCTTGGGTAATTGTACCGCATCTCAGAGGAACGAGGTGGTTGTTTTACGCCATTCTTGCTATCTCTAGCGTGACATTAGGGGGTTTGTTTGTGTATTTAGGCTATAAGTTGTTTAAACACATGTCAAAGAAGACAGAATGGAGGAGGAACATGTCCACAGTCCCTGTAGTTCCTAACACTTCTGGAACAGTCAACTGGATTAGTGCAGCCTCAGATAGGGGAGCCGCTGGTGGGGAAGGTTTTTACATCTACTGAAATATGTAATGAAGCACACATGGATTTGAGCGTGTTAGTCCGAACTTAGAGAGTTTGAAAACTGTAATTATATATATTCTCATCATGTCATGTGTATTATACCCTTTCTAATAATAAAAAAGCTTGCGAAGCTCTTCATTTACTTGTTGGCAGTTATTTGTCATCGAGTGCGCATATAACGTAATCACTGCATATTTTTCTTTTTTCAACGAATGATACTAATTGCATTGTTTTGTTGATTTTGATATGTTTTGTTACTCCTTTTAAGAGTTTAATTTGCTAAAAAGGATTTTTGTAGGAGTGCTACAAGAAAAGAGTTTTCTTGAAGTTCATGATTAAAATGCTCTAACAACAATATTTTCTCTTTTATCTTGGATGCTCTTTTCTTCTTACTTGTGTGTGTGTGTGTGTTTTTTTTTTTCTTTTTCTGCTTTTTTCTTTGTGCCACTACCCACCTTCACGCGTACAGCAGAGAGGAGGTTGGGATTAGCTTCGACGGTGGTAAAGTTTGATGAGGGTTAAACAACGTCACAGTCAGAGTTAAGATTTGAAGGAAATAAAATTATTTATCAAGTGGAATATATATAGTACATTTTAGTTGAATATATATATAGTTGTTGCATTCAAGGGACAATTTATTCATTTTAGTTGTCGTTTTAGGACTTAAATTTTGTTTCATAATAGTTGTCGTTTTAGGTTTTCAATGCAGATGTTTGGTGAAAGTTCTATTTTTATCCCTACTGTTTAATTGTATTGGCCAATGAAAAAATTATAAAATATATTAATAAAGGATAAAACAATAAATTTAATGGTTTTCTTAATTTGTGTGAGAAAACTTTAAACGACATGTAATTTGAAACGGATGGAGTAATAAGTAACGCAATTCCATAGAAATCACATCCGACATATTTTATGATATATTCACGCGTCTAATCACGTAACTATAAAAATCATTCATTCCATAATATTTTAAGTTTATGTATTGTGTGTTCTACTTTAATTTATGATAATGATATCAATGCAATGATATAGAACAGCAAGTCAATCACGATTTTCAGATCCACCAACTTCCATAAAATTAAGCGGTACACGTTCCACCTACATTGTGGAACCTTCCTTCTATCTTCGTATTCTTGACCAATTCATCACATATTGTCAAATTTTCATTCGAGTTGTACTAAAACTATAAGTTTCTATAATTGTTTTATCGTTTTCTGAATGAATTTTCCTGCGTCCGATCCTCTACATTTTTTAATTTTTGTTATAAAATAAGAGGCGAGATAATATGCTCACTATTCCAAATTTGAATTTTTGCCAAAAAAACAAGATTCTATTAATTTATTGAATTATTAATTTATCGATAAATTAGTAGTAGAAAAATGAGTCTTTCATAATTTTTTTTTGTTATAATTAATATTCTTCTTAAAAAAATAATTTTTTTTTTATATAAAAACAGCTATTATGTATAAAAACAATAAAATATTTAAAATAGTAGAATTAAACTCTACCAAGAAATAATGTAATTTTTTCAAAAAAAACAATACTGGAATCATATTTCGCTAAAAAAATTAGATATAATTTATGTAAATATCTATATTGATAAATTTATATAATTATTAATTTATTATATTAATGGGACTATATGTCTACATAAGATTTTCCAAAAAAAACTATTATTTTATCGATTTGTATTATTTTTTACATTGGTCCTTACTCCAACGATAATAATTTAGTAATTTATAGAGATTATTAATTTATCAAATATTAATTTATAGAAGTTTTACAGCATTACAAGATAATAACTAGGAATATATGAATTACGGAAATTGAGGGCCTACGACCCAACATTTTATTTTTTAAAAAATCTCATTATTGACAAAAAAGTACTGTACTAAAAAGTAAAAAGTCAAATTATCATACCAGTCTCTCTCATTTCGATCCGCTTATGCAAGTTAAGATTTCTTTTAAAAAAAAAAAAAATTGAAAGAAAAAGTTAAGAAATAATTCTTAGATTAATAAACGGGATCATAAATAAAAAATTATTTACCATACGTTCAACGGAACTGATTTGAACAATATAACTATATTTTAGCTTAGAGCCAACAAGATCAATAATTTATCTTTCTTAATTTTTTCCTGTTTTTGGTACATCAACAGAAAGGTTCTTTGCCTTCTCTTTAACAAAACTAAATTCTTTGAATTTTCCAGTTGACTTTCATTTAGATGTTTCTTGGAAGAAGAAGAAGTTATATTAATTTTATAATTTATGCGAAGATAACAGCAAAATCAGTTTTAAACTGAAATTGACGCAAGAAACCATTCATTCTCCGGCAAACAGTGTGAGAACATCAAGAAGTTAATTTTAATGACTACACCAATCTTCAAAGCCGTCTTGAGAAATGACTTGTCAGCTTTTCTCGATCTCATCCAAGCAAATCCATCAGTGCTCGAGGAAAGATATGATGGGGAGAGTTTCCGGGGAACGGTTTTGCACTTCGCTGTGGAAGCGGAACATGGAGAGTTTGTGGCAAGGATAATCGAGGTTTGCCCTTCCCTTGTCCGATCAACTAACTGTGATGGCGACACACCTCTTCATTCAGCAGCCCGTTTGGGACAAGTGAGCGCTGTGACGCAGATATTAGAGTCTGGACAAGCTTTGTGTATGGCTCTTAACAGCCAAGGAGAAACAGCGTTAAACTTGGCCTGCGCCAACAAACACCTTGATATTGCGGGACTCATTCTGGAAAAAACTAGTTCGATCACCATCGTGGAATTTTATGCCACCATTAAAGAAGACTCGACAGGTATATTATAGAGTACCCTATTCCCTATATATTATATGTATAATGTATGTATGTTCCAATTCACATGCATTGGATGACTGTAATTAAGAGGGCTACGTACATATTCTTTTGGGTTGAAACATTGATGAATATTTTGTTGAAATTCACTCACATTTATGATATGTATAGAATGAAACAAAATTAATTATATCCCATCCATATAACAAATTTATAAGGATATATATTTTATATCATATTTGGTATGACCGTGAGTGGAATAATTCTAATAATATCATATTTCATTTATTTTTCTTAAGTTTGCCTTTTGAAGCCAATAACTTGATAAACAAAAAAAAAAGGAAGTATAAAGTTTTCTCTAAATCCACCCAGAAAATAAATAAAACAGTGGGTCTTCCCCCTAGAGACCAGATGATGGTCGTTATTTGCACCCGTATGGAAGTGAAATTAGGTATATCAGTTAAGTTGCAAAATTCTCCTAGTTACTTTCAACCACTAGTCCACAAATAATGTTTTGTCCATTTGAAATATTGTGTTAATTAGTATTTCAAAGCGACTTAACTCACTCTAGTGTGTTTATGTGTGGACGGATGATCAGATCTCTCAAGGAGAATGCTAGAAAAGTTCCCAAATCTAGCGTGGCATGTTGATGGAGAATTTTCCACACCGTTGCATTATGCATGCGATGTCGGTAATCTTGATATAGTAAAGATGCTGCTAGATCTTGATGAAATACTTGCAGAGAGGGTCAATAGAGATGGTATCACACCTTTGCATTTGGCGGTTATGAAATGCTCAGTTACAATCTTGAAGGAGTTTTTGGACAAGACTCCAAGATCTTTCAACACACTCACACCAGCAAAAGAAACTGTCTTCCATCTAGCTGCGAAACACCAAAACATATCAGCCTTCATTTTCATGGCACAGAATTCAGACATAACCGAACTTCTCCACCGGATGGATAAACAGGGCAATACTGTTCTACACACTGCAGCCTCCGTAGCCTGCCTTTCCGTAAGTGTTTCTTCTTTTGCTTCACAATATCTGCTGGAATCGGTTATAAGAGTTGGGTCCAAACCAAAACCACATTTTTTCCCTTGGGTTGAACAAATGTTAGTTTGAGAGTTGGTTGTTTTTGTAGCGTTTGTAAGGTTTTGTTAAACCGTTATAAAAGTTTGTTTCAATCTGCTTCGAAAACTATCCATACAAAAATTTATATCCATGATATGTTTCCTCTACTAACTTATAAAGATGTGAAAGCTTTTAAAACATCAAGAAAATAAAGTTCATATCGTATTTTGCTTCTTATGAATTCCATTAATTAATATTTTCCAATTTTAAAAAGCGCAGGTGGTTACCTACATTATTTATGAAACAACCATAGAGCTCACAGCCAAGAACAAGTGGGGTTTGGAAGCTGTTGACTTAGTCAACAAATATGATCATCGTTATCTAACCAGCTTGCTCAAGCTTGATGCAGACCAAATTCGAAATCCTCAAGCCCGGAGTAAATTAGAAACTAAACCCCAAACTCATACAGTGATACAAACATATGATCCCCAACTTCTGTATATGATGAATAGTGTCAAGAAGCAAATCAAGACAGATCTTCCAAACAGGGAACGTGAGATGCACGCAGAGGCATTACAGAGCGCAAGGAACACAATAACAATAGTAGCGGTCTTGATTGCAACAGTTGCTTTCACATGCAGTATTAATCCTCCCGGTGGCGTCTATCAAGAAGGACCTGCCATAGGAAAATCGACTGTGGGAAGAACGTTGGCCTTCAAAATCTTTTCGATAAGCAACAACATCGCCTTGTTCACATCGCTATGCATTGTCATTCTTCTGGTTAGCATCATACCTTACAGGACGAAACCGCTCATGAAATTCTTGATTATAACACATAGGATGATGTGGATTGCTGTTACATCCATGGCTACTGCTTATGTCTCAGCCGCTTGGATAATTGTACCGCCTCTTGGAGGAACAAAGTGGTTGTTTTACGCCATTCTTGCTATCTCTAGCTCCACACTGGGAGGCTTGTTTGTGTATCTTGGTTATAAACTGGTTACACACATGTCTAAGAAGACAGAGTGGAAGAAAAACATGTCCTCTGTTCCTGTAGTTCCTACGACTAGTGTAGTTAACCCTACGACTACTGGAGCAGACAATTGGGCTAGTGCAGCCTCAGACAGAGGAGCGGCTGCAGCGGAAGGCTATTACATCTATTGAACTCTGTAATAAAAGAGAAACTCGTAAATTTGGAGCGTGTTAGCTCCCTTATTAAAATTCTACATTCTCATGGCTCTCATATCCTCAGAATCAGACTTTGGTTTTCCTAAGAAAAAAAAAAGTATATCTCAGATTCTTTGGTTGGATCTCTACTCTGAATTCTTAGCATATGCTTCTAGAGCTTCTTAATTACTAAGTAATGGAAACAAATAATAATTTCACTACACAGATTTTTACTCTCCCAGTTTGCTATTCTGACATCCGAATGTTTGGGAAGAGTACGGTACACCATATTCATGTGCATTAATTCCCTCTCTTTCCAATTAATTTAAGTTTTAGAAAGAAATAAATTGTGTCAAAAATTAAAAAAAATATTCTATGCATTTTTATTAGTTATTGATAATGAATTGTAAACTTCAAAAAAAAAAAATTGAATATTATTTGTTTATAGTCACAAAAAAATGATGTATTTATAATTAACTTTTAATGTGCTTTCTTAATAAGTGTGAAAAGCTTAACAATTAGATTATTTGGGAAGACTCATAATTATTCCCTTTAGAAAAACCAAGGAGCAGGGCAAACAAGAAACATCAAAAACATTTCCTAGTCTTCAAAATGATGCTTGAAAACAAACTTAAAATGATATTTGTCAGTTAAACACGCGACAGTCGCTACGGATGTTTCCTTGCTGGCTGGTTTTGATGCCAACGCGGCCGAGTTTTCTCATGGAGATGACAAAGGCGCGGTTGAAGGCAAGTGAGTCGTTAGCCCAAGCATCAACGAATGGTCTAGTGCGGTTGTCGGTGAAGAGAACCTGGTCGGAGGTGAAGAGTCCATTGCCCTGTTGCAGATTTTTGAAGTAGATGTTGTCGAACTTCCTTGGACTTACCGGGTCAATGTTAATTGCGATTCTTGGATCAAATTTCTTGGGACAAGCCAATTGAAGTTCTTTTGCGTAGGCTTTGTTTAGAGTTGGGTCAACTATGTGAGTACGGTTAAAATTGTATATTCTGTTGAATATACAATGTGCTACAATGCGCAAATCCAATGGTGTGAGCCCCTGCATCGTATAAAAAAACTATTTAAAAACTTTCTGCAAATATCGTATTAAGATTATATTTGATTTTTTGTAAAATGATTTAGGAGACTCCATATATACATATGCAAGTAATTTCTTTTTCTTGAATTGAAATCATGTTCGAATGCATCATTTCACATGCTAAAATAGGGCCTTAGTTTAGGTCCATGTACTGTTGGTGGGTTTACCTGAGAGAGCGATCATGGCGTCTAGAGTAAGTTTGATTCTCTTGAAGATAGCACTGAGTTTGTTAACATTGTCATTAGGTCCCGGTAACTTCCCTTCGACGCTAGCCGCAGTCGATACCAGACCATCAAACCGTCCTAGTTCCACTTGGTATGATGGACCTCCGACCTAAATATTCAAGCAAACTTTATGTTTCTATTTCCTATATAACAAAAAACATTTAGCATGACAAAAGATAGAACGTTAACGCACCGCGAGGATGACATCTCAGGTAGCTAAGCCAAGGATATCTGCTCAAGAGACTTTGTTTTTGCAACTTTGGATTGCGTCAAGAGCTTTCTTGGCTTTGACCACAATGTCAAACCCGTCTCCAGCCAGTGATACATTATATTGTCTGGATGATCCTTCTCCGCTTTGTTGTTTGGCGTTGACTGAATCATAATCGACGCATCACACCCCTACGTGACACACATTATAATTGGACTAGATATATGTATATCTTCTATTAAGCTAGATTCACGTAGATATGGTCTTATCACATATGGGAAACTCTCTGTATAAATACTCTTCTTTGGTTATTCAATACAATCAAGTCATTACGATATATTTCACACATGATTAATATACCCCATATAAATACTACAATTTAATTTTATTCCATCCTAAAATGAAACGTGAAATACGTTGACAAAGCAGTCGTGGAAGAAGAGGCGAAGAGTTGCTGGGATGGTGACGAGCGTCTGCTTGATCTTCTCCAGGACGACGTTTCTCACGACTTCTTCCACACTCGGACAAGAATTGATGTAGAAGTGTGGTCTGAGCTGCGCGGTGGTTGGGAACACAAACGTGGTGATGCAAAGAGCAACGGCTAGAACAAGACCTAACCGTTCCATTGGGTTAGCTTTATTCGATTGGTGAGAACAGACGAAACTGTGAAATAGTATTGATCGGAAACGTGAATAGACTTTTATCGAGTTTCTTATATAACTATAATAGTAGTAGTAGTAGTGCAGAAAATTTCAACATGGCTCGAATGATGTTTCATCGAGCCACGTTCTTGTAATGGCAGACTAGTTTAGTTGGTTCCTCTTTTTTCTTGCTTGTTTCTATTTTCTGCTCATTAAAAATCTTTCGTGTGTTGTACTTAAACATCACAATTATAGAAAGACAAAGAAAACAAACAAATTTCAATGTGGCAAACTCTTTTTCTTTGAATACAAAGGTGGTAGTAAAAAAATGTACTTTTTTATATTTTGTTTGCATCATAAGATGGTTCATGAAGCAATGGGCTAATAATATTCTGTAAAAAAAGAAGAAAAAGTTCTAAAGCTATTTACATCTAAAAGATATGTCAATTTTCCTTTTTCTTTTCTATACAATTTTCCAGAGTTATTTTTTTTGTTATTCTGTTGTTGAAGCCTTGTTTGTGTGAAAAAAATAAACCAATAACACCATCAATCTTCTTCTAATCCACTTGCTCTTCATCCTCATCTTCACTGTCATTCTTCTCCTCTGCAATACCTTCTTTATCTACAGACTCGCTTTGTGTCTCTTCTTCGCTATGTACAGCCCCGAGATCAGTCTCTGTTCCATGACCCTCCAGAGGAGCCACTTTGTCATCTTCTGTAGTGGTACTTGGACTCTGCATTGATCTGTGTCATACTTGTATTAGTGTCAAGAAACTGTGACAGAGACAAAGACAAAACCTTTTTAAATGTTGAGCATAATCAGTATCAGAAAACTCACTCGTTTGTCACTTGTTGGGATCTTGGAGATTGGAGATAACCCCAGACTGGTACCGGATCTCTTGTTCTTGCTTCAATAGTTCGAGTTTGGATTCCTTCAATCTCCATCTCCCCTCCTCCACCACTAATATCTTCACCCCGGTTCAATACCAATTCTTGAAACCTAAACTGTTTTGTGCAAAGTACACAAGAGCATTCAGAGACAATCCACACAACACATTACCATTTTTCCAGATCATTCTCTCAACAGATGGAAATTTTACCTTTCGCCTTGCCCATAACGGTAGCTGAGTCGGCAGATGCGTTTGCAGTTCTGCTTCAAATATGTACAAATGACGCTTATCCTCCACAAGGGTAGTTCCTTGCTTAGTTACTTTCCAAGCCTCCTCAACACTCTGTTTTCTAACAACCTCCGGAAACACTTTACTTTTAGAATCCACTGATGTTCCACCTCCATATATGTCACCGTGGTGATCTTGTGTTTCTCTTCTAGATCGGTTTTGGATTATGGACCACTTTCTTATTGGATCTACCGCTAATTTTCCTTCAGTCTCTAAACCTGACTCAAAATCAAACCCTGTCATCGCAGCAGTCTCATGACCAGCACCAGACGTATTTTCCCGTAAGGCATACTGTGTCATACATCCAGAAGGAGCAAAAACCAGAAGATTTGTCTTGGAGCACATATCAGCCACAGAACCATAGTAGTTATTGTTACTCTTTTCATCGCAGTAACAGAAAGTGGATGTGATTGTACCCGGAACAGAGCCTCCAACCATTCCAGCTGCTGCAGAAGCTGCATCGCTCACAGTCCCAATCCATCCGCTGCTGCTTTCGCTTCTTATCCTACTGATTGCAGACATAGGAACCGGAGAATCCCCCTCTTTCTCAGGATTAATCTCAAACAGATGACTTGTCCCTCTTGAAGAACTAACCACAATCAAATTGCTATCACTGCTGAAACAGATGTCTTGTATCACCTGAAAATCCACATTAAAGTTAATATAAAGCATCACATTTTCAACATGTGTAAGTGAAGGGCTCTGCTTACCGCATTAGTAAAACCGCGCTGAAGCCTGAACAGATGGGCAAAAGTCGTTTTTTTCACAGCTCTGCTAGTAGAGATTGTTGGCATTATTCTAAAGACGTTAATATTGTGCCCCTGAATCGAAGCAGTCACCAAAAGCAGGCCACTTGGGTCAAAGCACAAAGCTGAAATCGGACTTTTGTGTGCCTTAAACTGTGTTATGACGCTTTTGTTTGTGATATCTTTGACAATAACCTGCACATACCATGGATAGGTTTAAGGCACATACCAATGGAAAATCAACTTGAGAGCAAAAAATTGAGGAGGATTTTGTGTATACCATTCCTATACTCTCTGCATCAGGCACATTCTCATTACTAACTCCAATACTTTTCAAACCAGGAATATACGGATTGGGAAGAACCTCTGCGCAGTATCGAGTCAATGATTTGTACCCTTTGTCTCCAAGATTTACTATCCCAGAAGCGAGCTGCTTGCTCGAGTCTCTTGCAAATTGTGCAACACTGGGTGATGATGACAGTGAGAGAAGGTCTGAAGTGAAAATTGCAGAACTTGAGGTAGCAATACGACTTCCACTATATGCGATCCATCTTGGACCAACTGCAAGAGGGCCATATCCAACACCCGAGGAGCCACACACAATGGAGTTAGTGACAATCCTGTAATCCATTTCCAGTGTTGCAGCATCAAAGCAATCTATCTGCAAATACATGTTTTAAGTTACACATTGTTAGTTTCAGAACAGAAAGATCACAAAAACAAAAGTGACACAATATGACATTCGAACCTGAGCTGCTTGTTGTACAGCAACAATCCGAGAACAGCACCTAACCGAATAAATGGTAGCCCGGAATTTCATCGTATGCACATAAGACTGAGACTTTAACGAGTAGACATAGACATTAGTAGGAGTAGCCACGGTTTCACTTCCGGAATTATCAGAACTGATCTTTTTACTTGAATGTTCTTCCCAAGAATCACCACACACAGCCAAAAGAGGACGGCTCTTATAAAATCTGTCATCTAAAGCTCCAGACTTTATTGGATTCAGTAGCATTTGCATAAAGAACGCTTGTCCATCATGTGTAGAAACTATAACGTGAACATTCTCTGTATCTTCAACATCCCAAACTTGAAATCCAGACTTAAATGCTAGTAGAAGAACTCTTCGAGTATCTCCATCTTCTTTCTGTAGATTATCAAACCCCGCCCATAGTACCTAAAGATTCAAAATTCATCAACCAAGACTCATCAAACACTCCAACAAACATAAAGATCGCTCTTTTAAGATATCAAAATCATCCAAATGAAGTAAAACAATCCCAAAAGTTTCCAAAATTGAAGCAAATACAATACCTGATCGTGATGAGAATCAACGTCCCTAACGGCGGAAGAAGCAGCTGATACGGCGGAGCGAGCAACCGTAGAAGCACCAGATGAAATCACCTTAAGGCAATTAGACAAAGCACGAAACGAACTCCGAGCTGATCGCGACATAACTCCGTCAGGCGACTTCGAAGAAGAACCGTCACCGTTTTTCCTCATAATGGTGGAGAGACTCTTCACTATCAAAAAGCTTTGATCTTTAACCTCCAAATGAAACAAAGTTTCGATTTTTATTCTCTATATCGACGCCTGAGATATTTCCAAGAAAAATGAATCGCCGAGAAAGACGGGGCAGAGATAAAAATTGCAATTTTAAAACCGAAATTGAACAAATTTGATTAGAATCTTTAAAAATAGAAACAAAATACACGCAAACTCGAAAATTTGCTTCTTCTTCAAGTTGTCACGAAGCAAGAAACACACAAATCAACAAGAAAGAAACAAAAAGATCGAATTTTTACAAAAACCCAGAAGATAGAATCAACGATCAAACTAACAAAAAGATACTTAAGCTTGAATCGCTAAAAGAAGATGATTGTATATACCTAAAAGCAACAAATTTGTGTTGAAATTGAAAAGAATTAGAAGATATTAAAAACCCAGAAAAAAGAATTAAGGGTCTCGAAGAAGTAATCTGATAAAGACTTTGGAAACGTTAAGGAGCAAGAAAAGGGGAAAGATTTTGAGGATAAGAAGAAGAGAGAGCGAAGAAGAAGACCTTAAGAGTTGTTTTAGAAATCAATCTGTTGTTGTTTCAAAAACTTGATAAATGATTTGTTTTTGCATTCTTATTTATATATTGAAAAACAAATTTTGGATTAAGTTCTCTTTTACGTATCGTCTTTGTATTTACTACAGAGAGAAAGAGAGACTCACCTTCCACGTCTCTTTCCCTATATTAATTTAAATTTAAATTTAAATAAATCATTGAGAATGTCTGGTTTTTTTGTTGGTTTATACCAATAATTAAACCAAACAAACCTAAATATTAATTGAAATTTTGATAGGTTTTAATTTTCGTATGTTACCCATTAATGAGTTAATTTTAAGTTTATTAGTATAACAAACCGTGTGTTTGACCAAAAAAACGAACCGAGTTTGAACCAAATTTAGCTTATATTAACATTTCTAAAATTTAAACCAATCAAATCGACCGAAATTAGTACGACGTGCGCTAGGCTTATCTTTTTTTTTTCCGTGACGTGCGCTAGTCTTAGATGAAGACTTTCATTAGTTTAATTTTTCTACTGTTCTTTTTAATTAGTTTATTGGTTAAACAAAATAATTTGGTTCGACTCGGTTTACTTGAACCGGTCACAAGCTCAAAAACTGAACCGATGACAATATACGAGGAGTTTTTGTGGGTATATAGGCTCACGAAGTAGCTTTCTTCCTCTTTGTTCCCGGCTAATTAAAGGAGGGTTTGACCATAAGTCCATAATTAGTCTGACCATAACTAAAATGAAAACTTGGCGACCAAGTTACTTCCTCTGTTTTACTGTAGGAGAAGAAGATGTAAAACATCAGAATTTCTTCAATTAGGTTTGTCTTTTTTGCTTTTCGCTTAAGAACATTCATGTCTCTGCTTCACTATCCACACCTATGAAATTTTCTTGGTTAAGTCGTACAAGAAGACCACTGGAAAGATCATCAACGGGTTTAGAGAAAATGAAAACAAAAGCTGTAATGGTGTTCAAAGTAGACGGAAAAGGAAACGTTGTTTACACTCGAGACATTGGAGATCGCTGCATTTCCCTCTCTGAATCTAAACCTTCTTGTGACCCTGCTAGTTCATGTGCTGGCCCGTGGACTAAACACATCGTAATTTGTGATGACCACGAATTTCAAGTTGTAAATAGATTTGGTACGGTGTTTGAGAGGTGTTTGACTGAGTGTGTCTTTTTTTTTAAACCTCTCAAACGCCAAATCTATTTATAGAAAAGAACCATGTCAAGGTTTCAATCCATATAGAAGTCATGTGGATCTTATCCTAATCCTCTACAGGTACGTCCCAAGTATACATATATAAGCTTATATCACAATTCTCAATCATTTCTTAAAACTCAAACATGAGACTTAGAGAGTGTGATGTTAAAGATTTTGAGTACCCAAGAACACTCTTTTTATTTAAGGGGGTAGGGCAAGTTACATTACACTACAAGGTGTAATATTGCCTCTAAGACTCTTAACTCATACAGAACAAACATATATCTACGATACAAACACAAACACGCCACATACAAGTGTGAGACTTTTTTATTATCATTAACAAAACCACCAAGTGTAAGTGTGTGCTTTTATAGTCTGGTCCTCTTCATGATCTTAGTAAGGAGATGCCTTGAACTGGCAGGATCCAACTGCAGGGATTTTGCAAATGTTAGGCAAGTTCTGAGCAGTCTGAAACACATGTTTCATCTGTTGTTGTCCATGCATTCCCTGGAACCTAACTTGTTGAGCTGCCTTTTTCAGTGTAGGACACACACACATCTTGTCCACTTGTCTTAATTCATTACAACACATTTTAAGAGATGATTGTTGTTGAGGCCCCATTGGGTTCTCATCGTCCTCAAGATCGACATCAAGAGTGAGCTCAAAGTCATCAGCTTCGTATCCGATTCTTCCTTGTTGAGCTCTCTTTCGGATCCATTGCTTGCAACCTCTTAGTTGCTGATGCTGCATAAACTCCCTCTGGCACTTACCTTGTCCTGGCCGGTTGCTCACGTCATCTTCTTCCTCGAACTCCACCACTGTGCGGTAGATGGAAGCGTTGGCTAGGAGGATGAAGAGGGCAAAAGTTGCGAAAACGAGAATAAGCTTAGCCATGGTTTGATTTTGTTTAAGGATTTGAGGTTTTTGGTGAGTGATGGATGAAGTGAAGTGAAAGTGGGGATGGGTTTATTTATGGAGGAGAGGACTTTTGCATGGCATTCACGTGTAATAAGCATGAGGTTGTGTGTGAGCACTTGGAACATAACACGCATGGAGTTTTGTTTGGATTAGGTGTTCGAAATTAAGTTCAATAATGTGTGCAGGTGTCAAGTGAATGATCGAGACGAGTCTCCGCATCTGCAGCCACCATGCATGCTCTTGACTTAATTTTTCTTTCTTTGTTTTGTTTTGGAGTTGGTTGTATTTAAAAATCGTTAATCCAACTAAAAACCTTAATAATATTAGGTTAATATACACATTACATCAACATAGTTATAGGTAATTAAATTCGTTTCTTTTTGGTTCGATTTTTTTGAAGTTATTTTTGGTCTAAAAAGTATAATTAAGCTTATATATATCATAAATCTCAATAATTTCTTCGGACATATTATATATGACATACCAAGAAAAGCTTTTTATTGTAGGTTCTAGGACATGGCCGATGGTATTCTATGACGTTCCAAGATCAACGAAGTTTCTTTTCTTGCAGATTTATAGTTCAAGACTATAACCTTTCCATTTTCTAAGTCAAACCTCAAATCCTCTGTGCGACATTTTTTTATGAGTCTACGTAGGTGATTCATACTCTCTACTTCCTCTCCGTTCACTTTCTTCACCTGTTTACACCATTAATAGGCATGATCAATATTGTAGAATCAAAGTGAGTCTAATTCATGGTGTTTGGGACAACTTTTCCTTTAAAATAAGGAATAATGACTTATACCTGTAAGTTTTTTAAATTAGAGTATCCTACGTTGATGACATCCCATAACACCTACACAACAAAAAAAAAATCAAACTCTTGATACTAGAATATCTAAGAAGACACTTGTTGACCATGTTAGCTCAAGTTATCTTCATCTTCATTAAAACAGATTGGGTAAAAAAGAAAGCACAAAACCTGTGAAATTATGATAATCTCGTGAACAGGTTTTTGGGGCCTCCTTTTTATTGTACAGTCACATATGGCGCCACAAGAACTTTCAATGTTTGGCTTAGAAAGAGGCACAAAGATAAAACCCGCAAATACGTAACAATTTGTATCAAAATTGCGCACCGGAACCAGCCGTTGTTGCACCTGCGTATTGTTTTTGATAATTCTCCATTCAAATCCAATGTGAAGCAACGAATTAAACAAGAACTAGGGGACAATAAGTTCAATTATTTATAGCAAAAAAAAGTCACAAAAAGTAATGGCAAATATGTCACTAGTAAAGTATCTGACTTACTGAGTTTAAACTGATTTTGAACTCATGTTCTCTTCCATCCCTTAAGACCTTAAATAAACCTGTCTCACCTGGTTTCTTCATAGAAACCAAATGATTGAAATTTACACGTTCTTTTCCCCGAAAAACAACTGCACATGAAGAAAATATAAATTCACTTCATCAAAACACATGGAGAAGATTCACCAATTGAGTGCAAAATATGTAACTAAATCTATATTTTCGCGAGCTTTAAAAGAAAAGAGAAAAACTAACATTTCTCGTCATTTCCAATAGGAACGCCATCAATTGCAAGAATGACATCGTCTTTTTTCAGAACTTTATGAGCAGCTGACACCAGATTTATTTCATTTATAAGAATTCCTGACATTCCATGATTCATTTTAAAGTTTTTACGTATTTGAGAATTCTCCATAGCTTGACACGATATATCCGGCAAATCGAAACCAAAGTAGTAACCGTTTTTTTCAACAACACTTAAGAAATGCTTAATTACTGGAGTTGGGATTATGTACCTGCATAAAAAACCACAACAAATAGATAATGTTAATTAGTCAAACCTTTTGTTTGCAAAAACTTAAGCTTGCAATATATGGGCTTATTGACACAATTTCATCTAGAAATTACTTAGAAAAAGATTGTCCAAGATTTAAAGTTTCAAACTCACTCTATATTTTCACACCTTGGAAGACCTTGGAATGCTACACCAACAACTTTATTTCCCATAATGACCGGACCACCACTATTTCCATGCTTAACAGTTGCATCTATTTGTATTGTCAATAGCTTGGTGGAGCTCTGACAGTAATTAGTAAGTTCAACTCTCGATGTAATACCTTTTGTAACAGAAATAGTGTCACCACCTGCATTTGAGCGCTTAATATAACTCATTAGTCTTTTTATGAGTATATCATCTACCATGACCAGATTTTTCCATGTGCAAGAAGAGCAATAAAACATTTCGAAAAAATTACCTTAAGAAAGCATTTAATATCGTTTAATATAAAGCCTTAATCCCCGGAAACGTTCCCACTAATCTATGTCGTGATTGTAATTATTTTCTAAATACCATACATAATTCAAATCTTTGTTCTAACTTCTAAATCTAGTCATACGAAATTTTAATGCAATTTGTTTAAGACGTACCACGAGGATAACCTAAAGCGAAGATAGTTTCGCCGATAGAGGGTATGTCTCCAAGCTCCAAAGGATTTAAATCCTCCCAAAACTCTTCATTATCAACAGCTAAGATGGCCAAGTCACATTCATCCCCAACCGCTTCAACTATTGCTCTGTACTTAGTGGGTGAACCATGCTTTTTCACTTGCAAGTATGAGTGATCTTCTACAACATGAGCGTTTGTAAGAATCCTCCTTCCGAAAATTGCGAATCCTAAGTAAATTCCACATTAAGATATATATAAGTCAAACTATACGAAAGGGCACAACCAAAACGTCCCAATCACACGAGAGAGAAAAAAGAGAGTTTGAGAGAGAGAGAGATGGTTTATGGATACCAGAGCCCGTGGCTAACCCCACCCAACTATTCTTCCAAGGTTCAGCAACATCTGGCTCGCTAGAGAAGCAAAAGATCTTCACCACCGAGTCAAGAGCCGAATCAATAGCAGAGTTTTCTGTGTGCGTTGACTCTCTTCGCGAATCGACGCACACAGAAGAACAACAACGAGATATGGAAGCATGAAAACTGGAAATTCTCGTCGTTGGAAGTAAATTGTTCCGGACAGAACTGGAACGAAGAAGAAGGAAAGGAGAAGAGAGGAATCGAGGAACCTGAGTGCTCGAGGAGTTGCAGAACCTGGTGATCACGATACGTACAGACCATAACGACATCTCGAGCGGCTACGATTTTGAGTGATTTTGTCATAGGGTTTTGAGTCGCCTTCTTTACTTGATGGTCACTCATAACTTTTCACTAATTTTCTTATTTTTTTTTCCTTTAGGGTCGAAATAAGCTAATTAGGTTAAACTCGGCCCAATATAGAGTTGACTGGTTCAGTTAAACCGGTCACTAGTAACTGACCAAAAGACGACAATACCCTAGAATGCAAATGGATGCTTAATTCTGATACAAGTAACAGAGGCGTAAAAGAGTGTTTAGGGTTTAATTCTGTATATTCATCAAAAGGTTTGAATAGATACTAAGTACTCATTTGAATTGGCTAATATATTTTTGAAAGAATAAAAAAAACAACTGAAAAATTCGATCTCATTAGCGATATATAAGAGTAATTATTGGGTTGTCAAAGCAGCTTCTGAGGAACCTAATTGACTGGATTCTATCTTAAGATCCTTGGACATGGCCGATGGTATTCCGTGATGTTCCAAGATCCAAGAAGTAGCTTCTTTTGCAGATGTATAGTTCAAGGAAATAACTCGTCCGTTTTCTAAATCCAACCTCAAATCTTCTTCACAACACATTTCGATGAGCTCAATTAGGTGTCTGAGATTCAACACTTCCACTCCATTCACATTCTTCACCTGTAAGATTTTAATGTTTCTCAAGACATACATGATGAACGTGAAACTATATATATATGTATATATATAATTCCCTTTTTTTCAAGACTACTTTCATTTGCGAATAAGCAAGAAATGAATTACCTGCAAATCTTTGAAATCACGATATCCTGTGGTTATGTCATTCAATAAGACCTACACCAAAAAAAAAAATCAAACTCTTGATGCCAAAATAACTAAGACATTGCTATCTACATATATTTTAAAACTCAAATCACTAGGCAGGATGTTAGCTCAAGTTATCCTCAATCTTCTAATTACAACTCAAGACCCGAACTTACTAAGACGAAAAATAAAGGGGTAATGAAAAAGCACAAACCTTTGAAATTATAACAATCTGTTCACCAGCCTTTTTGGCCTTTCTGTTTGATGAACATTCACATATTATACTAGAGTTAATGTATGGCTTCGAGAGAGGCACAAAGACAAAACCCGCAAGTATGTAATAACTTGGAAGATGTCGGTCCGGAACCAGCGGCTGTTCCTGTGAACCAATGATTATACGCCAAGAATTACAGGCTCAATGATTTAATTATCTGATAAAAAAACATGTCGGTACAAAAGTAGATGACTTACATGTCTAACAATGATATTGAACTCCTGTTCTTTTCCCTTTCTTAAGACTTTAAGTAAGACTGTTTCACCTGATTTCTTTAAAGTAACCAAATGTTCGAAATTGATCCTTTCTTTTTTCCGAAAAGGAACTGCATGCAACAACCATAAATTCACATATCACCAACACACATTGAGAGAACTCATCAATGTTGTATAATATAGAAGTGTGTAGGAGATTACTTGTCTCATCATTTCCAATAGGAACACCATCAATTGCTAGAATGACATCATCTTTTTTCAGAATTCCTTGAGCACTTGACAGCGAATTTATTTCGTTTATAAGAATTCCTGTCATTTCAGTACTCATTTTGAAGTGTTGACGTATATAATCATTCTCCATAGATTGATATGATATATCCAGAGAACATAAACCAATGTATTGACCGGTTTCTTCAACAGCAGTTAAAAAATGCTTAATTATTGGAGTTGGGATTATATAGCTGCACACAAAACCACAAAAACTGATGTTAGTTAAATCTTTTGTTTGCAATCTCAAGAAAAATATTTAAGATTTATATATTTTTAACTCACTCGTCACAAGATGAACGATTTTCATATACCACACCAGCAACTTTGTTGTCCATGACCACCGGACCACCATTATTTCCATCGTTAATAGCCGCATCTGTTTGTATCGTTAATATTCCAATGGAGCTGTGAGAATACGTTTGAGGTTCAACTCTCGTTACAATACCTTTTGTGACCGATATGCTATCACCACCTGCATTTGCGCATAACATAACTAATTAGTCATTTTTTTAAATGAAGCATGATTGTTATTCTTTTCTCAATACAACATATGATATTATTATCAAAGCTTTTTTTTTCTTGCCTGCTTGATACTCAATACGAAAATTTTAAAGCATTGTTCAGGACGTACCACGAGGATAACCTAAAGCGTAGACAGTTTCACCGATAAAAGGTATGTCTCCGAGCTCCAAAGGATTCATATCCTCCCAAAACTCTTCACTATCAATGCCTAAAATAGCTAAGTCACATCCATATCCATGCGCTTTAACTTCTGCTTTGTACTTAGTGGATGAACCATGCTTTCTCACTTGCACGTATGGGTGATCACCCGCAACATGAGAGTTTGTAAGAATCCTCCTCCCGGAGATTGCAAATCCTAAAATAGATATTCAAAACTACTAAGCCGAACGATACCAGCATAGGGTTTTCGAAATTTTGGAAGTTTAGTAAAAGAAATCACACAAGAGAGAGATGGTTATGAATACCAGAGCTTGAGTATTCTTTCTCAGTTGTTTGCCAAGGTTGAACAACATTTGGCTCTCTAGAAAAGGAAAAGATCTTCACCACCGAGTCTCGAGCCACATCAATATCAGACCGAACGCACACAGAAGAACAACAACGAGATATCAAAGAAGCTCTAAAAGACGAACCACGACGAAGAAGGGAAGGAGAATAGAAAAATCGAGGAACCGAAGTGCTCCTGGACTTGCTGAACCTAGCCACAATATGAACAGACCGGAACAACATGTTAAGTGTACGATGTTTTTACTTGTATTAATTAACGATACATTAATATATCATTTACACTACTTCCTTTTCCTCTAGATTTAACGTATCTTTTTAAGATTTTAATGGAAATAGTTCATTTTATATGAATCAGTCGAAACTAGAAACTTTGGTAGCACATAATTAATCTGTTATGCTAATGTGCTCGGCTCTTTTTTCTTATTATGGAAAAAGGCCCAATGGGCTTAGGCCCAAATATTTAAACACAAAAGGTTCTAACTTCTAATGGAAAAGGAAATTTGCGATCAAGCAATACTCTCTCTCTCTCTTTCTTTCTTCTGCCATCGCCAAAAACTTGTCTTTTGCTTCTGGGTTTTGCTTCTTATTTGGTAAGATTGGATTTTTCTCGAACCCCATTTCTTATTTCGTGCTTTTTAGATCGTTAATTGATCTGCATCACGCAGTGACCATTCTTTAATCTACGAATTTGGGTTTTTTCTTTTGTGATTGATAATCTTGTTGGGGACCATTTTTGTTGATTTTGTGGTTTAATTTACCAATTGTGTATTGTGATTGAATCGATTGGGAGGGTATTGAGAGGTGTTTGTTCCAATCGAACAAAGTCAAGTGTAACTCCATTTTATAGCCACTTATCTTCTGCTAGTAGATCTACATGAGTTTTTAAGAGATGTGTCTTCTTTAATACCATTGTGGTTCCTTTTTTTTAATTTTCAAGGCTAAGTTGATTTCTATAGCTTATCTATGATTTGATCAAGTAGAATCCTTGTACTGTTCTGATGAAGTGTCCTTTTTTGTCGGTTTTTGTATGTGTAGAAAATAGTCATCCATTCCGGGAAATTTGGAGATGGCTCCGGTTGGTCCTCGATCCGGTGATGCGATCTTCTCTAGCATTGATCGTGTGGTAAGTTTAGATTTCAAAGTTTTCTCCTTTTCCTATGTTCCTTTTATCAAATTTGGTATTTGATATGCTTCACTGCCGATTTGCTTATCGATTTTATAGGATAAGTCTCTTTCTATGTATGCTTCATGGATGTCGGATGTGTTTTTGTAATTTGTAAGGGTTTGAGTAGTAAACATTGAAGCCAATTCCGAATCTTTGATTAGATTTTGTTTTGGAGACACTGTTTGATCTCTCTTGGAATCTGATATATTTGTAGAATGCGGAGTTGTTCACGTTGACGTATGGTGCAATTGTGCGTCAATTGCTTACTGACCTGGAAGAAGTTGAGGAAGTTAACAAACAGCTTGATCAAATGTATTCTTCTTCTACGCTTTGTGTAGACTCTCTTCCATGGTTTTAGTTTTGGTTTTTTTTGTCATCTTGAATTTGTATAGGTCATTCTTGTGTTTGAAGTTTTGCTGCATTATGTCTCTAGTTCCTTTGTTCATATATATCTTTCTAATAATATGTCATGGATGGGACGAATAGAGCATTCGACTTTCTGGTTCATACTGCTGATTGTTCGATTATTTACAACTTATCCATATCTGTTTATTCTGCAGGGGATACAACATTGGAATCCGACTTATTGATGAGTTTCTAGCCAAATCTGGTGTTTCCAGATGCGTTGACTTCAAGGAAACTGCTGAAATGATTGCCAAGGTATGCCATTTCCATTGACTTACTTGTTTAGTATTCTTGATTCTACAGTTTTAAAGTGTCCCCGGGGGTCAAACAACGAGAAATTAGAGTTATATAATGTTCATTCCACTTGACATAGATAAAGCTTATATATCAAATTAGATCATAAATTTCATGTCTAGTAGATATCTCCTTTGGTTTTTATGATATTGAGACACATTAACAGGTGTTGCCTTATTACACAGGTGGGTTTCAAGATGTTCTTAGGGGTCACTGCCTCAGTGACAAGCTGGGACGCTGATGGGACTTGCTGCAGTATAATCTTGGAGGACAATCCGCTAGTTGATTTCGTGGAGCTTCCTGATACTTGCCAAGGTCTTTACTACTGCAATGTCTTAAGTGGAGTCATTAGAGGAGCTTTGGAAATGGTCAGTCTCCTTTTACTCCCCCATTATCAAGTGCAGAACTTGTTTGGGCTTAGTGTTTCATGTTCTTTTTGTTTGTCTGCGCAACGATCAGGTCTCAATGAAGACAGAAGTGACATGGACGCGTGATGTTCTTCGAGGAGATGATGCTTATGAGTTGCAAGTGAAGCTACTGAAACAAGTCGCTGAGGAATATCCTTACAAGGATGATGAATAAATGTCAATCTCTTATCTTCCCTCTTCCTCAAAGAGAAACTAATTACTGTTTGTAGTCTCTTTCTCTACAATTCTTAGCTTTATCTTTTTCTCCGTAAACACAAAACCAAAGCTATGAAACTAAATACTGGTTGATGTTTTGGTACAAACCGTTAATCCATTTCTTAGTGTTCTTATGTGACAAGAGTTAATCGTATTATGATGTCACTTAAAAATCAATTCGTGTATCAATTCAGTGAGATCAGAATTTTTTTTTTTCTTTCGATATCTCTACATATTAGTTTGCCTCATGAAGAAATAAGACAAAAAAAAAAAAAAAGAAGAAGAAATAAGACAAAAGTAGTATTGAGGTGTCGTCATATGATTGGTCCAGGTAAATCCGACGTGGACATCATTGGTTATTTAAATATAATATCTCTTGTCTTTTTATTTTCTCACCGTCGAGAACAAAACACGAGTTGCAGACTTTATCCAAATTTAGGGTTTTCTTTTTCTTCTAACTCAGATTATCATCAGATCTTCGAAACCCCAATTTAACAAATCAGGTAAAGTTTCTCCCTTTGTCTCTCTTCGATCACCGATTGTCTCTTGTTTCGTTTGCTTTTACCGATCTGTGAATGAATTTGAGTTCGTCGATTTATTATGATTACATCAATTTGGTTTTCGATTTTGATTCAAGAGAGATTGAATTGCAAATTATGTTTCAGATCCTTCGTGTTTGTATCTGATTCCGACAAGGAAGATCTTGGCTTTTACTTTTTTTTTTTTTGTTCTTGTAATGAATTCAACAACGATGATTTGGATTTGGTCAATTGATGTTTTCTTGCTATATGATATGTAATTGAACTGTATCAGCTTTTATTTAATTGTTTGGATCTCCCGATTATACATAAAACAGCATATTTGTGTTCTGTGATAAAATCTTATTGATGATCGTGTGAACTTTGGTAGCATAAATTTGTTTGTTAAGATGATTTCTGAGATGGGTTTATTATAGTTTTGCTTCTTACTTGATGTACCATCTCGTCCACTTTGCAAAATCTTTTATTCTATACATCATTGTTATGTAACATTTTGTTAACTATCTTCATGATTGAATCGATTGTGATTGGATATGTTCATGTTCTATCATATTCTAACATGAGGTTATCCTCCTTCTTGTACAGATCTCAGCTTCCCGGTTAGTTTTACCCTCAAATCAACTAAGTTTCATGTCTGAACTTGACTCCCAGGTTCCCACTGCCTTTGGTATGTTTCTCTACTGTACCAAAACTTGAGATTGTATCGAGCATGCCCGTTTTATTCTACTTGTTTGTGGTGATTTATCTCACAATGGTTGTCTTTATCCATTTCCTGTTGCTTGTTCAGATCCGTTTGCTGATGCGAATGTTGAGGACTCCGGTGCGGGAACAAAGGAGTACGTTCATATCCGTGTCCAGCAGCGAAATGGTAGGAAAAGCTTGACAACCGTCCAGGGCCTGAAGAAAGAGTACAGCTATACCAAGATACTTAAAGACCTCAAGAAAGAGTTTTGCTGCAACGGCACTGTGGTTCAGGATTCAGAACTTGGACAGGTTGGTTATATAAAAATCTTCATTGATCCATGTGTTGAAAAGTGGATGATAATATCTCTGTCGTTTTGATGCAAACATAGGTAGATAAGTATCATATTTTCAGCTTTTAAAAGTCTTTGTAACCGCTATTTTTTCTGCTTTAACAAACTGACCTCTTAGATGAACATTTGAGCTTCTATGTTTTAGTTTTGCTTATGTTTTTGTGTTGATTTGCAGGTCATACAGCTTCAAGGTGACCAGCGTAAGAACGTCTCCACATTCCTTGTTCAGGTAAAAATCAATAACTCTACGAGTCTTTTTACTGCTAAAACTCACAATAGATGATTGTCTGATCTCACTGTTTCTCTGTTACCACAGGCTGGTTTGGTGAAGAAAGATAACATCAAGATCCATGGTTTCTAAGCTATCTAGTGGATCATATTATTAATAAGACCATATCTTTCTCTTCTTTCATCTCTTGTTGCGAATTTCGGGTTTGATTCATCAGAATCGTCTTCTTCCTAGTGTTCTTCTTCTGTTTGGTATTCGAATTTAATGGCATACGTCCATACTTCTTCGTCCCCTGTTTTCGTGTTACTCTGTTTCACCTCTTGCTCATCTTATAATATCAGATTGTTAAGATAATACTTCTAACTTTTATATTTACTGTCTTTCTCTACAATGATTCATATTTTTAAAATTATACAAGTACCAACCTGAAGTTGTGAATCGATACGGTCGATACTTTCCAAGTACTAAATTGCAGATTTTAGTTTGGACCACAAAAGTTGAATGATCAAAAAGGTTGATGTATCTTCTCACTAGTAATAATAATTCACAAACACACAAATATTGATAAATGAACTGTCTTTTTTACTAGTAAAATCCAAATGCCGTCTCTATCGTACAAAGATATTTCACCTTCTTGTTGTTCATGTCACCACACACTCACTGCAATTGGCTACAAATGTTTCCAGACAAAAGCTTCGAGATATTTTTTATATTTTATTTTGGTTGCACTCCTTTTTTTTTTCTTTTTCTTTGGACGAAACTTTGGTAGCACTCCATATCACAATATTAATTGCAAAGATATTTCCTTTTTTTTGTTCAAGAAATAGGGTGGTAATCCAATAAATTCAGTCAAATCAGTTCTTTGAAATTATAAAATGTAATCAATTCTGCTTGATTTTATACGTTTAAACAATTATATAAGTATATTTTCCTTTCATTAATCTATTTTTACGTATAAAGAATTTATAATTTGTTTATTTTCTTTGATAACCAAAATATAAAATTATTAGACCGAAACCAAAACTAGACCAAATCAAAGACTAAACTGAATATGGGACCAAACCCTTTCCAATAAATTAGTATTGATTTTAGACATATGATAAATTGATAATCATTAAAGGTGTAGATTTTTAATTTTTATACATATAAGTTTAAAATTGTATATTTATCGAATAATTTTATAAAATAGTGGTTAAACAATGTCCCACGGGATTTATGTTTAATTACTTACTCCTACTAAATTTGGGTTTGTTGAAGAAATGTCTTTTCATTCAATCAGAACCGTGAAGAAAGGGAACCGTTAATTACTTTCCATTGATGGCTAAAAATTAAAATAATCATGATAATAAAAAAAACAATTAAAATAAAAAACCAAAATTCTCTGACCCTTCATTCCTTATCTCTGACGTGGCCAGCAATCTACAGATATTTTTCTCCTTCTTCTAATTTAAAAACCCAACAACCACACTCTTCACTTCACCATCATCATCACTAAACTCGAACCCTAAAGAAATGGCTGCCATAGCTTCTACGCTCTCTCTTTCATCAACAAAACCTCAAAGACTTTTCGATTCTTCCTTCCATGGCTCATCCATCTCCGCAGCTCCTATCTCCATCGGACTCAAATCACGATCTTTCTCTGTTCGCGCCACAACCGCTGGTTATGATTTGAACGCTTTCACGTTCGACCCGATCAAGGAATCGATCGTGTCTCGTGAGATGACTAGAAGGTACATGACTGATATGATCACTTACGCTGAGACTGATGTTGTCGTCGTTGGTGCTGGATCTGCTGGTTTATCTTGTGCTTATGAGATTAGTAAGAACCCTAATGTTCAAGTTGCTATTATTGAGCAATCTGTTAGTCCTGGTGGTGGTGCTTGGCTCGGTGGTCAGCTTTTCTCCGCCATGGTAAGATTTAGATTCATTTGCATGTGCCATTGATTCTGTTTTAATGGAGAATCTAGGTCTAGACTTAATTTAGGGTTTGATTGTTGTGTTTATGGCAGATTGTTCGCAAACCAGCTCATTTGTTTTTAGATGAGATTGGTGTGGCTTACGATGAGCAAGACAACTACGTTGTGGTCAAGCACGCGGCTCTGTTTACGTCTACCATCATGAGCAAGCTTTTGGCTCGTCCTAACGTGAAACTCTTCAACGCTGTGGCGGCTGAGGATTTGATTGTGAAAGGAAACAGAGTTGGTGGTGTGGTGACTAACTGGGCTCTTGTGGCTCAGAACCATGACACACAGTCGTGCATGGACCCCAATGTTATGGAGGCGAAGATTGTTGTTAGCTCGTGTGGTCATGATGGTCCTTTTGGAGCTACTGGTGTGAAGAGGTTGAAGAGTATTGGGATGATTGATCATGTTCCTGGGATGAAGGCTTTGGACATGAACACTGCTGAAGATGCGATTGTGAGATTGACCAGAGAGGTTGTTCCTGGTATGATTGTGACCGGTATGGAAGTTGCTGAGATCGATGGTGCACCGAGAATGGTGAGTCATTTTCTATTTTCTTGACGAATTTTTGATTTGATATCAATAGTTCTTGAAGATCATGTCCTGAGTGAGTTTGTTGTGGTGTAGGGACCAACATTTGGTGCTATGATGATATCGGGACAAAAGGCGGGACAACTTGCTCTTAAGGCTTTGGGGCTTCCAAATGCTATTGATGGAACTAACGTTGGAAACCTAAGCCCGGAGCTGGTCTTAGCCGCAGCCGATTCAGCTGAAACCGTAGATGCTTAAAATCAAAAGGTTTTAACTATAAAAAAAATTTCCCTTGATCCTTCGGATGTTGAAGGAGTGCAATAAAGGAGTTTAGGTGTTTAAATGACTATTTATGTCTTGAACTTTTTCTGGTGTCTTTGTTTCTTTGTTTCCTCTTGTCAATGAAAATGTGTTTCTTCTGTGTAAAATATCTTATCCGTTCATTCGTAATGCGTATGTTCTCGTTCTTCTCCTTCTTTGTGGATGTAGCACAAGCAGCTTTCTAGTTTCTCGGCTGATGAATGAACAAAGAGTTTTATGATTTTAGATTCAGAGAACAGAGGAAAACTGTAAAATAGAAAGAAACAAAAAAAAAGTTAAAACATTTCTTATATGAACATGTATATCAGTATATATACTGATGTCTGACCTGGAATTCAAATACTCCATCCTTATTTACATATATAATCCGGCTTAGAACTGAAACAATGAGTTTAGAAATGACATCGATGATAATCCTTTTTTGTGAACATGGTTTGTGAAACAAAAGAGTACAAACATGAATTTGTTGTATGAACAGTTTACAACGAGAAGTTGTTGTGTAAGTTGGGCTGCATGGTTTCTTTTCTTCATTGCCACCCAAGGAATCGTTAAATCTCTGACCATTCACTTTTTGTCGCCGGATTTTGTGAGTTATCAAATATGTATAATAACATACAAAAACGCTGCTACTCATGAATCTTCTCCGATGCTATTTCTTGGCCTGAAATACCAAAAAAAAACAGAACAATCAGAGACAAGAAGGATCATACATAAACCCATAAGAGTATAAACTTGTGACAGAATTTAAGAGAGAGGGTAATTAAAAAAGCAAACCTTTTTTAGATACTTCTTGTGAAGTTTCATTGCACCAGTACAAGCTTTCTTAGCATCCAAGTTTCCGGTTATGTCGTTTAAGATCTGGGCAAAACACACAGATTAAAGAGGACTTCACTGGATATAGAAGGTGTTAGAAGAGATAAAAAAAAGTATGATCTCTCTGCATTACCTTTACAACGTCATCAAGTCCTCGAGCTTCTGTCATTAGCTTAGAACTCTTGTCTTTCAAAACACTAGCCACTAAGAAAACCGAAATAGGCAAAGGACCTTCTGCACTTTTCCCTCCATTCTTCATGTTCTCTCTCTCGTACTTCCCACATTGGTTTATCGACTTCGGTTTACCTTTGGAGGAACCTTCGGTTCTCTCTCCCTCGAATTGAGGCTCCTCATATAGAGAATACATTTCTGGGTCATACTCTAATGCCCACATCATCTGCTCAATGCAAAAAATCCCCGGAATGGATGTAAAAGACTTTATTAGTGTGCGGTCAAAGAACAATGTTTCTGAGTTTATGAGTTTATAAAGAGACGAAGAAAAAGGTTACCTCCCAAAGGTACAAGGAGTCACAAAAAGAGAATTCTCTTCGGAACTGAACCATTATCATTCGAATCGCAAAGAGATAGTCACCTCCACCCAAGTTCTCTGCATTTCAAGATCCACAGTTTCTTTAAAGATCTGTCTTGCTCAACCAGTAACGATTAATTATACACTAAAAGTGAGGTGAGAAAGCTTTAGTAGATACCTAAGTGATGGTGAAGTTTGGGGTCAATAATCTGAGTGATTGAAGCCAAATGAGTAAGCTGTGCTTCGACTCCAACTGATCTCCCCGTGTCCCGAAAATTCCCTCGCTTTCAATTTCAAAAAGGGAAGAAATAATTTAATATAATCTGATTACAGAGAGAGTCAAGATAAACTTTTGTGAACACAATCATAGAGGTAAAGTACCAATCGGCGCATCAACCGTTCGAAACACCAAAAAGCATCAGCTTCGTCTTCAAGAAGCATAATCATAGGGGAACAAAGATCACTCATTCCTGGTCAGAAGAAACAGTAGATGGATCAAAACTTAAGAATCAACAGACCTTTCGGGCTTCAGAAAAGTATACACCGTGTTCATTTTCTGAATTAAACTGCTTACCTTGGCAGTAACCAACATCATTGTCTATCCAGGCGTAAAGAGCTAGAATGTCCCAAAGCTTAGACAAGTTCTCCTTTTTCTCATAGAATACCAAAGTCCTATCTGTGCGATTTACATCAAGACCTGAAAATAAGAGTTTACACAAGTCAATTGAATGATATATTGAATTATCTCTCTGTTGTGACCAAAGCAGCGTGATCACAGACCTATTTGGTGAAGTGTTAACAGCCATTGAATAACTTTCTGGTCCAAAGGTCCGCGGCTTGCAAGATCTTTAAAGAAATCCGAACCATTCGCACCTGAGAGAATACTTATGAATTGTAATGCTTAATTTACCAAGTTCTAGTGAAAAGTGGTTGTTCTACTGTTTCCTTGAGCAAAAGATACAAATTTTTACCTAAATTTGTTTCTTGTAGTACAATAGGATCGTAAATGGGTTCACCCTTGTTGGTAATTACAGGTGCAGTAATGAATCCACCACTTCCGATAACTGGAAACATTTGTTTACATTCCTCCTTCCAAGAAGCATACTGCAATCTGAAAGGAAATATCCATACTTCAAAAAAAAAAGATATAGAGAAAAGAGAATGCAAGATGAATAGGATCTTTCATAAACTTATATATGGGTGAAAAAGAAACACCTTCTACGTTGTCGGATTTGCTCTCTTTCTTCAAATGTGCTCTTTGGATCATAACAACCAAGTAAGAATTCCCAGACTTCTCCTCTAATTGATGGATGGATCCCCTAGACAAGTCAAGAAAGCAAAGAACAGGATTGGAATGATAAGAACGGATACCGTGTACTCTTGATTTCTTGATTGAGATGGAAAAAGGCAAGCAAGAGGATTAAAATATAAGTGATCATTGCATTTAGTTAAAGTTGCAGTCTTTGCAGACAATGTTTTTGAGACTTACCCCTCGTTGGATTCGACTTAGAGTCTTGCCAATATCGAGGAATCCTTCTGTTGTAAATGCAGCTTGCCATTTTCTTACACTTAGAGTTTTACCAGGCTGCACAAACATAATTAAGCAAAAAAAGACAGGTAGTGTCAGCAAATTGAGACTCTGCCATTCTCTAAAACATAATCATGTGATGCTACTAAGTAAGATCAGTGCTAGAAAGGTGAGCCTAAACAATCAGCATCAGAAAACATTAACTCTAAGCAAGCTATAGCACTATTGATGTACCCAACCCAATAAACCATAACTAGTACTGCTCTCGTCTCCTGTTTGATCAAAAGCAAACAAAATCTCCAAATTCAAAGGAGGAATCTGCATTTCCCTAAACACAACCATGAGAATATAAAATGTAAAAAGAGCCATAAAATCAATAATCCCCATTAATAAATCAGCATCATAAGACAAAAACATGTCGTATCTCTACTAATGGTAAAAGTTCAAAATCGAAGAAGCAATGCTAATATTTTAGCTGAAAATTTCATTGTAAGGGAGAAAGAAGAATCTAAGCAAGCAACACAAAAGAACACATTTTGAACATATAAATCCAGTAAAAGAATCTGAAGCTCCCAGGGAATCACAAACGCCAATCTCATTCATTGATAACGAATCCAATGCTGAACAAAATCCAAGAAAAAGTAATAACAAAGAAGAAATTATTAAGGAAAGGGACAAACTTTGATCTTGAATTTGGTATTGGGGACATCAGTGCACTCAGGACGAATCTGGTAATAAGAATCTGCTGGTTCTGCGAACGCTCCCCACATTTTTATCGATTTTTTTTTCAATCCCTTACAAAAAATAAAAATGTAAACTTTCCCGGGAAAATCAAATGAAAAATCCAAACAAAAAATGGGTTTTTTTCTTCAACAAACAAGATTGGAGAAGAAAGAAAGAAAAAAAACTGGAACCCTCTCAAAAGATCAATTCTTTCTTTGTCGAATTTTTGGAGAAGAAAGAAAAGAAAACAAATAGAGATCTTTAAGAGGGGTCCAGTTTTTGAGATTAAAGAAAAGATCAAAGACAGAACTTTTCTTTTTGGTTTGCAATTATTTTACTAATCTAATCTAATTAATCATCAACCATGTTTCGTTTTACATTTTTTTAAATAATTGAGTGGTCTCTGGAGAAGCAATCATTTTTGATGGTGATTAAGAGGTGTTGATCGTTTGGTCAAGCTCATCGACCTTTCTTTATTTATCTTTCTCTCCCCCATTTTTAGTAAACGAGACAAGCTTGCGTTTGTTGACATAGTTTTCGGTTTAGTCAATCGGTTTATGCCATGGTTTGATTTGGTTAATCACTGTTACAAAGGCTCTGACTTGGTTCTGTTTAAGTATTTTTGACAAAATTAGCTTCTGTTTAAGTATTTTTGATTTGGTTCGGTTTTGATTTGTTTTTTCTTCTCCAAAACCCTAGAAAACTAGGTTAAATAAACATTGGAAGAAACTAATTAGGTCACATAAACCACATTGTAGATTTTTCGCCGAGTGAAGTTGTGTCTTGTTTTGACGTATTCAACAACTCCGACATTAGTGTTAGAGAGGTTTAAGTCACTCATCGTTTCAGCCAAGCGACAAAAGTAGACTAAGCCACCCCAAGACTTAAAAAAATAACTATTTTTATTTAGGGACAAAATAATGGAATTGTATGTAAGCGATGTGGTTGATCCAAAAACGAAAGTATGTAAGCGATGTAAACTACATTGATGAAAAAAATAACAGAAAAAAAATAAAAGAAAACTAAACAATGAAACAACTAGATAGGCATTGTCGAATCATCCTATACAATCACCAATTACGCCCGATCCTCTCTGGTTGCCCAATATGCGTAAAATACATAGATGGCGAAACATATAAAGCCACCAAAAATGACAAAAAAACCTATAAACGCCATTAGTCCCAAGCCTTCCATTCTCCCTTCTCCTTTTTGTGTGTATACTGTATTGAAAGCCGAAAGAAAAATACATTCAATCAAAAAAGAAGAGGTTTTATATTAATAATTAGCTTCGAACTATAAGGAAAACTTCGATACTAGTGATGACCAAAAGAATGGAAACTTAGATACGACTAGTGAATAATATATCTCACTATTACCTCTTGTATCTAAAGAAATGGTAAATTATAGAGCGAGTAAGGAGATTGACCTTTTACGAAAAAGAATAAAGAGGATTACCTCTATAAATAAATGGAAACTATACAAAAGTTCTTAAACACGTACATTCAATATATATGCATATCTTAAACATGCCATGTTAGGGTTAAATGTTTCCAATTGGGAATCTTATATTAAATATACAAAATTCGAAAAAGTTTATAGTAGAAAGCATGTCATATACCCAAAGATTTAGTGAATCATAATTTCAAAGGTTATTTATGTGTGGCAGGCTAAGAAAATAGAACGCCGGTAATAGTTAGCAATCCAAAGATGAAAGATACATGAAACATAAGGAAAACTGTTGAATTGGAATATCATAACTAATGATTTCGCGTCTAACAAATGTTAACATTACATACACAAGAATTTAATATCATAAGAGAAAAGAAAATAAATTGTCACTAACAATTCTCTTTAGAAAATTTTCTGACCTATGTAGAGTCTAAATAGTAATCAGAAAATTTGACTGAATCTCCCTGAATTGTTAAATCGAGCTAATTTTTTAGTCATTTTTAGCTGAATTTAGTTGAATATGTACATTTCTAAATGGTGACGGTTGAATCTAGCTAAATTTTTTGTGATTTTTGACAAAATTTAGCAAACTAATGAAGACTTTAACTAAAAAAATATCATCAAATAATTTTGAATATTAGTAGAATAACTAAAAAATATCTAAACAAAATAGATAAAATTATATAATGGTCTAGTTAACTTTTATATCAATAAATAAATACTAAAATTATCTAAAATTAATACTATATATAAATAAGATATTGGTTAGCAAAAATGAATTATTCTTCCATATTTAAATTTTGAGCTATTAAAAATAGAGAAATTGTTAATAATGCCCCTTTTTCAATACCCCTTTTCAAAAATGCCCCCTTTGAGAGTCCATTTTTAAGTTTGCCCTCTTTTAATTTTTAATGACCATTTTACCCTTATTTGAAACAAAATTAGGTCCACAAAATACAAAATATTTTTTGGCGGGAAAAGTGATCCCGCAATTTTCCCGCCAAAACACTTGTAAAAACCTTTAAAATACCTTGTAAAATTTTCCCGTAAAAATTTTTCCCGCCAAAAAATTTTTTTTGCGGGAAAAGTGATTCCGCAATTTTTTTGGCGAAAATTTTTTGGCGGAAAAAATTACAAGGTATTTTAAAGGTTTTACAGAGTATTTACAAGTGTTTTGTAAGGTTTTACAATGTATTTTAAAAGGTTTTACAAAGTACTTATAAGGTTTTATAAGGTATTTATAACTTGTAAAACCTTATAAAAAACTTGTAAAACCTTATAACTTGTAAAACCTTATAAAATAGCTTGTAAAATCTTATAATATCTTATAACTATCTTATAAATACGTTGTAAAACCTTTTAAAATACATTGTAAAACCTTATAAATACCCTGTAAAAAACCTTTAAAATACCTTGTAAATTTTTCCCGCCAAAAATTTAACGCCAAAAAAATTGTGGAATCACTTTTACCGCAAAAAACAAATTTTGGCGGGAAAATTTTTTGGCGGGAAAAAATTTTACGGGAAAATTTTACAAGGTATTTTAAAGGTTTTACAAGTGTTTTGGCGGGAAAAATTGCGGGATCACTTTTCCCGCCAAAAATATTTTGTATTTTGTGGACCTAATTTTGTTATATTTCCTTATATATTTTTGATATCTTTTATTAAAGAAGGGTAATTTAGTCATTTTGTACATAAAAAGGGGTATTTTTAAAAATGGACAGCCAAAGGGGGCATTTTTGAAAAGGGGTATTGAAAAAGGGGCATTTTTGTGAGTCTCCCTTAAAAATATGTAAATAATTAATAAAAACCTTTGTCAAAGCATTATTGAAAAATTAATTTCAAAAATTAACATGATAATAAATATAGATTATCTAATTGATTTTTTTTTTCTATTGTTCTCTAGTTGTTTTAATCAATACTATGATGAGGATGACTATTTGAGTAAGAAAATTATTAAAATTTTTGATATTTTAAATAATAGTTTTAGTATAGTTATGAGTTGTTTTGTAAAATTTTAAAAATTCATTTTAAATTATCTAAAAGTTATTAAAATTATCCAAAATTATTTATAATTATCCAAAAATGAATTCGAATCTTGTTTATTTTGGTAGTGATTTTATGTATCCGAATTATTCATATATTTTATCCATAAAATCTGACTCATTTTTAAATAAAAATTTGATTTGTAATTCAAAAAGATTTTATTTAGAGTTGTGTACTCGTTATTATCCGAATTTTTATCAAAAATGAACATATCTACGTATTATCAGTTAGTGTTGAAAAAATCTGTTAAATCTGACTGAATTCAACTGAATTTAGTTTTATGCAAATAGTAACTGTAAAATTGTTGAATTTAGTTGAATATGGCTGAATGTTTTTTTTTATGTGTTACTATTTAAACCCGTAGTTTATTTGTAACTCTTATCTAGGTAGCTTTCTCACGTTGTGGCTTTTAATCTGGTCTGGAAAACAAAAATATAACTATGCACGGTCACCTTGTGACCTACGGCGGTTAGGTGAGTACCACATTTGTCAACAATGTGGTAAACAGAAAACTGATCTACGGTGCATAGCCAGCGAAACAAAATCATAAAAACATTTTTGAGACTTTTCTAAATGATTGTGTGAAGGATTATGACTCATTATCGAAAATATATACATATATTCCTATAAAAATATGAATGCCCATAAAACTCACATGCCATATGTAATTTGTTACATAAGCATATCTCAACAATTAAGTGAATAACATATATTACATATGATTGAAAAAAATCTACCAAATACTGTATTAATAATCTAAAAGGAAAAAAATTATTGGAAACCAAAAGAATGAATAAGGATTGTTATTTATAATCAACCAAGGAAATTGGTGACCATAGACAAAGGAACTAAACAAAGCCCCTTTTTCTTCAAGTCTATTGATAATCCACCTTGGTTTTGCACTGCACTTTCTCTTTTCTCCTATGTAAAAAATTATCGTATGGTAAATTTTTGTTAGAGATATCATATCGCATATATTTCGTATGACATATGATTGATCAATTCTAACGTTAACTATATACAAAGTTAAATTATAGCTAGTTAATGTGTTTCTTACATTATTTGTGTCATCACCCATAATACCACCCCGGTATCTAGTGTTGTTGTCCTGTAGGTTCATCATGCTATAGACCTATAAAACGAAAAACAAAATCCCAAATTGTCAAATAGATAATAACTGTTTAAATATTTATGGACTAAATTAATATAATGTACAATTGACTTGTTAAAGCTGATTATTATACATTGATGTCAAATAGTAGGAACTTAAGAAATGGCACAGATTGGTGCATAAGTTTTTGGATTAATTTTTTTAGAAGTATATTTCAATTATGAGTCAAAACCCAAAATTTTAATGATTGCTTGCCTCTCTTGGCAAAAAGAAAAATAAATTATTCCCTATCATTGACGTCTACCCTTATCATCAATCCAATGTCCTAAAAAAATATAATCAGCATAGGACTAATATAGATATCCCATTTATATATCTGTATCATGGCATATTTACTCATATTTATAATCACGTTCTTAGAAAAATAAAGAAGGAACCTAAAATAAATAATGCCTGAACAAATCATATTCACCACATATGACATACCTATAGTCTACTTAAAATTTTCATGAAGTAGTCTTATAGTGTTTTCACGATTTATATAGTTAAAGTTCGATCTTTTGTGTTTATCACCTCGGCGATAACCACTAAACCAAATTCATTTGGTAATTAAAATCATATTTTATAACCATACATACATGAATATATATATATATATATATATATATATATATATATATTCATTTAGAGAGAGAGAGAGAGACTGACGTTAGGGCTATGAGAAGGAGAAGAGGCAGTGTCTTCAAGATCATGACGACGACCAAAAGGAATCTCTCTGTTTCTTGTCCTCTTGATGTCCAAATTAGATCCTTCTTGCTTCGACACGTGGAGGGTCTTCTTAGTGGCCACAAACGACGCTGCATCGGAGACGGAAGAAGAGCTGCAATCTCCGACGTCAACTATGCTTGAAGAAGCCTCGAAGAAATCCTCAAAGTACATCGTCCAGCTACTTTCTTCCGGATTTTGGTCGCCTGTAAACGTCGCCGTTTCATGTTTGCCCATAATGAAGGCATTGTTCATTGAACTCTCCATGAAAAATTTGGAAGAGAAAAAGAAAAATGGTTGGTTTGTAATTTGGTAGCAACAGATGAAAGGAAACATGCGTGAGGGATTATTATATACATAGTGAAGTAAATAGTGAATTAATCAAATTAGTATTTAAAATTGTTTTTTTTAACGAATTAATATTATTTTGCTGTCAATGATGGGGAATGTAATGTTGGTTTGGAATCTTGGTTTGTGGGGTCGCTCTATCTGTTGTTTCTCTATTTGGTTGGAATGAAAGTTGGTTTGAAATGTTCAAACCAGTTTAATACTGTTATCCTGCAAATTAAAACATATATGTGAATTTTTATATTAAATATAAAATTCGAGCTTGATTTATGAAAATTTTATGAATAGTAGAAATTATCAGTGTTGAATTATCTAAAATGTTGTAACATCAATAAACTATAATACTTTTTTGTGAACGTTCTTAAGTATATTATCAAATATAAAGATATTAAGAAAAAAATGATGTAGAATTATATGATTGAATCATTGTACAGTATATGCAATTCTTCCATATTAGTGTTTTTTTTGGAGCTATAAAGATATGCTAAATTTTATTAAATATCTTCCTTTTCAACACTGTATATAACATATAAAGGGTGCTCACTTTTGGTTCTAAGTTTTTGGACTTATATTTTCCGTCGAGCTACTCTATGATTACTTTCGCATCTTTATCGAATAATTGTTTGGTGCATTATCCCCTAATTAGAATCTATAGATATAAAATATATATATTTTTTGAATTGAATATAAAATATATTAGTGTAAGAACAACATATATATTAGAGGTATATACATAGTTAAAACAAAAGTGAAGCCGGTCTATTATATAATAATAATAATAATTAGCATTTTTTATGTGATGATATTGGGAGGAGGAAGATGTGTCACATTCTGCTCCATGTAAATAATATAAAGTGGAAGATGTGGAGCAGTTTTAAACATGAAAACTACTTACAAGGTTTAATGCCAGTATATTAAAGCTAAAGTAGTATAAAATCTTAAAATCTTATAATACTTGAATGTCATCCATGACCATGTGTATGTACAACACTAAACAATTTTAGAGATGCTCAAAAGTAGCACAAAAATATCCTCTAAGTTTAGCATATAAACCTTGAAATCTCGTATTAACACGGTTAAAGACATATTTATGTGGGAGGAACTTAATTAAGTATCAGGTTTTGTGCTTTTGGGATAACATGTAATGTGACCAATAATGCTACACATTGTTAACTTTCCTCAACAATTAGGCCTTATTTTTTTGTGTGTGTGTTGGTGTGTCATCAACTTTCCTCCACAATTAGGTCTTGATAGTATAGAAAAAAGGTCTTAATTGCCAAGTTTAAAATGTCCGACGTCGCATTTTGGCTATTTCCTGATAATTAAGTTAATGAATAGAGTGGACTGAAACATCATTAGATTCTTAATCAAATTGTTCTCTTATTTATCCACTTGGATGGTCCATAAGAAACCCACAATTGAATAATCGATTTACTAACTTCTGGATTACGAATAAATCAACGAGCAAATGCGCCGGTTTCACATTATCCAAAAATAAATACAATAATTAAACCTGTACTGCAACTATTTATTTATATGGTACTAGTAGACGCATTTCAATTAGTTATTTAACAGTATAGTAAGTTATTAAAATTAAAAAAAAATCGTAATAATAACTTGAGGAGCATGGTTCATGATTTAAGAGAGGAATATGGAAGGCTGTCATGCTGATGATGCTAATATTTTGGAGACCATATCGATATTAATTAATTTTATTTTAATTCGGCGAATCACACATTTATTGTTCAAATTGCACAGGAAACGAAAATTTTGAATAAGAAGAAAAATATATGGAAGTGAGACCATATAATCGAAACAAATATATATCGATGTGAGAACATATACCATATGTGAATGTTGTACTGTATGTATGAAGTTACGAACCTAAAACTATAAATAAACATGGATCAAAATGATCATGAGTCCTACTTTCACCTGACATCCTAATTGTCTTTTGTTTTCTTTTTTGTAATCTTCAATGTCTTTCTGTCCAATTTTTCTTTGTGCATGTGAATTCTCAAGTTTTTTTTTTTATTGGTTACATTAAAACATTTACTTTTAGAATATTAAGATAAATAAATGTTTTAATATAACCATTTAATGGTACCTAAATTTACATGCTATATATCTGTGGTAACTCTCTCTTGCAAGATATTTTCACTTAAAAGAAATTTTAGGTATACTAAAGATAGAGTTACGTCTTAGCAGGATTGATATTAGCATGTAAAGGTTCGAATTTTGGGTGTTATTGATCATGAAACAAAAAAAAAGAGAGAGTGAGAACAATATCCTAGAATTCAAAAATGATCACTGTACTGTAATTTAGATAAGACATTTAGGTAATTAATAAAAACAAACAACAAAAAAAGTTTTTAGAATTTGTCAACTTCCAATTCAGTAATCTAATATCATTGACTTTGTAAAACCCCTTGACATACGTCAATAGAAGATCTTGCAAAGATTTTATTTCACTAAAAAAAAAAATTCAATTGTTGAGATGCCGAACTTAGGAACTAATTTATATATCAATATGTGTCCTTTCTTTTATTTGTTTAACTGTTGTTTCGTCAGGTTAATATCGACACAAAAATTATAATTATTACTAACGTGAGAATGGCCACTAACAAGGTTTTTTAAATTATCTTCTTTTTTTATGATAATCTTGGCCAAAATCCGTCTAATCTGGTGGGTTCAAGAACAACGAAGCTGTTCCAAACGGAAAATCAAACAAAAGGGAATGATTTTGTTTCCCTTTAACATCTATTTTGTTAAAACTTACTATTTATTTATTTTTAAAAAATATCCAGTTTACAAATAGACTTTATGAAAAGTTATAGATAGAAGGGGGAAAAAAGAGAGTTATAGATAGACAAAAGGTTACTTAAATAGTGATTAGAAATAAACGATATATATAAACTAAAAAGTGAAGTTACACATAATTGTTCGAAAGCATTTTTATTTTCTTTCTGTTAAAAGTTTTTCGAAAGTATTGAACCAGTAACCACCGGTGGATACATTTGGGTAAATAGAAAGAAATATTTTATGTAACGATAGTAGGTAGTATCAATAAACTATAATTTTGACATAAAGTCTACGTGGAGTGGATGAATTAGTGGGTTCCAATTAAATGATACAAAAGTATATAAATTGTGATCAAAGGAATATTGGTATAATAAGGAATATTACTTTGTACTTAAAAATAATCAAATACAGGTCAATGCTATGTATATACTATATAGTATATTTACAATTAAAATAACTTTTGTTATGTCATATCATGATCATATGGTTAGATATAAATTATAATAAACATAGCTCTGACGAATTTTTTTTTTTAAAAATAGCTTTCACTGACAATCGTACGATTGTACCCAAACTTACAAAATTACCTCTTGTCTTTCTTAAGACAGTGAGTTCTTGAGGATATGTGATTTGTACATAATAAAGAAAATCACATGTGTTATGTTTTTTTCTCTAATTAAGTCTCTTCTGAATTAGGCCAAAATAAGAGAACTTAAATGAAATTTCAAATCGACACGTATAGCAATATACCGCCACGGGTAAATGAAAGGCACATGCTGATGCTATGAAATATTGACATGCGCATGTGAGCCACCAAAGATTCTCAGGTTGTTAAGCTAACCATGATTATGAGAGCGGTTAAGGCCAATTAATGATTAGGAGTTAGGATGTTAAGCCGTATCCAACAGAAACAAATCTTTAATATTCCTGTTTCCTAATAATTGTCTATCTTTTGTTTTTTTCCTCTTGAAAATGGTTATGATACTTCAGACTTTATATGAATTATATATATATATATATATATATATAGAAATTTCTGTTTTTTCTCATAATTTTCTTGTTAGTGAAATAATTTTAAAATTTTTATTAAAACAATTTGTGTTGAGAAGTTAATAAATTTATTAATTAAATTCTCTGTTAGATGAAGCATTTCTTTCCGACAAGACACCACGATAATCCCATACCGCCGCAACACATGCATATAATGATGCTCCATCGTCCAACCTATGGAATTGAGCGAAAGCTCATAATTAACTGTCGTTAAAATATATTTTTTCCGTTTCAAAATATAAGATGTTTTAACTAATAGTATGCATATTAAGAAATATCTACTTTTAAAAAGTCCAACCAATCGTAAATAAAACTGTATAATATAAATAATAAAAAAATATTAAATTAATATATAATTTGCATAGAAACTTGAAAACATCTTATATTGTGAAACAAGAATCCAAAACATTTTATATTTTAAAACAGAGGAGGTAACAGGTAGTATATCTAACTAGAGTTGACACTTAAAAAAAAACTTTTAGAAAATGTAATTAACAACAGTAATTTTTTTTTTTGTAAAACATTGTTCCGCTCCAAAGCCGGAAGTGCAAGTTTGTGAGCTTATGAAAACATTAGATTATATGAAGTTATGTAATTAGCTGCACAGAATTTTTTTTTCTTTCTGAGAGCTAAAATATGACACAAAATACGTTTGCAGATATAATGAGTTTTGTGAGAGCTAAAAAACATCATGTATATATTAAATTTTCTACAGTTATATTTTTTTGGGTTAAGATAATCAAATGTAGTATTAGATTCTGAAATGGTTAATGCAGAACATTAACAAATTTGTGGGCTTAATGGGCTTCGACCGGGCAAGTTATATATAACGTGTATCGACAATTTAGTTCAGTTCAATTGTAGCATGTATACTAAACACATTCAAAACTTGATTTTGCACATGTTTAAATAAGATGTGATTATAATAAAAAGAACTTTTTTTTGGAAGAAATTATTTTATGTACTTAATTAGATGCCATGAAATTAAAATATTTGTTTCTGTAGAGAAATTGTTTAAAATCATTTATGTCAAATTACATTTATTAATTTCCTACTACAAGCCTTAAGATAGCTTCATATCATACGTACACCTACATTAATTCAAAAAAATAATTTTTTTGAAGTAACAAACTAGGTAAAAAATAATTTTATGGTAACAAATGATTTTATAGTACATTGATATCAATTTTCAAAAATAATATATTATCCGTTATTCGTCGCCACATTAATTTTTGATCGAAATTCGATATCACCACATTATTTTTACAAACAAACCTCTAGAAGTTGACTATTATTTAGTACATATACTTTTTGTTTTTCGTGTAAGTTAACATTTTTCTTATGAACCTATAAAAAACTAAAAATACCAAACTGAAACTAAACCAAAACCTATTTGAAAGTACATAATTCCTTAACCAAAAGTACATAACTTTGTATGTATTTTGTCAACAAAAAACAATGCTTTGAGAAAAATATAAAACATTATTTTTTTCTTAAAAAGAAGTTCAATAGTGTTCTCTGCAACATGTAAGCATATACTTATATACATACTCCTTAGTTTTTTTTTTTTATATTTCTCTTTCTCTCTATAAGTATTGCGATCATCTAATTACTTAAAATCTCTCTCATTTGAATTCTTCTTCTGTTTTAGATTCTAGGTCAAAACACTTGATCCAATATCTTTGCGATTTGTGCCTAAATTAAGTTCTCTTTGATAGAAAGTTTTCAACTTTTAATTTATTTTTTTTATTCGACGAAAAAACCTCTCCGGTGATGGTTTTGTCGGCGAAACAAACCCTCCCTACGAAGATCGGACTTTTCCGACGAAACCCTTCTTCCTCACTACGAAGATCTCCTGTTTCTCTCTCGTTTCCATCGACGGAGCTTTCAAAACGCACCGTTTTAGCAGTCTCAAAGCCGCTTCATCTCTCTTCTCTGAGAGCTAAGTCTCCGGTAGTGAGATGTGAAGCTTATGAAGCTGACCGATCAGAGCCTCAGCCGATCGATGATGCTGCAGCGGCGGAAACGAAATCAGAGGCGGCTAAGAAATTGAAGATCGGGATTTACTTTGCTACTTGGTGGGCTTTGAACGTTGTGTTCAATATCTACAACAAGAAGGTCTTGAACGCTTATCCTTACCCATGGCTTACGTCGACGCTTTCTCTTGCCGCTGGTTCGTTGATGATGCTAATCTCTTGGGCTGTTGGGATCGTTGAGACTCCTAAGACTGATTTCGATTTCTGGAAAACTCTTTTTCCGGTAAGTGGGTTGGTGGGGGGATGAAGTTTGGTGGGTTGGTGAGAAAAATTGGGGAAAAAAGGTTGAAACTTTAGGTTAGATATCGATGTTTACGATGATGGGTATTGAGGTTTAAGGTCAAATTGATGCAGATCTTGCATGAATATTTGTTGTTTTTTTGTTACTTGAGTGATCTGCATAGTTTTGTTTGCTTCCTAAGAAAAAACTTATGGAGAGAGAAGAAAGTGATGTTTTTTTGGCTGTGTTTGTGTTCATAGACTGCTGAATTTTCATAGCTAAATTCTGAAAATTCAAGTGTCAACAAAAATCAGCTTGTCATTAATTAGCTTCTAGTAAATCATCTTAGTCCAAAGTATTGAACTTTTTGATATTTTGTTGTACTAAAAGTGGTTTTTGTTTGAGTGCGTATAGGTTGCTGTGGCACATACAATTGGTCATGTGGCTGCAACGGTGAGTATGTCAAAGGTTGCGGTTTCGTTCACTCACATCATCAAGAGTGGTGAACCTGCTTTTAGTGTGCTTGTCTCGAGGTTCCTTTTGGGTGAAACCTTCCCTACTTCGGTTTACCTGTCCCTCATTCCAATCATCGGTGGTTGCGCTCTGTCTGCCCTTACCGAGCTTAACTTCAACATGATTGGTAACATATATCTATTGATACGTTTGGTCATGTATCCAATGTTTTTTCTTAATCTTTTTTGTTAGATATATTTGATGCATTGATGTGTAATTGGGACTGATTTGAAATGGCTTTGCATGTTTGATATTGGCTTTAAATCTGCGCTCCTGCTTTTCAGGTTTTATGGGAGCTATGATTTCGAACTTGGCATTCGTCTTCCGTAACATCTTCTCGAAGAAGGGAATGAAGGGAAAGTCTGTGAGCGGAATGAACTACTACGCCTGTCTCTCAATGTTGTCCCTATTGATCCTCACTCCCTTTGCGATTGCGGTTGAAGGACCTCAGATGTGGGTCGATGGCTGGCAAACAGCGCTTGCTACTGTCGGACCACAGTTTGTTTGGTAATTTCCCTCTACAATCTCTTACGAAAAGACGACTCTTTTAAACTCGAAAGATAGTTTTTGTTACGTGTTTAATGCATTCTTGTCCTGTTCCTAGAATCCGCTGTGAAAGACCCACTTGTCAAGTTCTTGTCTTTAGCTCTCAAATTTTTTGTTATCATCCAAATGATTAACAATCCTGGAGTTTTTTTTAGTGATTAGGCCAATGAATCCATCCCATTCGCTTATCCGATTCCACTTTTTCTTTAATCAAATTTGCAGGTGGGTGGCTGCCCAGAGTGTGTTCTATCACCTCTACAACCAAGTGTCTTACATGTCTTTAGACCAAATCTCTCCCCTGACATTTAGTGTTGGTAACACCATGAAACGTATCTCCGTCATCGTCTCCTCCATCATTATCTTCCGCACTCCAGTCCAGCCTGTTAACGCCCTTGGAGCCGCCATTGCTATCCTTGGAACCTTCTTGTATTCCCAGGTAAAACACTCAACACACAAACCTTAAAATGACCAGAGTACCCCTATTGTCCATATGAAATATGATAAATAAGCGTCTCTTGGCTACACTTCACAGATATGATGTCCCTTAACAATATGATTAGACTTAAAGTCACTTAACTATAACTTCTTTGACAATATCAAGAACCGTCTCAATTTATTTTGGTGTAATGCCGCACTAATAATTCAAGAATCAAGATTCTTGGTTCGGCGTTTTAATGTTTCGTTATCCTGGTTTTCGCGTGATGTGCAGGCAAAGCTCTGATTCGGAAGACATAAGAGTGTCCGGGTCTGGTGTTGAGCTCGTGATTTCGGTTAAAACCGGGAAAAGAGCTTAATGTAGATATTTATCCTCAATAATGAAAGAAATGATGAGAATGGACACTCACACGACAGTGTTTAGAGTGTGTTAGGCAGTTTTTAGTTTGGGCTTTTTTTTTGAATTTGGGGGAAGTGAGATGATTGCCTCTTTGTAACTAAAGTGGGAAATAGATATTTGTCCCCTTTGAGAATAAGACACCCTGAAACACTCTTTTCAACTAAGTGAGAAATATTACTAAAAGTAGAGAATATTATCTCGAGATTATTCTCCTTTGCTGTCATAAAGAGAGAAATCAGTACATTTTCTTTTAACTTTCATGCTCTAGTTATGTCGGAAAAAGCTGATGTCCAAGTTATATATCTTGGAGAGTATTCTATTGACAAAAAGAAACCACCGAGGCAATAGTAATCAATAATGAATTTTATTACAAAAGTAATGCTAATGCATGGACACGGAGGTAGGCATTAGATTTGGTTCAGACTTGGAAAAGAGAGAGACATGTCTCTTGGGATTTCAGAAGAGGCAGAGGGATATGTTTGGTGAAGAATATACTCAAACAAGATTCTCTCTCTATTGCTTATATTATTATTTTCATACATCAAAGTCACCAATTCTCTTTTTTCTTAAATCTTAAGGATCACAATTCACAAGGGGAACATGACTTTGGCAGATGCTATATGAGTATATGCGAATATATATGTTTTCTAGCAATTGGGCCTCTTTCCAATGTAAAATCTCTTATGAAATTAAAGAAGCTGTAGTAGAGTTCTGAGATAATATTCCATGTTTGTATCTGCAAAAGCAGGATTTCGTTTTGAAAACCAAAAAGAAAGCAAATTGAGAAACAAATCATTCGAGCTCTTTCAAGAATATGAAATGTTTTTTTTATTCATGATACATTTATTCAAGTTTGTTCTCTTCGTAATCTTTTTCTATTTCCAATTTTGTTGGAAACGTCGTGACCAGAGAGAAGCAAAGTACTTAACAGATTACAAGTACAAAAAGGATTTCATTGTGTCTGAGTAACTGAAAAACAAACAAAAGTGTTTCTCTTTCAAACGTCAAGATATTTAGCCACTGTCTGAACATCTTTATCTCCTCTTCCGCTGAAGTTCAAGACCACTCTCGTTCCATCCGATAATGTGGGACATAGCTTCTCGAGGTAAGCTAGTGCGTGTGAGGTCTCGAGTGCTGGAATGATTCCCTCTAACCTCGACACTCTCTTGAATGCTACAGACACAAATCAAAGGGAACACAAAGGGAAAGTAAGGAAACAAAGAACAGACTTTTAGATACAGAACAAAAGACTATGCATTAGTACATTACCTTCCAACGCTTCTTCATCGGTTATGCTATAGTATTCAGCCCGTCCCATGTCTTTAAAAAAACTATGCTCGGGTCCGACTCCAGGGTAGTCCAATCTGTAAGAGAAAATCAAATCATGTTCATGCAACCGTGGCTAATTGAGTAGACTATTCGATAATCTACATTCAAACATATGAATAAGAATGTTGCGATGGGCTTAATGCCCACGAACCAGCCCGCCATGGATCAATCAACCCGCAGTCTGGCCAGGCCAAGACCCATCAATTTCCTTTATATTAATTGGGTTAACTGCTGGCCAAATCAGAGCTGGGCTTAGTATGGACCAAGCTGGGCTAGGTCATCACAACATCTCTACTTATGATGGCTACCAGATCTGAATAGAGAATTTCACTTACCCTGCACTGATGGAGTGTGGTTCAATGATTTGTCCATCATCATCTTGCAGCAAGTAACTCATAGCTCCATGGAGGACACCAACATCTCCCTTTGTCAATGTAGCAGCGTGTTTGCCACTGTCCAATCCGAATCCCGCTGCTTCCACACCGATCATCCGAACCTCTGTGTCATTTACGAATTCATGGAAGAGTCCCATAGCGTTTGAACCACCACCGACACAAGCCACCAAGACATCCGGCTTCCCGCCCCATTTCTCCAACGCTTGTCTCCTTGTTTCTTTACCAATTACAGCGTGAAAGTCTCTGACCATCATGGGGTAAGGATGAGGACCCGCCACAGATCCTAATATGTAATGGGTAGTCTCAACATTTGTCACCCAATCTCTTATCGCTTCAGATGTCGCATCCTTCAGTGTTGCTGTTCCAGAGTGAACTCCTCTCACCTATAACACCAGAAACCAAAAAAAGGTTCAGAAACAATGTTTATCACATTTAAAAGAGATGGATATGAATCTTAAGCATCACCTCGGCACCAAGAAGTCTCATTCTGAACACATTGAGTGCTTGTCTTTCCATATCTTGAGCACCCATATAGATAATACACTCTAGACCAAAACGGGCACACACAGTGGCTGTAGCCACACCATGTTGACCCGCTCCTGTCTCAGCAATAATCCTCTTCTTGCCCAACCGCTTGGCAAGAAGTGCCTGAGCCACAGCATTATTAATCTTGTGAGCACCTGTGTGGTTCAGGTCTTCCCTCTTCAAATATATAAGCGGCCCTTCACCATTCTCGCGCCTGTAATGCTCCGTTAGCCTCTCTGCAAAATACAGAGGACTTTCTCTACCCACATAGTCTTTCAAGATGCCTGCCAACTCCCTCTATCAAAGATTCATTGACACAAACACACAGAAAACATAAATCAGACATAGAACCAGAGAAACCAAACCAAAACAAGATTCCAAATTTCATTTTTCTCTGTTTCCCATAATCTCTAACCATTTCATCTATGAACAGAACCCATTTCATTCAAATGCCCTAGAATTTACATTTCCCATCAACAAGATCCAAACTTTATCTCAATCTGCAAATTATAGCGCTATAATTCCAACGACCCACAACGCAAAAGGTTTCATTTTTATCGAATCACGAAGAACAAGGTCTACCTGGAAATCTTCGTCGGTGGCGAGAGCATAGAAAGCGGATTCAAGCTCAGAGAGAGCGTGCATAAGGGTCTCAGGTACATACTTCCCACCAAACTTCCCAAACCGACCGAACGAATCGGGTCGTTGCCACAGGGTCGGGTCAGATCCGGCGGTCATGAGAACAGGCGGGTCTTTGGCGATAGTGCAGGAGACGGAGAAGGATGACTTGGAGCGAGACGATGGCAGAGGCGTAAATTTGAGAGCTTTGAAGGGTGATGATCTCAAATGGGTCAATTGGGAAGAAGAAGAAGAAGGAGCAGAAGAAACGGAGGCTCTGAAAGTAGCAGCGGTGCCTGAGGCTGCCATTACTGAATGAATCTCTCTGAGTCAAATATATTCTTCTCCTTCAAATATCCTTTCAAAGTAAAATGTGTTTTTATAGATAGATTATTTTTTTTCAACAAGAATGGGTCAAAATTCTGACCACAAAATTCATATTAAACTAGTGTTGAGCAAAATATTTGTAATATCCTAAATCTGCTTTGATCAGATTTTATAAATTTGGTTATTTGTAAACAAATACTAAAATTTAATATAGAAAATCACAAATGTTTAAATTTGAATTTTCAGATATCTCTATATCTTTGTGGAGATGTATAAGCAGACACATGTAAGCAGACCAAGAGAGAAAAAAAAAAAAAAAAAAAAAAGGTTGGTAGGACTAGGAAAGTGGGATCGTAATTTAACACATGGTTTTGAAAAACATATTAAATTGAGCCATCACCTACCATTATCTTCTTTTTTTTCATGAAAAATACACTAGCAAGAGTTGAAAACTCTTCTAGTTATAAGGGCCGACGGAACGGACAACGAAAAATCTCAAGAAACTAAATCCTAAAACTTAGTTTATAATCCGCAAAACGTAGAAAACAATAGTGTTCCACCGAATGTGTGACTGATGGATCCGTCTAGTAAATTACTCATCTTTTTTCCTTCTAACAATTACTTTGTTCATTTTTGCTGTAATTTTAAATCTTTTTCGCCTATTTTACATAAAGACACTTTTAAAATTTCAAAGATTCGTTCTATAATTCTTCATAATCTATCCATTTCTCTTGAAATTTGTGCTTTGTACAAACGTGGATTTAGAATAAGGGAAAACTAAACAAATTTTATTTTATATTAAACGTATACTTAGAATCAGGGTCGGTCATGAGTCTAGTAAAATAAAACATGGGTTTAGAGTTCCCAAAAATTTCATATTTTTCTATATATGAATTAGCACCCCGCGGAGTTTAATTTGTTTTGCAAAAAAAAGGCCTCTAATTTAAGAGACTATTTAAAAACCTTCAAAATTTCATGGTTGGCCTCGTTTAGAATTACAATATTATTTAACGAATAATTAGATAAACACATTGTTTTATGTATTTAGTTCGATTTAAAACTGAACTGAACCGAACTGTCCGGGTTGATAAAAGCTTAACCAAACGGTTTGTACATTGATTATGGTTCGATTTTGGATCATTTTAGGTTTAGTTGGTTTGGTTCAGTTAAAATGCATGCCTTAATCTCTCGGTCAATATATTCCTCTTCCTTAACATATCCGTCAAAGTAAAGGATTTAATAAGCTTCTTAAAAAAAAATATTTGGTCAAATTCTTGACCACAAACATATAGTCAAAACATATTACGTTAATATAATACCAAATAAGTTGGTAGGCTTGAACGCAGTATTAGCAAACCTGGAATATTTTGTTAGTATATATATGTATGTATTTAGCAGTTCATTTCCAAGAACTCAAACAGGTAAAGAAAAATATTGAAAATAGAATCGAGATTCCTGAGCTATCTATTAGATATTTTTCATTTGTAGGTAGCTACTAGCTACTAGCTAGCAACATTCTTCTCGTTTTACTCACTTTTCTTTTTCTTGTTTTTAGATTAGTAAAAGTTTCAAGAATTGCGGTTCGAAACTTTTGTTGTTGGTGAAGTTTTAACGAAAGCATTTTTGACTAGGTTAAATATGTAACACTTCTCGTCTGTGTGGTAGGGAAGAGTATTACATTCATCCAAAGGAGTTTATGCGAATTAGGGTCCTTCTCAATAATTTTCCGAATTTGGTAACTCTTTCTTTTGATATTCTTTCTCCAAACTCTTTAAAAACAAGAAATTTACTATATATGAAATAAGAATAGTCACATTACTATTATGGATTTATCATTTTATTAGTAGTAAATCTCATCATTTTCATTTGATATTTTGTAAACGACTTTGTTCTATGCTGGCATTGATCGACGAACACATTGAATGCAAAACATAACACATAAGTGTTTGAAGGTTATGTTCTGCATCCAATATGTTCGAGGATCGATGCAAGCATATGACAAAGTCCTCTACAAAATATTGGATAAAATTATGTGCTTTATTATTAAAAAAAATATGACTACTCTCTATTGCATATATAAAAATCTTACCGGTAAAGGGTTGGAGGAAGAATATCAAAAGTGAGAGTCTCCAAATTAGGGCAACTATTGAGAAGAATCCTAATTCCATTAAACTTCTTGGTATATATATTTTGTTTTCACGGGATGAAATTAAAGAAATATTGTAAAATCCTAGTTGCTATAAAACCGTTAAGAAAGAGTTTTAACGTTTATTTGAGACGATTGACTTAATTTATTATATTTCTTCTCCAACTCGAAATCTAAATATACTTCTTTATGATCACATTCATTATGTCAAAGTCAAAAACTTCATGTAACAGAAGTCGAAGTTCTCGAGGACAAGTTCTCATAGTCATAACTCATAACTGCCCGGCTATCCACATGATATCAAGGCCCAACATTGTTTGATATTTAGAGACTCCGGAGCGAAGGAGATATCTTTTTTTTGTTCGTGCTATTATATCATTTTTGATGTATATATATATAGCAATGCATATATTTTTTTAGCAATACTCATATATTTTTGGTTAGCTTGTATATAGTATATAATGTGTTTTAGTTCGTGAAGCTAATAATATTTTTAATTGTTTTGAAAGAAATATCATCTTTTATTATTATTTTGATGTTATATAAACTTGCAATATTTTACATCCATTGCATAGACAAACGAACAAAATTATCGAAGATAAAATCCCCCCTTACAAATTCCATTCCTTAAAAAGGTAAAATATCCTGCAAATTAAGGGATTTCCTAGATTCCCTTTGTAATATTAAAGTTGGTCAAATTTCTGACCACAAAAATGTATAATCAATTAAAAGGCATCTTAGGTTAATAATAATACCAAATAAAAGCCTATTTCAAAAAAAAAAAAATTCCAAATAAGTTAGCCAAATTAAGACTTTTACTTTTAAAAGACTTTAAACTTTTAAGTTGGGATATGATTTTAACCAAATAAGGTTCTTACTTGACAAATAATTTGTTTGCTCTATAACTCGGAAAATGAGAGAGGATTTTAAGACATAGTTTTGAAATACATATCCATGGGAGCCCATAGCCATCACCTACTCTTATCGTTTACACTAGCATATTCATTTACCTAAATATTTCTTCCCTTCTAAAACATTTCCCAAATTCACTCTCTGACTTTGACTCATCAGATTTATAAAATTACAAATTGATTAAGAAAAACTTTCAATAATCTTCGAGAAAGAAACAAAAAATCCTGAGAACTTTAACAGACAGAACCACAAGAGGACAAAGTTTCAGGTGCGTCAGTTGTTCTTATATTTAAGAAATCATTGCATTTATAAATCAATAGATTCAGACATGTTTTTTAGAAATGAAATGACTTCACTGACGATTTTCATTTTATCCATTGCATGATTTTCATTGAAAGAAATGACTTCTAAGAGAATAGTTTCAAGTATCCAATCAGACAGATTATCGAATCTACCCGATACACTTCTGATTATTATCATCTCTTCCTTGTCCTTCAAGGAATGTTTAAGTACCAGTGTACTCTCTACGAGGTGGAGGTACCTCTGTCGAGAGACAAGAAACATTGCATTTAATGAATCCGAGTATGTCGACCACTCTGTATCCGACAAAAAATCTAAAAGGATTTCGTTTGTTGGCTATATGAGTCAATGGATCTCTAGATATCATGGTCGTTACATTGAAAGCTTCGAGATTTGTTTCTCCCTTCCATTAGGCTTTATGGCAGAGATCAAGTCTTTGATCGAATTCGCAGTCTCAAGACAAGTCAAGAACCTGGTTATTGATTTCAAAGACCCTTCTTGGACAATCAATAGCAGTGCGTCTTGGTATGCTTATCTTGCTGTGAAATTGCCTGTATGCGTTTACAGTCTAACAACCCTCGAATCACTGAAGATTTACGCGTGCGGGTTTGATCCCTCGAAATTCACAAACTCGGGATTGCCTAGAAAGCTCTCTATTGGTTGGATCCAATTCACAGAGGCCGAGTCTTTGTTATCAAACTCTCCTACGCTCAAGAGTCTAAGTATTGATTACTGCTGGAGTGTTGATATCAAAAACATAGCCGGAGATATGAAAGAAGTTGTAGTCGATAACTCCGACTTCTTCCCTAAAAAGGCTTGTTCCTTTGACCTGCCTAATGTAGAGATCTTCAAGTACTCAGGCTCAGTTCTTTCCTTCGATGTCAAGAGAATGAATAGGATAATAAAAGAAGTCTACTTGGACTTCTTCTGCGCAGAGGGCGAATACGCTAAACCGAATCGAAGAACAAAATTAGATGGAACAGATCTTTCTGGCTTCCTTAACAGTTTTCGAGGTGCGAGGACCTTAAGTGTCTGCCCTTATCTCCTTCAGGTATATTTAAGTCTTAACATATTTACATTACATTTTAACGTTATTAACATATCTTTGAGAACTGAACAAAGTATTTCTACGTGGTATGAAACTTTTCAGTAGCCTAGTGACTATAAGTAAATGGTTTTAGTAGCTACTATGTAGTTTCCTTATCTAATACCTTAAAGCGATTACATTAAATTTGATGTGTATATAAGACTGTTAGACAAATTAGTCTTGATCGGAATATGTGTTTTTTCTTTTTTCTTTATGAAGTCTATCCAAGAATGTGAAGATCCGTCAAGTTTACTTCGTCCTATGGATACAGAGCATTTGGTGCTGAGAACGAGGATGCATGTCATGGAGTTTAAGGGGATTAAGCTCCTTCTTGATAATTGCCCGAACCTAGAAACGCTAACTTTCGATATCATCCGTCGAAGCAAGTTCTCGGTAAGATTACTATATAGTATTGAATATAGATTAATAGTCACATTATTGTGTATGATTTTTTTCTAAAGCTCATCGTTTATTTTGCAGTACACTAAGTCATATTGTGGCATCTGTCCAAAAACATGTTGGCAAAATAGCCTTACCTACAAGTCTCTTCCTAAGACACTTAAAGTGGTAGTGGTAAGGAATTATAGTGGTCTCTTTAATGAGCTAAATGTATTGAAGTTTTTGATTCAGTCCAGACGCGGGCATGCGGATGGGTCTATGTTGGAAAGAGTGGAGCTTTACATGCATAATAGTATGGAGGAAAGTCAAAGGATGTTGGCACATGAGGGAGCCGAGATGTTACAGAGTATTTCAGGGGTTGTACAGGTTCTTGTACACAACCTTTGAAAAGTTGATATATTCAAGACTTCTCATTAGTGTGTTTTGTTTTGAACCATTTAGTGATGTTTTCTTTTGCTTTGATTTATGAATAATTTGAGCCTCGGACAGAATGAGGACTTGGTCATCTTTTTGAAACATTATATAATATTTGTCTTTATATATTTAATAATTTTCTTTGATTTTTGAAAACAAAAATATTGTTTTAGGGGTAACAAAACTAGACACCAAAACTGAACTAAACGAAACTAAACCGGTTTAAAAGTAATCAAACTAAAACATAGGAAGAGGAGTCACTAATTAAGTCAGAACCAAACACTATCTTCGAAGATATGTCGTGACGATGTGGCAAACAAATCTATAAGATGAGTTCAAAGATTTTCTATTTCTAATATCGATTTTTGCATCAACCAAACCTATGTTTCTGTATTGATTTACAGTTGTTTCTCACTGTCAAAGACTAATTTATAGTAGATTATCTTCCTTTTTTTGAGTAACTTTCTATGTCACATGTGGAAGTTTTATTCAACACGTCTCTCTCCGTTTACTAGGTTAAAAACTTCCATATCAAACCAAAAAATCACGAAATTTGTTCAAAAGAAAATATAGAGGAGCTAATTAACATTCTCTGTCACTTTCAACCATTGAAGCATATCACAATTCACAAACACATCTCTTCTTTCGAAACTCACCACAATGGATTCAATTCAACAAGACAGATTATCTAGTCTTCCTGACGTTCTTTTAATCGTGATCATCTCTTTCTTGCCGTTTAAGGAATGTGTAAGGACCAGTGCTCTCTCCAGGAAGTGGAGGTATCTCTATCAGGAGACCAAAAACCTTTCTTTTAGGGAATCTGATTTCGTGAGTCCTTATATCACTGATGAATATTCAAGATTTGCAGCTTGTGCTTCATTTTTTAGATTTGTGGATAATTGGCTCTCTAGAATTCAAGATCAAGTCGTCGAAAGCTTCGAGATTTGTTTCTCCAATCCGGTGGGTTTCGAGCATAAGATCGAGGCTCTGATCGAATACGCTGTCTCCAAACGAGTGAAGAATTTAGTTATCGATTTGTCAAACCCCGCTTGGAGAAACTATAATGATATATCATCAGTCTGTGTATCATATCTTCATTTTATTGTTACATTGCCCAAAAGCGTTTACAGTCTAACAACCCTTGAGTCACTGAAGATTTACGGGTGCAAGTTTGATCCTTCGAGATTCACAAACCCTGTATTGCTAAGAAGACTCTCTATTGGTTGGATGAGACTTGAAAACCTTCAATCTTTACTATCAAAAGCTACTTCCCTCCTGAGTCTAAGTATCAAAGAATGCTGGGGCGTTGATATGACGTGGATGGCCGGGCAGTTTAGAGAGCTAGTCCTTGAGAATTTAGACTTCAGTTACATGCAATGTTCCTTTGAACTGCCTCGTATACACAGCTTAAAGTACTCAGGCCAAGTTTTTGACTTTTACTTCGACACAATGAATGTGATCATACCAAAGGTCTACTTGGATTTTGGAGAAGAGCGTGAGTATGATCAACCTACACAATCAACAAGAATATCGGGTGAAGTTATATCTCGTATGCTCAACGATCTCAGAGCAGCTAGCACCTTAGCAGTTTGCCCTTATATCCTCCAGGTATGTTTAAGTGTTCACATCTTAAAATATTTGAATTCTTCGTCATATAGTAGTAGTTTGTTGAAAACCAGAATAGAATTTACCAGGTTAAATATGTGCATTAATTTTTAGATCAGAACATAGGTTTATCCAAATAACTTTTTTTTGCATATGAACAAAATATTTTCATCACGTTATTTAGTTTATTAAAGTCATTTTGAAGAAGATGATTTATTTGAACCATTTATTCCCTAATAGTATATATATAGATCGTTATTAATGTATTTTTGATATTGACATGTGTTTCTTTTCTTATGGAAGACTATCCAAGAATGTAAAAAGCCATTTTATATGCTTCAACCTCTGGAAACTCGAGATTTGGTGCTAAGAACGAAGATGAGTACGAAGGAGTTGAATGGAATCATTATTCTTCTCAAGAACTGCCCAAACTTGGAGACTATAAGTTTTGATATTCTTCCTTCAAGTCCTTTCCAGGTAAGATATCTATATATATATATGCAACAGAGTAGTCACATTTTATTAATACTCAAATGCATGATTTTCATTTATTATTTTGTAGAGAACTTCGTCGTATGAAGGCATCGATCCGAAAACGTATTGGATGCAGAACAGAACATGTGAGAGTCTAAGGAAGACATTGAAGGTCGTGGTGATGAGGAACTTTGGTGGTTCCTCAAACGAGTTAAATGTATTGAGGTATTTGATTCGATTAGCGAGCGGGGGTGGAAATGCGTTGGAAAGGGTAGAGCTTTACGTGCCGAATGGGATGGAAGAAAGTCAAGCGATGGTGGTATTTGCTAAAGCGGAGATGTTACAGAGAACTTCGAAGCATGTACAAGTTCTTTGTGCACAACTCTTGGAAAATTGACCTTTTCAAGAGATTGTTCACTAGTGGGTTTTGTTTGCCCATTTAGCTATGGTTTTTGAATTTTATTTATTGACATTAAAGGAAGCATGCTTCCGAAGTTTGGTTTGTTTGATTTATGTTTAAGAACCTCGGAGTCGGAGGTATTGAGGACTTTATTTATGTGAACCAAAAATAATAATAAATGTTTTGAGTAATATCAATATGATAAATTATCTCGTCTCGTTTAAATTACAGCATTTAGTTATTATTTTTTACTAAGGTAGGAGCAGAAATTGTCCACGTCCTGATTGAGGCCCAATTGTTGGTAGCACACTCTATGGGAGATAATTCTCCCTAGATCTCCAATTTGGATGATGATAGGTTCCTTTGGCAAGTTGGAGATAATTCTCCCTAGATCTCCAATTTTTTCACCCTCTGCCACTTGGCTTCTTCTTAATCCGTTGGATCCTGAAGTAGACTGGCATGAAGCTGGTTTAAGGGAAGAATCCCTAAACATGCTTTCATTGCTTGGATAGCAACCAGAAAACGACTTCACACAAGAGATAGGTTATTGAGATGGGGTCTTCAGGTGCCAGCATCATGCCTCCTTTGTAATTCTCATGATGAATCTTCTCAACATCTATTCTTCCAATGAACATTCTCTCATGAGATATGGTCTTTCTTCACATCTTAAAGCTCATGTTTCTCCACCAGTATTATATGAAGATGGGGTTAGATGGCTCAAAGATGCCAAAATAAGAATGTTGCGTTGATTCTAAAGTTGGCTTTCCAAGCTTCTGTATACGTCTTGTTGAAGGAAAGAAATGCAAGACTTCACTCTTTCACTTCACGGCCTCCTAGTGCTTTGATTCTGGACATCAAAACCATAATTCGGTTCTGTGTTTGGCGTTGTAATAGTTGTGACTCTCTTACTATATAAAAATGGTATTTTCAAAAAAAAATGGAACGAATAAAGACAAAGTAAATCAGTGTCGCTTAAAGAAGTTACATAACAAGAACATTAACTTTTTTGTCAAGATTGATAGATACAGACTAATAATGATAAATTTGCATCAACATGTTTACGTAACCAAAAAGTTCTTATTTTGTTAAATTTCCATATTTGCACTCGAAATGGTTCAACAAAATCATCTAAATAATATTAAATTATACATAAAATTCACATTAGTCAATTTAAATCTTAACTCATAAGCGAAATAACATTCGCGAGAAAAAAAAAATCCTAAAGTTGTTTAGTTATCAGAAAAACGAAACCTTTCTCAGATTGAAATCGAAAGCACGGATCTTTATTCAAATCTGCAGGATCCTTTCATGATTTCGAAGATCTGTATATCAATTCTCAGGTAAATCTCCACTTCTCGTATTGATACTGCTCTTAGCCCAAGTTGGTTCAATCCAGAGTTTTGATCGGAATTGTGATTTTGATTTGATTTCAGATCAGAAGCTTCATCGAGTTGATTATATGCTGTGTTTGCAGATCTGGGTTTGGTTATATTTCTGAGTAAATCTCTCACCCAACACCATGTGTAATCAAAGACCAAATCTTTTAGGGTCTCTCGTGTTGTTGGGTTTCTTCATCTTCTTTGTTAATGGAGAAGAATGCTCTAATTCAAGCTCATTGATTGGGCACGAGTCTGAGTTCAAGATGTTGCAACATCAGCTTCGTGGGGTTTTCACTGTTGTTGATGATTGTTCGTTTAGGGTTTCTCGTTTCGATATGCTTCCTGGTTCTGATGTTCATTGGTGGGGTGCTATGACTTCTGATTTTGAGAATATGACTAGTGATGGCTTTGTTATCTCTGATCAGAAGCTTAATCAAACATTCAAAAACGCATCTTTTATTGTTCGTTTGATGGGTAATGTTACTTGGGATAAGTTAGGTGTGGTTTCGGTTTGGGACTTACCTACTGCTTCTGATTTTGGGCATGTTCTGCTTTTGAATGCGACGGAATCGGCTGAATCACCTCCTTCAGAGGGCAATGATGTTGCTCCAGGGAAATCGAATAACAGTGAGCCTTTTAAGGCTCCAACCATGTTTGATAATTGTAAGAAACTTTCGGATAAGTATAGGCTCAGGTGGAGCTTGAATGCAGAGAAAGGTTATGTTGATATTGGTCTAGAGGCTACTACTGGTTTATTGAACTACATGGCGTTTGGTTGGGCTAAACCGAATTCTACTTCAAACTTGATGTTGAATGCTGATGTTGTGGTTACTGGGATTAGAGAGGATGGCTTCCCGTTTGCTGATGATTTTTATATCACGGAGTCCAGTGTGTGTTCTGTGAAGGAAGGTACAGCTACTGGGGTTTGTCCTGACACTGTGTATGAAGAAGCAGATTCAGTTGGTTCTTCGGTGAATAACACAAAACTGGTTTACGGGCATAGGATAGATGGAGTTTCGTTTGTTAGGTATAGGAGACCGTTGAATGATAGTGATAATAAGTTTGATTTTCCTGTGAATTCAACTGAAAATCTGACAGTTATTTGGGCACTTGGGGTGATAAAACCACCAGATGTTATTAATCCTTACTATCTCCCCGTGAATCACGGCGGTGTGGAATCAGAAAACTTTGGGCATTTTTCGCTTAATCTTTCGGATCATGTGGATGAATGTTTGGGACCATTAGATGCAGAAAACAAGTATGATCAAGATGTGATCATTGCTGATGCCCACGCACCTCTTGTTGTCACGGCCGGACCATCTGTGCATTATCCAAACCCTCCAAATCCTTCAAAGGTTCTGTATATTAACAAGAAAGAAGCGCCGGTACTGAAAGTGGAAAGAGGGGTTCCTGTTAAGTTTTCAATAGAAGCAGGACATGACGTTTCTTTCTACATAACTTCAGATTTTCTTGGTGGGAATGCTTCTTTAAGGAACAGAACTGAGACAATCTATGCGGGTGGGCAAGAAACTCATGGAGTACTGTCGAGTCCATTGGAGCTGGTTTGGGCTCCTAATAGAAATACACCTGACCAACTGTATTATCACTCAATTTTTCAAGAGAAAATGGGTTGGAAGGTTCAGGTTGTTGACGGTGGACTTTCGGATATGTACAACAACAGTGTTAATCTAGATGATCAGCAGGTTAAGTTCTTTTGGACCATAGTAGGGGATTCAATATCGATTGCAGCTCGTGGTGAGAAGAAAAGTGGGTATCTTGCAATTGGTTTCGGTAGTGAAATGACAAACAGTTATGCTTATGTTGGTTGGTTTGATAGAAATGGAACAGGGCATGTAAATACTTACTGGATTGATGGAGAATCCGCTTCGGCTGTGCATCCTACAACCGAAAATATGACATACGTGAGATGCAAATCTGAAGAGGGAATCATCACACTGGAGTTTACCCGTCCCTTGAAACCGTCATGCAGTCATCGAGATAGACCAGAATGTAAGAATATGATAGATCCCACAACTCCTCTTAAAGTGATATGGGCAATGGGTGCTAAATGGACAGATGGTCAGTTGACTGAGAGAAACATGCACTCGGTTACAAGTCAAAGACCTGTCCGTGTAATGTTAACACGTGGATCCGCTGAGGCAGATCAAGATTTAAGACCGGTCCTGGGGGTTCATGGATTTATGATGTTCCTTGCTTGGGGAATTCTGCTTCCCGGTGGAATATTATCTGCTAGATACCTGAAACACATAAAAGGCGATGGCTGGTTCAAGATTCATATGTATCTTCAATGTTCTGGACTAGCTATCGTCTTCCTTGGCCTCCTCTTCGCTGTAGCTGAGCTTAATGGTTTCAGCTTCAGTTCAACCCACGTCAAGTTTGGTTTCACAGCCATAGTTTTAGCTTGCGCTCAGCCCGTGAACGCTTGGCTAAGACCTGCGAAACCTGCTCAAGGAGAATTAATCTCTTCGAAACGGTTAATCTGGGAGTATTCTCATTCGATCATCGGTCAATCAGCTGTTGTAATTGGAGTTGTCGCGCTTTTCACAGGAATGAAACATCTGGGAGAAAGGAATGGAACTGAAAACGTAGACGGGCTTAACTTGGCCCTCGGGTTATGGGTCTTCCTCTGTGTGGTTACTGTTGCGTATCTGGAGTACCGGGAACGAAGAAGAAGAAAAGCGAGGAATCTAAGCAGAGGAAATTGGGTTTTGGGGAATGTTGAAGAAGATGATTCGATTGATCTAATAGACTCGAGAGGAGGTTTCAGAGATAAAGATGATGAAGATAGAAATGGAGGGAGGATGGAAATTCAGTTAGAGCCGTTGAAATAATAGTAACTTTTTTTTCAGATTCTTTTTTTTTTCATTACCGAACAAGAAAAAAAAACAAGAGGGAGTTTTGTCTTTTACTTATAAATGCAACGGTCGATATATTGTATCTATGCATTAGAATTGTATACTTTTGAGAATTTGAGTTTTATATACTACACAATCAGTTTTGAGTTATTTTTACTTGACTCTTGACTCATTAGGCTACACATATCATATAAAAAGGACACTTAAACGGTCACTAATAGTTGATTTTCGTCAGTGACTTATTCCTCGACTAATGCGTTTAATTCCAGAACAATTTCGTGCTGAATCATCAATTTTTCTTTTCAATAAAAACGATGACAATAGGTTAGTGGTATGCTTAGATCATTGGATGCCAGAACTCGAAGGAGGTATGATGATAACGGCCTTGTTCGTTACTGTGTCGCCAGCGACAAAGAGTATGTGAAAAGAATGTTGATCATGGGGATATTAAGACTTGTAGCCATTGTAAGGTATCTCAAATTCTTCAGTAAAGTATGTGAAACAATGATTATCTCAACTATTTGTTTTAAAAATTCAATTTATCTGTCCAATAAAAACAAGAACATCCACGCACATCACTAAACTATTGTCATTAAAATGAAAATGCACAAAACTAACGTTATTTTCATTCAACTATATATATATATTTTATCGACGATTTTCATTCGACTCTTTTTAAAAAATTATGTACAAAAATGATAATATAATTAAAGTAGACTAAATTAGGAATCGTAGTCGATAATGGGTTCACCTAAGGTCAAATTTCTGTCAATCTTCCAAGGCAAATTAAAAAGTTTAGCCAAAATGAATTTGAAGATCTTGTTCACATTTATGTTGTGTGTTGCACTTGAAAAGAACAATGATGCCTTCATCACCTTCGCGTACGCTCTTGCCTAATATATCAAAATATCAAATAAAACCAAAAATTAACTATTTTGAAATAGAAATGAATTATTCCAAAAATCCAAATGTCTAAATCATCATGAAAACGTAGAATATGAAAAAGGGTCTTAATTAGTTACGTGGTATGATTAGTATACCTGAGTGACAATGGTCCACTGAAGATTGGGTGGGAGCCGAACAAAGTCATCGAATTTTGTTCCTATTAGAATCGGAATTGCCGTCTGATAAAAGAAAACACAAATTTATAAACTACCTTTAAGATAAAGTATTTTGTTGGAATCAGATTCTATTTTTTTTTTTTTTGGAACTAATGTTGGAATCAGATTCTAATGTTCATAAATAATAAGATTTGTATAAGACACTATGCATTGATCAACTAATAAGAAACTTCGACCGTGCTAAACCCCAAAATGAACCATTTTTATGTAAAATACCGTAACGCCGACAAAAAAAAAACAAGTAATTGAAACTTTTAAATGTTTTTTTAACGATGACAAAAAACATTAAAATCCTTCTAAAGTTTTTAGTATACATGTTTTTACAAAACTCAAATCTAAATCGATATTGAAAATGTTTGGAACAACTCAATTTAAATTTGGTTTCTTTACTTACTAAATTAAAAAAAAAAACACAAAAACAAAACAAATTCAACAAAAATGACCGGTGTGATTGCTTTAACGTACCTTGTTCCATTTTCTTGCCTGGCTATACCACCCGAAGACACTGCAAAAACAAAACAAAAATTTACGAGTTTTCTTAATAAATATTATTTTAGCTAAAAATGTAGAAGAAGCAAATTGATGAAAAAATTAGACCTGTTAAGAGTAGATCGACTGGTTAGATCAAACATGAACAAGATTGCTACTGCATCTTTACAAGCAATTGGTATATGATCTTTTGATCTCTTTTCATCACCTACAATCATTTTTCAATCTCCTAATTAATAATTAACAAAGTACGTAATCACCAATCCATATTTTAATTTGATTAATTAAATTTTAATTTGACTCACCTCCTACATCCCAAATACTAAACGAAATAGTAGAAAAAAAAAAAGCATCGTAAGACTTTCTGGGCGACTCTAGAAGCGACTCAACAGTAAGTTCACCGCCTTAATTTCTCCGGTGATTTCGACTTCCGCCGGCAGCGGATTCTCTTTTCCGGTAATCGGATCTACTGATTTCTCATCATGGGTGAAAAAGATCTGTGGCTTGCTTTGCAAAATCTCAATTTGGGCGCGGAGAGGACACCCTTGAAGCTATCCGTAGAGGCAAATAAGAAGCGAGAAACGGATCATCGACTCAGTCTTGTGGTAAAAGGTTTGCATCCCTCACAGAACCCAGCAGGAATCAAGGTTATGATGCCAAAAATTTGGAAACTTGAAGGGCGAATCACAAGCCGAATCAATGAAGATGGTTCTGTCCAATTTTTCTTTCAACATGAACATCAAATGCTTACAGTTCTGGACAAGGGACCATGGACCTATAAAGATTGGCTGGTGGTTGTTGACAAATGGACTCGAAGGAATCATCCTGATTATCTCCGTGTAATCCGTTTTTGGATCAAAATACTAAATATACCTGATGATTGCAAGGAAGATAGATCGATTAAGGAGATTGGGGGTGTTCTGGGTTTAAATCATGTGGAGGAAGTCTTCATACAACAACCAACTGCAGACAAAGCTGGTGAAGTATGGGTTCGGGTTCCTTTTGACATCTCAGGAAAGTTAATCTTTGCACGTTATTTCACTTTGGAAGATCATAGTGAGCCTGTTCTGATTCGCTATTTTTATGAAAAACTTAGAAAGTTTTGCTCTACTTGTGGGAGCCTCACCCATATGGCAGCAACTTGCAACACCCACATTCGGGAAGTGGAACCACTCTCTCTGCCAGCTCCTATACAGGAGTCCAATATGGAACAAAACAGAGATGCTAGTATCCAGATGGATTCTGAATCTCACACACCCACACAAGTAGCTGACGAGACCATGGGTGAAACAGTGGGATCTAATATCAATATGGACACATCAGAGCATCATCAACCCACGGGTTCTCAAGGAGATATCATGGAATTCCTTCATCCAGCTGAAGTCCAAGTGGGAATAAATCAAACCTTTACCATTCGTGAATTAGAATCTGCTTCAATGACACAACAAGATAGAGGAATTAAGCGCAAGATTGATGTGGTTGATGATGAAGATGAAGCTTCAACATCTCGAAGAAGAACAAAGGCACCTGAACAGACAACGGCTGCAGGGGAGGTGGCAACCCCGAAGCCACCACTAGCAGAATGAGGATATTGCACTGGAATTGTCAGGGGCTAAAGAGGAACCCTCTGACAATTCCTTATCTAAAAGATATCAGGAAGTCTTCTAAACCTGATATCTTGTTCCTCATAGAAACAAAGAACGGCTTTAACTATGTGAATAGTCTAGCTACGGTTCTCAGCTATAATCATAGCTATATTATCCCTTCAGACGGCCTTAGTGGAGGAATGGCTATTTTTTGGAATGACAGTGTGCATATTGACTTTTTGGATCCTCCTACTCTAAACTACACGGATATGTATGTATCATCTTCTAGTCATCCTACTTTTTGCCTCACTTATGTTTATGGCGATCCAGATCCGAAACACAGGAATGCTATGTGGGAGAAAATGATGGTCTGGGCCCAAGGAGGAATGTATCGCAGCAAGCCTCGACTAGTTCTTGGGGATTTCAATGATATCAAGAGTAATGCTGAAAAAATAGGAGGTCCAGTACGGTCTGAGAATTCTTTCAAAATATTCAGGCGAATGCTCCAATCCTCTGGTCTTCATGATTTGAAAACAGTGGGTGCAAAATATACATGGTATGGTCAAAGATACACACATACTGTCCAATCAAGAATTGACAGAGCTGTAGCTTCAGCAGATTGGTTAGAAGCTTTTCCTCAAGCCTATGTACAGCTATTGGATTGGATAGGATCTGATCATCGTCCACTGTTGCTTGATACGGGTGTTAAGAAAAGAAGAAGAGGATATGCTTTGTTCAGATATGATAATCGTTGGCGATTTAACAAGGAGTTAAAGGAAGAACTGAAAAAAACTTGGACAGCCGATTGTCAAGATCTACCTGGGGATCAATTTCATGAAGCACTGAAAAGATGCAGATCTTGTATGTCCCGCTGGAAGTCGCACAATTTACACAACTCAGCTAAAAGAATTCAAGATCTAAAGGAAAAAATCAAGCAAGCGTATAATACTTCTCCCATTGATTTCAATCACATAAAAGCTTTAAAATCTGCGCTAACAATTGAATACAGGATGGAAGAGGAGTATTGGAGAATCAAAAGTCGTATCCAATGGCTTCAGGCGGGAGACAGAAACACAAGATTTTTTCATGAGAAAACAAAGCAAAGAAGAGGATACAATAGAATCACAGCAATTACAGATTCTCAAGGCAAGGTTTGGTACTCTGAAGAGGATCTTAACAGAGTAATAATAGATTATTTTGATGCTCTCTTCTTTTCTGATTGTCAAGAAGATATGGCTGAGGTTTTGCAGCACATTCAACCTCGTGTATCTCAGGAAATGAATGATGATCTGATAAAACCTGTTACTGAGGAAGAACTATATAGAGCTGTTCATCAAATGGCAAGAGAAAAGGCTCCAGGCCCTGATGGCTTAAATCCAGGCTTTTACCACGACCATTGGGCTACTATTCGATCAGGTGTGTTGAAATTTGCACAGTCTTTCTTTGAAAATTTTAATTTGGATCCTGCTATCAATCATACACATATCTGTCTGATCCCAAAAATAGACCATCCTACTGAAGTCAAGGACTATAGGCCTATTAGTCTTGCTAATGTTGCCTATAAAATTTTATCAAAGGTTCTAGCAGAAAGGCTCAAACCTTGGTTGAACACTATCATCTCTGAAAACCAAACTGCTTTTATTCCAGGAAGGATGATTACTGATAATATTCTGATTGCTCATGAGTTAATTCATTCTCTCAATACAAGAAGGCGTGTTCAACCTTTTATTGCTGCTAAACTTGATATTACTAAAGCTTTTGATAAAGTTGAATGGTCTTTTATTGAAGCTGTGATGCAAAGGATGGGATTCTCAGAGACTTGGTGCAAATGGATTATGAAGTGCATCACTACTGTTACCTACTCAGTTCTTGTAAATGGTCAGCCGGTTGGGAATATTACTCCGCATAGAGGCATTCGTCAAGGTGACCCCATATCACCTTACTTATATTTGTTATGTACAGAGGGTCTATCTGCTTTAATCCAAAAGAACATTAAATCAGGAAATATTCATGGTTTCAAAGCAAGCCGAACTGGTCCTGCAATCTCACATCTACTCTTTGCAGATGACTCTTTGCTATTCTGCAAAGCTACGGAAAGCGAGTGTTCATCTCTGCTTCACATCCTCCATCAATATGAGAAAATTTCAGGTCAGGCTGTTAATTTCCAGAAATCTGCAATTACTTTTGGTATAGGAACTGATTCAGAAACAAAAAAATGTATTAGTCAGATTCTGGGAATTCATAAAACTAAGGGCTTTGGTAGATATTTAGGCCTCCCTGAGTTTGTGGGACGTAATAAAACGAATGCCTTTTCATATCTTGCTCAGAGAGTTGATCAGAAAATGTCAAATTGGTATACAAAATTTCTCTCACCTGCAGGTAAAGAAGTACTTCTCAAGTCCATCATTACAGCTATCCCTGCATATAGTATGTCCTGCTTCTTACTGCCTTCGAGAATCACTAACCAGATTGAAAGAGCTATGAGAAGTTTTTGGTGGTCTAGCTCTAAAGAAAAATATAAGATTCCCTAGATTGCATGGAGGAAAATTACTAATTTAAAGAGAGATGGAGGGCTGGCCATAAGGGACCTCAAAGATTTCAACATTGCATTATTAGCAAAACAGAGTTGGAGACTACTTCAGCAACCAAATTCACTGATGGCAAGGGTATTTAAAGCCAAGTATTATCCTAAGCATTCCCTCTTTGAAGCAAAAACAAAGACCCAAGATAGCTATGCTTGGAAGAGTATCACTCAAGGTACACACCTTTTATCTTATGGTCTCAAATATTTAGTAGGGAATGGCAAAGCAATTAATGTTTGGAAGGATCCATGGTTGCCTTTAAAGCCTCCCAGACCAGCTCGAGGTCCTGGACAAGATATATACCCAAATTTGACTGTAGCTGATCTGCTAAAACAGGGTACCTGGGATCAAGATTTGATTGAACAGCTTATTGACCATGAAGATATCAAGTGTATCATAAATCTGAGGCCTTCGGTTACTGGTGCAAATGATGTACCTCATTGGATATATACTCAAGATGGTCGATACACAGTTAAATCAGGTTACCAACTACGGCGTAAAATATCTGCAGAGACCTCAAGTCGTTTCTCTCTTACAAATCAGGTTTCATCTCAAAAGCTTTTCTCCACCATATGGAAGCTAAATGCCCCTCAGAAAATTAAGCATTTTTGGTGGAGATGTCTACATAATGCCATACCTACTGCAGATAATTTGAGGAAAAGGAGAATGACTGCTGACAATATATGCCAGAGATGTGGAGATATTGAAGAGACAGTAAATCATCTTCTGTTCCAATGTAGAGTCAGCAGAGAGATTTGGGAGCATGTCCTAAACAAAACAGCCCCAGGTACTTTCATTATTCATGATTCTTTTAGTCAAAATCTGGAATCACTACAGATTTTGAGCAAAAACCAAAGAGAGGATGTAAGTTTATTCCCTTTCATTGGTTGGCGTATCTGGAAAATGAGGAATGATTTATATTTCAACAATAAGCAATGGGCTATTCCAGATATTATTAATAAAGCTCTGTTGGATTACCAGCAATGGAAAGAAAGCCTCACAATTAATAAGGACACAACAGCAGGAGGTCACACCAGAGATAGAAACATTCCTCAGGATATATTACATGCTTCCAGAGTCCTTAAAGATCTTATTCATAAAGAGCAAAATTATGTATGTTTTGTAGATGGCTCTTGGATCTCTCCAACAGATGGAGCAGGCATAGGATGGATCCTATATAATCAAAAGGCGCAGTATGTACTCCGAGGAATGGCTGCTATCAATCCCATGAATACAGCGCTGGAAACTGAAGCAGAGGCGCTAAGGCTTGCACTGATTCATGTAAACAGAATGGGATATAAAAACGTTACGTTCTGTGGAGATGCACTTAATCTCTTCTCAAGACTTCAGCAAACCAAGCCAGGTTACTCTTGCCAACAGCAGGAACACTCAGCTCTTTCGACTTATGTACTGGATATAATGAAGCTTGCTGCAAATTATAATCGTATAAGTTTTTTCAAAGTTCCTCGTGAGCTTAATTGTGTGGCTGATAGATTAGCTAAGGATGCTAGAATTAGAAAATTAAACTTTGTAATATCATGGAATGATGTAACTTCAGTTTCAGTATAATGAAAGTTAAGTTGACGACAAAAAAAAAAAAAAAAAAAAAACGAAATAGTAACTCCTTGAACATAAAAAGTTTTGTCCATCAAATTCAAACCCGTCATCTCCAAGAAACCTTGATTCTCATCTCCAACATATTTTATCTTTCAAATAAAAACAAAAACATATGAGAATTAGTCAGTTAATTAAGTTATATAATCAAACGGTAATAATTAATACTTAACACAAGAATTCATACTTACTACAAAAGTAGTCTTCCCTGTTTGACAATCGCCTAATAGACTAATCTTGAGACTAACCAAATCCGAATCCGAACCTGAACCAAACCTTCTATTAGAAACAGTATGTTCGGTTGCAGTGTCGTCGTCTCCGTCCAAGATATCACCGGCTGTTGAAGAAATCCGGTGAACGATTTGCCGGTAAAGAATAGGTTTTTCGATGATACTTGAACAAGAAACGAGTTTTCTCCATAAAAACCTAAAAAAATCTCCAAAAATCGATACCCTCTCGATGATTCTCCATTTAATGTTCACGTGAACTATTTTCCGGCAGAAAGGAGTTATCTTTCCGGCGATCTCATGGACTTTCTCGGCCATTGATGAAACAGAGAGAGAGAGATGTGAATATGTGATCTTTTGGCATTCACAAGCTCACATCTTCTTTTTGTCTTTCCTTTTATGTTTTGTTTTTAAAGTTGTCTCTTCAATGTTACTGTGTAAATTGGTAGTTATCGGTTTATATGGATTGGTAGTTGACCCGTCGTCTTCGGAAATACCGATATGACCCCTAGTTGGTGCGTTTATTCCTTTTGGTTTTAAGTTCTTGGCGTGTTGTGATGGAAGGGTATTATAGTCAATTTGAGAGCAAATTATCTCCCCATGAAGTAAACCCCAAGTGAACGTGTCACTGCTCACTAGTTATCATTTGATTATTCATCTTTTGTTCTTTTGTCAACATTTGATTATTCTTCTAAATTTAATCTTTATTGATAGTCTCCTCCTATAGTTTGTTATTATCTGAATATTATTTATTTGTATTGTTTATATATTAAATAATTATGCTTCCTACAGTGTATTGTGATTTGATTATTTCTATATGAAATTTACTAAGATTAATGAGAAAGGAAGAATGATCTTATCAATTGTTATGTTATGTATGTATATGTGAGTAGAATAAGGATAATCAAATGTTATTTGCTCATAAAATGGAACAAGTAACAATGACTGTTGATATAGTAACTCCATTTGAAAGTTGAAACACAAAGCACGAGAATCTTGAGAAGCGTTTTGTTGAAGGAAACAATTTTGTTATTTTTGGTCTTTTCTTTTAAAAATGGGCTAAAACAGTAGTTTCTTAAAGAATGATATAAGTAAAGAAACATTTGTGGTCGACCATCGATACAGATGCAGTTACTGTTGGTTGGATCTATGTCACATTCATTACTTTTTATTTATTAATCTCTCGAAAAGGGTTCACTATTTTTTTTTTAATTAATATATATTCCATCCAACAAAAAGAAATATATTTTAGAGAAAAAATCTATTTACTTCCAATCTTGTTAACATTTATGTTTGAATGCATCCGTTTATGAACAAATAACAATTTGTAAGTAAATTATAGACTATCAAAATCAATAGAGAATCTAAAATTTAATGGTTACAAAAATATTAATGGCATAGCTTTGTAGTTCCTAAGAGCATCTCCAATGCAGGGTTCTCTTCTATATTTTGATGAGTTCTCATCTGAAATTGGCAAAAAAATAATTCAAAATTGAGTAAAGAAGAGAGAATCGATTCTCTTTAGAGTGCTTTGAGATTTTGAGAGAGCCGGACACGTGTCAGTGTTCAATTGGAGGGAGTGTTAAAAAAAAAGAAAAAAAAAAAAACACTCATTCCTTTTAGTTTTTTCTCACGACAAAAAAAAAAACACGACTCCTCTCTCTCTCTCTCTATTGATCAAAGAAGCTGATGAACAAACGCAGATTTCGTGAGATTCCGATGAGTCTATGCCGGAATCGTGGTATGTGAGACTTACCTACCGCCGGAATCATCAGCGAGATAGACGGTTAAGACCATCGGCGAATGGAGTCAAAACGAATCAAAGATTGGCGATGGAGAAGAAGGATTCGTTGAAGGATGGTCCAATTTCTTGTTCCAGGTATGAATCTAGCCCCTTCCCCTTGTGTATCATGACTTAATTCGTTGTATTTTGTGTTTTAACAAAAGAATTGAAACCAATCGTAGCAAGATCAGTTTCATACTCTTCCTCGCCGACAATGATCCCACCACCGGTCAAAGCTGGTGTCCAGGTCTCTATCACTCTCTTAGGGGTTTCTCAATTTTCGTCCAATTTCGATCGATTTTATCTTTTCGATCGATTCAATGGTTTTGATTGGTGAATCAGACTGTGTTAGAGTTAAACCTGTGATTTACAAGACTCTAGAGGAATTTCTAGAGGAGGGGAATCTTATTCGTGCTTAAGCCGGTGACAGACCGGCGTGGAGAACTCGGACGCATTCGTGGAGAGTTGATTCTCGGTTTAAGCTCATAGGAGTGCCAACTCTTGTTCGTTGGGATGGTGACTCTGTTAAGGGACGGCTTGAGGATCATCAAGCTCACCTGATTCTGCCCCTTCTTGCGCCATCCACTTGATTCGATCGATTTCTCGGTAAGTTTGTTCTCGGGGTTTAGGTTAATGAATCTCTAATCTTCTTGGAATATTGATTGATATTGTTCTATGTTTGAGAGACTATGGTGGGATTGAGGATTTCTTTGTGTTGTTTTCCAATAAGTCATCATTCATCTGCTGGGAATTGCTTTCATCTCTGCTTAACAACTCTCTTAATCTAAAAACTCTCATCATCAAGTTATTATACAAAAGCAGTTATATGTTGGAGGTCGGGGACGTTTCCAACTTTCCATTGTGTGATGGGAGTCATGTGAAGCACAACAAAGCTAATAATGGAGATAACGTTGGTCATCTTCTTCTCAATAACTAAATCATTTGTGTCTCACTTACAAGATTAGCGCCAAGGCTCACTCTCACATTGGCTGCTCAAGAAACACTAGCAAAGTTGGTTAGAGTGAGAAGCAAGATATGAAACTACACTCAAACGTTTCTCCTGGTTATTATTTCCACATTACTACTCTAAATTCATTTTTGTTGAAGACATCAAATCATGTAATGGGTACTTTAAACTTTTTTAAAACAATCTTATTCCTATGTACATTACCATCTTCCTTATTGATCATAGTCTCATTTTAATTGAGTTTTTCATAAGAGTATAACTAGAGAGAGCATCAAGCAAAATAACATTTAAACGCATTGAATTCTCAAGCCAAAAGATAAGTTAACCAATCAAACAAAAGATTCACTTGTCTCTTGTATTTCTTTACTTTGTCCCAATAAAACAAATATGTTTATCAACACTTAAATTATTTCAGTTTTTTATTTGCACATCTACTTTTAAATGTTTGAAAATAATATATGTTTAATATTTTATAAATTAAAATTTTTAATACATTTTATTTTCTAAGAGAACTCTACTTGAGAACCTACCATTGGACTATGAAATTTTTTTAAAAAAAACAAAAATTCTCATCTCACATTTTCACAAAATTTATATTAAAAAATTTGAGAGAGTCTCATGAGGAGAACTCCCCATTGGAGATGCTCTAAATAGGGCATTTCAAACACACGCACAAAAAAGGAATTTGTTGGCTTGTCCCTCTCGCCTCTTCTTTTATAACACTTCTTGAATTTAGTTATTCATCAGCAATATTTCTTTAAAACTATTTTATTTTTCATGTTTATTATACGTAAATACATATTTTGAAACCATGACATATTAAAGATTTTGTATCTTGGACGTTTTAAGTAAAACAATTAGATTTGAGATGATTTTATCAGACGTCAGTTTTGTTTGGAAATGTAGAAAGAATCTAGATAACGTGTTTGTTGTCATGGAATCTTTATCTTCAATCAGAAACTTCGTCTAGATGATATAGTTAAAAAGTGAAAATTATAATTGTTTAGTCTTTATGCATGGTCCGTCCAATATATATACAGTGCCATAGGTGTATGTATACATACAGATAATGGTCTAACTACCAGAACCACCCAAGTTATTATATTTTTGATTCCGAATCACAATACAACACATAATTTTTTCCTAGAGTATATGTTTATTGTAATTGGAGTTGGTTGATTATAATAGATTAGTAATTTCTTTGTTGGTGGAGTCTAACATCACATAAATATTAAATCTCAACACTTGTTAATAATTTGATCTTTGTCTTAACCAAATTTATGATAAATTAATGATATATGTAGACAAATAAAATAAAATTAAAATCCACTGAAATTAACATGACTTTACTAAAGTTCATCTATCAATTAGTCAATTACCTTGATACGTATTAAAAAATTCTAACATCTTATGATTCTTTTCAATAATAATCGTTCACTATTAACAGTTAAAACTATGCACAAATAAATGATTTAACATAACATAAGACCACACAATACATATATTAGCCTATAAAAACGCAAAAAATCACATTCTAAAATTTAACTTCCATTCCTCGATAAGTTGGTTCATCCAAGGGATTAAAATGAATCTTATAAAGGTAATTTAATAAAAAAAATTATTACAAAAAAATAAAATAAGATAGAACCTATTGATGTGTTGGACGGTTGGACCACGTGGATGCGGATCAAAAGAGACTTGATCAACTTATGGAAACTCATGATGATAGGTGTTTGTTACCGAACATTCAAGTTCAATGATGTGGCTGGTCCTAACTAACCAAATCTATTTAATTTTATGTTTTTTTTTTAAATTATCAATTACCAAAATCGGAATTGTCAAGATTCAACAAGAACAAAGAGAATGACAATAATATGCTACGTAGCTAGACTTCTACTCGTCAAAATAATTCTCTGCATAGTCTCTCGAAAGCTCAGTTTTATCTACTCGTCTTTTCAAACATATATACAAAACACAATTTAGTGCGTTTATTCATGAATCCGCCCATTATAGTCATTTCAATTTAGGTGAATTAGCCTGTTGATAAAGATAGATGCCAAAAACAAAATGAATGCGAATGACCAATGTAGCTTCGTTTACAATTACATTGTTGGTTTGACAAAAGAAAGATTACATTGTGATTTGGTTTAAACCGGTTCATACCCGATTTACAAACCAGAAGTGACACAGAGTATAAGGCAAAGTTTGCAAAGCTCTTAACCAATGCTCTCGTCGAGTTTAGAGAATCCAAGCTTCTTGAGTCTACTAGTTATCGGATTAGCCCAAGCTCGATCTGGATTCCCGCATTTCACATCCACAATCTCCACAATGTTCATTCTCTTCTCTCTTCTCGGGGTTCCTTGCAACGATACATTTTCAGAGCCAAGCATTGGAAGCTGATGAGTGCTTTTGGTATTGTGGTGACCCTTTGGTGTTCTAACATTATCAGAGCCAAGCATTGAAAGCGGATGAGTGCTTTTTGTATTGTGACCCTTTGGTGTTCTGACATTATCAGAGCCAAGCATTGAAAGCTGATGGGTGGTTTTGGCATTGTGACCCTTTGGTGTTCTAACATTGTTAACATTGCTGTTGTTGCTGCTGCTGCTAGCTTCGTCTGATGATTTTCTTGGTTTTGATCTTCTTGGAGTTGAAGAAGATGTGCCACAGTCTACTGAGACAGGGATTGTTGTTCTAATGGGTCTCGTTGTGGGAGTCTGAGGTGAAGTTTGTTTCATGGAGTCCAGCTCCCGAGTCATTAGAGTTGCGACTGTTCCTGTTGCTCCTATTTTTATCGATCCACCCCCACCTTTGATCAGTTCAAGCTTCTGAACCATTATGAATTTTGTAAATTTTCTTTCGCCTTTGCGACTCTCTAAGAGGACACTTCTTGAGTTTTATCCGGCTTCACGGGTCTGAAAACAAATCTGAAATAACAAACGAAACATCAATCTAGATGAATAAGTAACCTTCTTATATCAAAAAGCAGAAAACCAAACAAATACGCCACTTGTTTTGCAGTTTTTTTATGAGGAATTCATGTTTTCAAATTGGTGTATATGAGAAACAATTTAGTAGCTCAAGTTTCTAACTAAGCAAACTTTGAAGCAGAACAGAGGAAGTGAAAACTCCATTGAATAGCACCAATTGTGAAATGAGACCTGAGAAGTAGATGTTGCAAAGCTCTTCACAAGCACAATCTAGAGGAACAAACCAATTATGTACTGCATCATAACTAAAGTCTTTGACTTTCAAGAACTTGAGTAACAAAAGGAGAATGAAACCTGCATATACACTAGTTTCAAGCCATATCCAGTGTTTTTAATGTAAAAGAAAAGAAATATGAAATCAAAGCGCACTAAGATCAAACTCTAACCATACTAATAAGCTGAGAAGAAAAACATCAAAGCTATTTATAGATACTAGACATGACACATCTGAATAAAAGCTTGGAGCACATCATAGTATACCACGGGTTCTCTTAACTAATATCAAATGTTTAGTTACTTGTTTCAATCAGATTGATTGAAATACAAGGTTCAAACTTGAACCAATGTAATGTCAATCACAGAAACGACTCTACGTCTGTTATTATCAAAATCAATCTCTATCAATCAAAAGCAAGAGGTAATCAAAGAGATAAAAGGAGAAAAAGGAGGAAATAGCCACTAGTGATTTGAAGTAAAACAAACATGAGAACGACATTTTGATGATTTTAATCCTTGACCAGTCACATTCAACAGCGAAGAAACAAATCCCAGAAAAATGGGTCAAAATCACGTACGAGAAAACACAAAATTCCCCTAACTAAAAAGAACCCTAGCCAATAATCTCAACAGATCACCAAACAATGGATTCGCACAATAAAAGCTTACCGATTTATAATCGATCAAGTGATCAGAAGAAAGCTAAACCCTTTTCAAATTTCAAAACTTCTAGAACTCCACGATGTAAATTGATCGAATTGGATTAAGGAACAGCATTGAAGATTAGGTACGCGAATGAAATAATAAAAATCAAAACTTTGGTCTTTTGATTGGTTTTGAAATCTGAGTTTTCTTGTGGAACGTGATGGATTAAGGCAAGCAGCGACTAGTCAACGTTCCTTGTTTACAGTGTAGAGTAGATTCCTCTATCATTTTTATTGGACTCGGTAATAATGTTTCACTTTTTGACGAACAAGAAGAAAAATACGCAAATTATATTAAAAGCCTTAACCTATGAGTTTATTTCATTTTTCACCTTAAACTATCAATTGTATCAAAATGATATACAGAATTATATAAAACGCAGCCGTTTAAAACGCAGCCGACAAAATGTAGAAGTAGCTCCGGTCATTTCAGTAACAAGTTCTGTTCTTTGGCTGTCGTGTTCTTTTGTCTCAGGGAGAAGCGCGAAGAGATTAAAAGATTAGACCTTTTCGCCTTCATGGATTCGAAGTTGAGGAATTTCGTGATGGGTCTGTTTGTGATGACTGCGATCTTGAAAGGTTCTGGTGTCGACGCGTGGACTGGTGAGATTCGTGGTAGAGTTGTGTGTGATGTCTGTGCTGATTCTTCAATTGGACCAGAAGATCATGTTCTTGAAGGTTAGTATCTCTGTCTGTCTGCTTTACGTCTTCTCTCTAATCAGTTTTAGATGTTCGATTGCCGGGAAGAAGAACAGTTGTGTGATTTTGTGAAATTCTTTTAAATCAACTGTGTAGAACTCTGGATTGACTTTAAGTAGTGGTTCTTGAGAAAGACTGTTGTTCTGATGGATTTCTTCAGAGTGATTACTGTTCATTTCAATAGCAGTTGTTTCTTGGGCTTCTCACACATCAGATTGGTGTGAATTTATATCATTTAGTGCAATGTTTAATTGTAAATTATGGAAACGAATAACATTTTTTAGTTCTACAGAGTAGTTTATTAGCGGAAGCTTATTGGTACTGTTAGTTCTTCTTTCTTGAGCAAATGGTGCATATCTATGTGAGTGTGTGTCTACATTTTTTGCAGATTCTTATTTGGCCTTTGTAATAATAGAAATCAAATTTAGAGGGGGTTATGGTTTGTATCATCTCTTGTCTCTCTGCAACTTAGAAGTTTGTTATGTTCATCATCCTTGTGTTTTTAGCTGCGCTATTGTATTTGGCCCTTTTTGCAGATTATGTTATGCTTATATGTGAAATCTTGTCAAGTTTTCTGATTCATATTTGGTTCTTTGAATTACATGAATCAAATTTAGAAGTGCTTATGGCTTGGATCATCTCTTGACTCTCCGGAACTTAGTAATTAGTTTGTTCATTCTTGTGGTTCCGGCTACTTTTATGTGTTAGCCGATTGTGTTAATGATTTTTCCACTTTGCTTCATATTCCAAATAGTCTTGTTGATAACTCAAAACCGGTATTGCTTAGAAGCCACTCTGTTTTATGTGTTTACTTTGAACATGAATACATATCACCATTCTGCTAGTGAAATGAACTCTTTGGCACTTTTAAACCGTGTTATGTGATCCAGTCACTTCATATCATTGAAGGATCAATCACATTTGCGAGTTGTTATTGTTCAATCTTTACAGGAGCTGAGGTTGCGGTTCTGTGCATAACCAAATCTGGTGAAGTTGTGAACTACCAAGCTTTCACAAACTCAAAAGGTGTCTACACAGTTGCAGAGACAATGCCAGAGAGTGAACGTTGGGACGCTTGCCTTGCAAGACCCATCAGCAGCTTCCACACGCCTTGCAACCGCCTACACCAAGCCAATACCGGACTCAAATTCACTTATAACCACCCTTCCGGGTTCTTTCATGCCGTGAAACCGTTTGTGTATCGACCCCAATATGCACCTTCTTATTGCTGATTTCAAAGACTCTTTGTAAAAGTCCCTGTAAGTTATAATAACAGAAAGATACTATGAAATATGAAAATAGTTTGGATTTGTAAAATGCTAATATGGATCAAGCTTAGATCAAGCTTAGATCTTCCTAAAATGCTAATATGGATAAAGAAGTTTATTATATAAAGTCTTTAGTCAAAGTCAAAGAGAGACTAGTCTCACAAGGCGGTGACGGGGGAGGTAAAGAACAGTTAATGTTGAATGGGTCCTACAGATGACGTGTTTAAATGCTATAGGATCAACAACGTGTCTCAAGCATTTTGTTGGAGGAAAAGACGAAAATATCCCTATCGTCATTCTTTGCGTCAGTCAACTGAAAAATTGAATTTTTGTTCTAGACGAGGAAAACGAAGCCATAAATCTGGGAAATCAAAAATCGTTATAAGAAGAAACAGAGAGACTGCGACGGGGACAAGATTCTGATGAACCGGAGAATCTAAGAATCGTGTTTTGTCTATTTTCTTGCAATTATAAGGATGATACATTGGTTGAAGCAGCTGCGATCGGCGTTTGGCGTCGCGTTTCTGTGGCTCGTTTGTCTCATTTACTTCACTCAGGTTTGTTTTGGATTTTCGCTTTGAGTTTTGGCAAATTTATATGAAAATGGCGATTCTCGCGTTGAGCCGAAACAGAAATGGTGATTGATTCTCGTTGCTGATTTTTTGATTAAGCAGAGAACGCATTTTTCACGTTGTCGTTGTAATTACGCTAAATCGTGATTAATATCGTGAATCAAATGCGATTAGAGATTGAAAAAACTTGTGATTTTGAGATGTTTTTAAATTTGATCGTTATTGGATCAATTTTATCGCGTTTTCCTCTGTTTTCGTGTGTTTTGAGACGATCACCATACATTTGTTGAGATCGGTTTGGTTAATTTCATGTTATTTGGTGAGTAATTATGTAGAAACTTAGGATTAGCTATAATTAAATTGATTTTGGTGATATGTAGGGATTTAGATCGTTCGTGTGGACAGCTGTTTCGTACCAGCTCAAAGACAGGCTGCAATTATCACCATCAGCTTCTCAGTTTGTCTTTTCGGTTGCCTTTTTTCCATGGAGCATAAAACCATTATATGGGTATGAATCTTCATGAGTACTGATGATCAATGTATTGATTCAAGCTAAATTGGCAGTGATAGTAGGAGCTTTGTAATAATGACATGTTTTTTTTGGTTTTGGTAGAATCATATCAGATTGTATACCAATTGGAGGGAAAAAGAGGACGCCGTATTTGGTGTTATCGACTGTGCTCTCTCTTGTGCCATGGCTCTTGCTTGGTCTTGATTCAACCTCGCGAAGTTCAAGTCTCTATCTGATGATTTTCTTGACTGTACAAAATCTGGGATCAGCTATGGCTGATGTTGTGATAGATGCTATGATAGCTGAGGCAGTAAGACTTGAAAAGTAAGATTCTATGTTCTTCAGTTTTGGATCCGCACTTAGATCATAGTTTAATGCACTTAGTTCATTAGTTGAGTTGTTCTTTAATTGTTTATCAGGGCCTCGTTTGCTGGAGATCTTCAGTCTGTGTCATGGTTTGCAATGGCTGTGGGCGGAGTATGCGGTAGTTTATTAGGAGGTTATGCATTATCCAACTTGAAGATAGAAACAATATTCCTTCTTTTCACGGTACTACCGGCGCTACAATTACTGTCATGTACTCTGGTTGAAGAAATTCCTGCTAACGATGAACCATTGCCTGAGTTGTTGGATTCGAACGGGTTTGAAGAGAAAAGCAAGTTGAGCAATGATAACTATCGAGATATGAATAAGTCTAGTACAAGAAGAAGGAAGGGGCAGAAGAAAGGTAAAAAAGGAGCTTCCAATGGAAAGTCTGAGACACAGAAGAAGCAATCAAAGTCTTTAGCTTCACAGTGGTTCCAGTCACTGAAAGCAGCCACTTTTGGTTTGGGCCGTGCGTTCAAGCAACCAATAATTCTGAGGTAATGCACGCTTTCTTAAATAGTCACTTTTTAAATGTCTTGAAGTGTTGCTCTCTCATTTTCTTTCTCTGGTTGTCCAGACCAATGGCGTGGTTTTTCATTGCGCATATAACTGTGCCAAATCTCTCTACGGTCATGTTCTATTACCAAACCGAGGTCTTGCAATTGGACGCTGCTTTCCTAGGAACTGCCCGTGTTGTTGGTTGGTTAGGTCTCATGTTTGGAACCTTTATCTACAATCGCTATCTGCAAGATATGACTCTACGCAAGTCTCTCTTGTAAGTCTAAATATTTCCTGCACACATCGTTACATCTCAATATTTTCCTCTTTTACGAAATCTAATGAACAAAACATCATCACAGGTTTGCTCACATCGGGCTGTCTATCACAATACTCCTGGATATGGTTCTAGTATCAAGAGCAAATGTGGGCTACGGAGTTTCAGACAAGACAATGGTGCTCTTCGGATCAGCTCTAGGTGATGCCATCAATCAACTCAAGTAAGTTGCTTTTCCTTGTTTATTTTCTCTGGAACATTTTCTTCCAAGAATTCTAACTCAATAATAATGCTTTGGCTTGATTTAATGGCAGATTCATGCCGTTCCTGATCTTGTCTGGTCGTCTATGTCCACCTGGGATTGAAGGAACACTCTTTGCGCTGTTTATGTCGATAAACAACCTAGGAAACACAGTTGGGTCGTTCATGGGAGCAGGATTGGCTTCACTTCTGGGAATATCTTCAGGATCCTTTGAGAATATGTTTATGGGTTTAGCCATTCAAGTGTTTTGCACTTATATACCTGTTTTGTTTCTTTTCTTGATTCCCAAAGAAGCTACAGGAGTATCAGCATCATAGAGCAGAGAGAGCAAAGCTAGTTTCTCATAGAAAAAGTTTTAGATCAGAGTTTTTGGATTCTATTTTTTTGGCAGTTTTTAACTTTCTCAAAGGCTTGGAATTGGCACATTATACAGAGTGGAGACTTGTTATATACTAATACTAGAATATACAGCCTCATTTTTTCTTGTCAATCTTACTTAATCCAAGATGCATAATTAAATTTACCACTTTTAAATTTTGTTAAAGTATGGTCGTGTTTTATTATATAGGCTAATCTCATACAAAGTCATACCAGGTTTGTTTTCTTCTTTCCAAATTAAGCTAAACTGGTACAACGATCAATTTTCAACCTGGGGACGGAGGGAGTGAAAATATAATTTACGTAATTAGATGGTTTATTAATTGGGCTTTTTGAAGTTGGACTCACATGGAAACGCAAAAAATAAAAAAAAAAAACGAAAAATTTATCAGAGCCAGGTTTCGATCCTGGGACCTGTGGGTTATGGGCCCACCACGCTTCCGCTGCGCCACTCTGATATTTTTGATATTCGTCATACATAAAACATAATTTAATCAACTATCTATGATAATAAATCTGTTCAAAAGGAGATTGTCCGACGGGTCTCGCGCGGAGAACAAAAATGCCGAGGATAAAAAAGATGAGACGACGACCAGGAACCGGAGGATTACGTTGAAGTTTGCATGCTAACAAGGTATCATAATGGAAATGGATGTTTGATCAGTTTACATGAGCTATCAGCTATGCAACCATCTTCGTCAGAGAAGAAAAAAAAAGATCGTGAAGCTGTGACTAAAAGAAATCCACATTTTAGAACTAAAAGAAATGTTAGCTTTTATGCTTATGTAGAGAGTCTCATGAGATTTTAAAGTTTCTTGCTTTTCAAGGTAAAGCTAGAGGTGGGCATTTCAAAAGTTTGGTTCGTAATAAGTTATATCAAATTAGAACTTAAATTATATAACTTGATTCGGTTAAGCGAAAGGGTAGTGAATAAGTGATTGAAACCTACGAAGTTTCTAATTTGCCATAATGTCGGACCATGTACATAACGTTGAAGATTTGATTTTTGTTGCTTTGAAAATACGTTTTTTTTTTTTGTTTTTCTTTTGGTTATAAAATTTTGGGTGGAAGAAACGGCGACGTATCTTTTAAATTTGCACGCTATTGAAACATACTTCAAGTATGTACACGTTAGATCATTGGTGACGCAACGTAATTAGATGATGACATTGGGATAAAGGAATTGAAAATAAAAACGAACATGACGAAAAATTTCTGTTAATTTCGTATGTTGTGGTGTACGCTAAATTATCTATCGTGAATCCGTGTATAATGTGTATAGATCATGTAATTATCGTTGATGGTTGAATTTACACAATATTAAAATATTTGGATGATGTGATCTTATTTTTGTTACCATATTTTGGCTGATAATCTATTTTGTTACTATTTTCATAATCGTTGCAAAATCTTTTCAAAAATGGTAACAAAGTATTTGTGTCCAACCGTAGAGAAATCAAAAAGACAAAAAAATCAATCCACTATCCATCAGATCTCCAAACATTTTTTTAAAAAAGTTACTTAAAATGTTTATGTTAATTGATCGGGTTAAAAAGAATAAAGAAATTTTTTTCCCTCCTGATTCTAAACTTTCTGAGATAAATTTGCTAGTTAGAAAATTTGTGATTTTTGGATGATATGTTAACAAAATACGTCAGAATAAATCACTCAATTATTCAAACACAATAGCAATGTATATTTATATTCAAACATAATTATACATTAAGTAATATTTATATGGCTCTGAATACATATCAATTTCCTGTTGATTTAAAATATGCTAAAAGCAGAATGAAATTGTTTTAATAAATTACATACAAAATTATAAAAAAATCTGCCCCTAGTTAATGTATAATTTTGTTGATAATTAGGATATAAGCATCCCTCGACCGTATAAATTAATCGTGGATTAAATTTCAAAATAATTAAACTTGCCACTTTAATACGGAAGTTTTTTATTTTTATTTTTCTAGCGAATTTGTTTTTTGTTTTTTTTTCTTAATATAAATAAATTTGATTTAATATCGTGGAGAAACTAACAAACGGAACATGGCGTCTTCATCATCCTCATCGTCTTCTTCGCTTTCCTCAATTCTCTCCATCGTCGTACTGATTCTAATTGTATCAACCGCTGAATCAGTGAAATCACCGTTTCATCCTCGCGATTTGCTTCCGCATTTGCCCAGACAAGTCTCATGGCCGATTCTCAACTCTCTTTACGGCGCCGCCGATCTGCTTCCTACTTTCATCGGAACAGCGAGTTCTGGGAACGATTCCGTTGACTGGAAAGGGGCTTGTTTCTATGAGAACACCGCTTGGTTAGAGTTTCATAACAAGTCTGGTAGCGAGTTTGGTGGAGGCACTCTTCACATTAAGGTGAAATTTGAATATTGAAGTCAAAATCGAAATTTGTTCCTTTGTCAATTATGATCGTTTTGTTGCTTACTGAGTTGAGTGATTATGGGAGATTTTGTTATATGGGTCCTCTTCAATTTTGACTTTTGAAACTTCAATTGTTGACCGTTAAGTCTAGAAGTTTTGGGATCCTGGAAATTAGGAGAAAGATTTCGAATTGTATATGATCTTCTTCTCTAGTGTGTACTCTTAGAAGTAATTGATAAATCCTAACTTTGATTTTGCTGTTGTGTTGTTTATGAAGGCGGATAAGGCGCATAGTTGGACTTGTATGGATCTTTATGTATTTGCTACTCCATATCGTGTGACATGGACTTGGTACTTCATTTCACGACAGCATACTGTGGAATTTCCGGAGTGGGATGGCAGAGCTGAGTATGAATATGTAAGTTGTTGTTGTTTTTTGTTCGAATTTTGTTACTATGTCTTTGGTTTCTTCGTATATGAGTTTATATCTATGTCTTTGGTTGGTGTGTTTTGGGTACTTATTGGATCAGGTTAAGAACAAAGGAGTTTCGATATTCCTTATGCACGCGGGGATGTTAGGAACACTTCAAGCACTGTGGGATGTTTTCCCTCTCTTTACCAATACCGGGTGGGGGGAGAGCTCTAATCTTGCGTTTCTTGAGAAGCATATGGGAGCTAATTTTGAACCTCGTCCTGAACCATGGGTTACAAATGTTACAACTGATCAAATCCAGTCTGGTGATCTCTTAGCTATTTCAAAGATTCGTGGGCGGTGGGGTGGTTTTGAGACCCTGGAGAAATGGGTGAGTGGGGCATATGCTGGTCATTCCGCTGTTTGCTTGAGAGACTCTGAAGGGAAACTTTGGGTTGGTGAGTCAGGAAATGAAAATGAAAAGGTAACAAAACTTCAAAGTGCTGCCTAAAGTTAAGTTTTAACTACAGCAATATTTTTTTTGATGGTTTTTTTTTCTTGTCATAGGGAGAAGATGTTATAGCAATCTTACCATGGGAGGAGTGGTGGGCATTTGAACAGACAAAGGATGACTCGAATCCTCAGATCGCATTGCTACCTTTGCATCCCGATGTTCGTGCTAAATTCGACGTTGCTGCTGCTTGGAAATATGCTCGCAGCATGGAGGGTAAACCATATGGTTATCACAACTTGATTTTTAGTTGGATTGATACCGTTAGTGAAAACTACCCGCCTCCTCTAGATGCCCATATTGTAGGTTTTTTTCTTCTTATTTCTCACAATTTTTCGTCTTGATGATTGAATATACTTTCAAATTGTATTAAATTTGAGGATTTCTTTCTTTCAGGTTGCATCTTTCATGACTGTTTGGAGCCAAATGCAGCCTGAGTATGCTGCTAACATGTGGAATGAAGCCTTGAACAAGCGACTGGGAACAGAGGTATAAAAATTTGTGTTTTGTTTCTATATACTTTTCGTACTTCTTCATCATCCTAATTTCTTAACATCTTCATGATTCTTAGATGAATTTTTTTACTTAGTGCTTATCCTCGTTAGAGATGGTCCTAATATCTGATTCTTCTGTACTATTTTATCTTTGATTTCTGTATATGATTCTACATTTTTCCTTGCTTCTATAATTTGACTCTGTTCCTTGTCCTTCTGTTTTTTTCTTTTCTTCTCTAACATGGTCTAAATTGCAGGGTCTTGATCTTTCTGATGTACTGGTCGAAGTAGAGAAGCGTGGATCCTCATTTGACAAATTACTGGCAGTACCTGAACAAGACGATTGGATATACAGCGATGGTAAATCAACCTCGTGCATCGCTTTCATTCTTGAACTGTACAAAGAAGCTGGATTGTTCGGTCCACTTGCTAATTCTATTCAAGTCACGGAATTCACGGTAAGAATCAGTACACAGTCTCTGTTTCCCTTCCTGCACGCAAGCTCGTGACCATTTTCTTTTTTATATTTTTTCAATCTGCAGATCAAAGATGCTTACATGCTCAACTTTTTCGAGAACAATGCAAGTCGTCTTCCTACATGGTGCAATGACAATGACAATGTGAAGCTTCCTTACTGTCAGATACTTGGGAAGTACAGGATGGAACTTCCTGGTTACAACACTATGGAACCATACTCGCACATGAATGAACAATGTCCTACTCTGCCTCCAAAGTACAACAGACCAGATAACTGCTAGAATACAACTCTTATCTCTTCCTCAGATGTCTGTTTGAATTTAGGAAAAAAAGTTAATGTAATACAGTTGAAAATTCAACAATTACTTTATCTGTTTGTATATATATCATTCAGGTTTGTAGCAGCTGCTCATCATGTAACAACTGTTTGGATATTATTTATACACATAGAAAATTAGAAGTTTTTGTCTTTTGGAATCAATTTTGGCGTAGTCATCTTCCGGTTTAGTTTGGTATATCTGGATTGAACCGGTGTGGTTTAATTCTCATCTTCGTCGTACAGAGAAAGTAGTAGCAAAGCTTGAAGCTTTCGATTTTGTAAATGTGCGTGATGTCATCATCAGGACAGATGATGGGCCATGTCGTGGCCCGAGCTCAGATGATCTTGTCTCGAAGTAACTTCGCCGATTGTATACGGTGTCAGGTAGTGAGAGTTTCGAAAACCCTAACAATGGGGACTAAGCGGCGACCCACTTGCCCTTCTTGCGATAAACCTAGCCAGCTCTGCCTCTGCAAGAAGATGCGATCTCCATGTTTCGATAATCAGGTTAGTGTTACTATTCTTCAGCACAGTCTCGAGAGAAAACACGCGCTTAATTCTACTCGAATCGTTAGATTAGGGCTTAAGAATGTTGGTGTGACTACTGTTTTCGATGTACATGATGAGGCAGAGTTCGTAATCAGGGTTATTGGCTCGGGTTGCAGCAAGATTGGCACGAATCAGTCAGATTTTGATTATAGGCTAGAGACTGTTGCTTCTTTGGAGCTTGATGATAGATTTAAGTTAGGTATTAGTGGCAATGTGGAGAACTTAGAATTTGAGAAGCATGTGGTGCTTGTTGCTCATGGAAGCTTGAAAATTGCTGAAAGTTTGAAGCTTTCTCAACATTCGGGTGAAATGTCTTGTCGGGATTCGCGGGTTACAGATAAAATAGGTTCTTGTGAAGAAAGTAGATCAGAAGATTTGATCAGAATCTGTATGAAGAAACAAGGTGTCATCAGCAATGTCTCACACTCTTTGATGCTTGAAACCAATGTGGAGGTTCCTAGTTTTGATCATATATTGGCTTCTCCTGCAGCCATGGATGTCTTGGCAAAAGGGTTTGTTGTAACAAAGTTTTCAGAAGGAAAGCGAGAATTTGAGCTCGAGGTTCCTCCCGGATCAGCACTATTGTTCCCGAGCGAAGAATCGGTGAAGATCAATGATCTTAAAGAGAAAGAAGAGTTGAAGGTAAGGAATCTGATTGTTCTTGATGGGACATGGTCAAAGGCAAGAAGAATATACCTTGAGAATCCATGGCTAAAGCTTTTACGTTGCCATGTGAAGCTAGAAATGGAAGGTACAAGTTTATACAAAGAAGTTCGAAGGCAGCCAAGAGCGGGATGTTTATCGACAATAGAGAGTATTGTATACACGATGAAGGAGATCGGTGAAGATCCCGAAGGCTTAGATAATATGTTGAATGTCTTTGAATCCATGGTTGAAGATCAAAGAAGATGTAAAGATGAGAACTTTGAAAAGATTATCTGAAAGACAAAATGACTTTGCTGTTGTAACATGTAAGCTGAATGAATCAGATTCTTCAATTTTGATAAATTATGCAAAAGTTGGAGTCGTTTTTGGTAATTTATTAAACAATTGAAGATATAAATATTGGGGGTGTGAACAAGAAAATTTCATAGTTGTGGCCTATATGTAAATTATAGGAAATATAAGTTTTGTTGAGTTAAAACTTTTGTTGTCTTCAAAATCAGCCCTACGAATTTGAACTCAAGAGTGTTTCGTCTCCGAATGCTTTCAATACGCAGAAGCTTAACTCTTGCAAAAGAGCCAAAAGATTTGTTTTTGAGTTTGTGTAATCTCCGAGTACGATTTGTATCTACAGATAACTATGATCCTCCATTTTCGCCTCTCTCAAAACCCACTAAACCTCCAAAAGAGAAGAAGAAGACGAAGAAGCAAGATCAGTCGTCGGAGCTGAAGATTCCGGTGATTTCAGACCTTCCTTTCGATTTTAGGTATTCGTATTCAGAAACTAACCCGGAAATTGAACCAATTGGATTCCGTGAACCGAAACGGTTTTCTCCTTTTGGACCGGGTCGATTGGACCGGAAATGGACCGGTACTACCGCACTGGCTTCGCCGGAGATTGATCAGAGTCAATGGGAGGAGGAGAGAGCAAGAGTTCTCGGCGAGCCTTTGACAGAGGAAGAAGTGACAGAACTTGTTGAACGGTATCGGCATAGTGATTGTTCACGACAGATTAATCTCGGTACAATTTTTGAATCTTTTTGCCTAAAGTTTTTAGCTTTGAAATTTGTTTTCTTGATCAAATCGAATCATCTTCAAAGTTAAGAGCTTTCTTCACTTGTTTTATAAACTTTGTGGTGTTATCAGGGAAAGGTGGTGTGACTCACAATATGATAGATGATATTCATAACCATTGGAAGAAAGCTGAGGCAGTTAGGATCAAATGCTTGGGAGTACCAACTCTTGACATGGACAATATATGTTTCCACCTCGAGGTGTCTGTTATTAGATCTCAAGAACTCGGCTTTGTTCTTCTTTAGGTTGATCTAATTTTCGTAAGTATTCATGGTGATCTTACTATAGTTGTGTTCTTGACAGGACAAATCTGGTGGGAAGATTGTATACAGACACATAAACATTCTAGTTTTGTACCGGGGAAGGAATTATGATCCGAAGAATCGTCCCATCATACCACTCATGTTATGGAAGCCTTATCCACCGATATACCCAAGACTTGTAAAGAATGTCGCCGATGGGTTAACATTTGAAAAGACCAAAGAAATGAGAAATCGCGGACTTCATTCTCCTGCCTTAATGAAACTTAGTAAGTGGTTACATTCGTCCCAAAGTTCTTGGTCATTTTTCTGGTTTTCCTCATTTTTTCATTGGCTTATTTGTATTGTGATACAGCTAGGAATGGTGTCTATGTTAATGTCGTGGGAAGAGTGAGGGAGGAGTTTGAAACAGAAGATATTTTGAGACTAGATTGCACTCATGTTGGGATGAGTGACTGCAAACGAATCGGTGTGAAACTAAAGGTATAATAAACTCTAAATGGATTGCTCTGTCAGATTCTGTAGGAGATTGATCTTGATGCTGTGATCAAAATTGTAGGATTTGGTTCCATGTGTTCCCATATTGTTCAAAGATGAGCAAATCATACTCTGGAGAGGGAAGAGGAATGGTGAAGAAGAGCTTTTTCACTCTGTGAATACTTTAATCCGGAACAATGATCATGTGACCGAAACTTTTTCATCGACACAACAAAATCTTGGTTGATTTGTGTATGCATTACAAAATAGGGAAGGATCCAAATTATGTATTTTCGAAAAAGAACTATGAGTTTCGGTTTGATTTTGTTGGAATTGACTAAACTTATTACTCTTTTAACTCATAATTTGATTTTTAGAGTAATCAAACTACTTTTCTTTATGTCATTACTCAAATCGCCGGTTCAAAACCAAACCGGACAATAGTAGGACAACTATGTAATGGGCTAATGAGATAAAAGTTATAATATTGAGCCTAAAAAAAGCCCAGAACTGAATCATCATAACTATAAAGTAAGCGAGACTTTTAACGAGCTTCGTTTTCATTTCTCTTCCCCGTAGCGAAATTTTAGGTTTTTTTTCCGTCGTAGTGATGCAGCAACCACCGTCAAACGCCGCCGGAGCTGGACAGATACCATCGGGACAGCAACAGTTGTGGATGATGATGCAACAGCAGCAGCAACAGCAGCAGCAGCAGCAGCAGAGGCAGTTTTCTGCGGCGCCACTAGGTCAACAGCAGTACGGTGTTGGATCTCAGAATCCAGGATCCGAGGTCAAATCGTTGTGGATCGGAGACTTGCAGCAATGGATGGACGAGAACTACATCATGAGCGTCTTTAATCAGTCTGGCGAGGTAATTTACTTCACTGAGATTATGAAAATCCTGGGAAATAGTTTTGAAATTCGAGAAGAACTTAGTCGTGTTTTTACTAGTTATAGTCTTTTGCTTATCATGTAGAAGATTCAAAAGTATTGTCTTTGTTTGTGGTTTCAGGCTCAATCGGCTAAAGTCATTCGTAATAAGCTGACGGGACAATCTGAAGGTTATGGATTCATTGAGTTTGTCAACCATTCTGTAGCAGAGCGGGTTTTGCAAACTTACAATGGTGCTCAAATGCCGAGCACTGAACAGACGTTTAGGCTCAACTGGGCTCAGGCAGGGGCTGGAGAGAAACGCCACCAGACTGAAGGGCCTGACCATACGATTTTCGTAGGCGACTTGGCACCTGAGGTGACTGACTACATGCTCTCGGACACGTTTAAGAATGTGTATGGGTCTGTCAAGGGGGCTAAAGTTGTGGTTGACAGGACCACTGGAAGGTCCAAGGGCTATGGGTTTGTTAGGTTTGCGGACGAAAATGAGCAGATGCGTGCCATGACCGAAATGAATGGTCAATACTGCTCGACCAGGCCTATGCGTATTGGTCCGGCTGCCAATAAGAATGCTCTTCCGATGCAACCAGGTATGTTTTATATGTAGGAATTGTGTGCATTGAGTATGTTGAATGGTGATATGAAGTTTGTTTGTGTTTTGTTTAACCTTCTATGTTGAGCATTAATTGAGTGTCTTTTTGCTTGCTGTTTTTCTTTCTGATCAGTGAAGTTTTTCTTTCAATTAGTGCTCAAAGATTAAGAGTTCTTATCTGCTCTTTTTCCTTTCGGTTTTTGACTTTCTGCACAATGAATTTTGATATAGTAAAGCATCCAAAAACTTATAAAAATCAGCTCATGTTGTCTTAAAGCAGGAGAACAAGTGGCTCTCTTTGGGGGAGCCTGGAACTGATTTCAGCTGAAAATGATACCACTTTAATGCGTGGCCTCATTTAGGTCAGTTGGTTATGTTATCAGAAGAACTTACATATAAGTGGCTGTTATTAGCCTACAGTTTCAAATTACTTTCAAGTTCCTTACTTATCACTTAGACGTATTTTATTTTTGAGCCTTTTACCTTCAAATTCATTCTTTTTATATTCCGTAGCTCATTTTCCCAGTATTTTATTTTGACCTCTACCTTAAAGTTAAATACTTTTCTCTAAGCAAACTGTTGCAAGTATATTTCCGTCTTTTCATAATAGTTTTCCTCTCTAGATTTATACTATTAAACTTTCGCCAAATCATTTTCCTCAAGTTGATTACTAGGAACTTCTAACATTGAAGAAATTTGGATGTAGGGTGAAGAGTTTGCTTTCATTATTCTATGCCTGAGTGTTAAGTCCCACAGGCACTTACTGTTTGATATCTATGCTCAACGATTTGTTATCAATAATCAACTGACTTCAGATTTTTGCACTGTATGTTATTTGGTTTCTTTGCTGGTGTTTCTTAGGTGTTGATGTGAATGATTTTTGCAAAACTTGTTTGAGTGAACGGCTGTTGTTCTGCAATTTAGTTTTGTAGTTTCTCACCATGTTGAGTGGGTTTGATGCAGTATCAATAGAACTTTTATAGCCATCTCACTTAAGTTCACCCATCTGTTATTTGCAGCTATGTATCAAAACACTCAAGGAGGAAATGCTGGCGATAGCGATCCAAATAACACAACAGTATGTAGTTAGTTTTCTTTTGTTTTTCCCCAAAATCTTTAGTCTGATGTTTTTGATAGACCGCTTGTCTAATGCGTTCTACTTTCAGATTTTTGTTGGGGGTCTGGATGCTAATGTTACAGATGATGAATTAAAGTCAATTTTTGGTCAATTTGGGGAACTTCTTCATGTTAAAATACCTCCAGGAAAACGTTGTGGATTTGTTCAATATGCCAACAGGTATAAAACATCATATCAGCCATCCATTGTGAATACAAAACCCGTATCATTCTTTTCTTGCTTACTTCATTTTTCTCTTTGTTGTGCTTCAGGGCGACTGCAGAGCATGCACTTTCGGTACTGAATGGAACACAATTAGGTGGACAAAGCATCCGTCTTTCGTGGGGACGTAGTCCAAACAAGCAGGTTAGTTTGTTACCTGTTTTTACCTTTCTTCCGCAGTTTCTCAAATCTATACCTTTAAATGTGATATTATGAGCAGAATGATAACCTAAACTTCGTGTTCACAGCCTGATCAAGCGCAATGGAACGGTGGTGGATACTATGGATACCCTCCACAGCCACAGGGCGGCTATGAACCATATGGTTATGCAGCTCAACCTAATCAGGATCCTAATGCGTACTATGGCGGTTACACTGGCTATGGCAACTATCAACAGCAACGTCAGGTAACTCAATAACACTAACAACCAACAATATTTTTTAAGATTTACAACATGTGAATATGTTCTTACCTTTCTTGTTTTTCCAATGCAGTGAAACATCAACATCAGCTTTTTCTACCAATGTCTTGGAACAAAATGTGTCATTAAGTCTTCTTAGGACTTTTAGATTTTAAGTGTGCTCTCTCTTTTTACTAGATGTGAGTTTTATTTTGCAAATGAGTCGATCTTGGATTTGCTATGAACAAATTATTTGCTGAATGTTGAAACTTTATTCTGTTGTTTTTTATTAATATAAAAATTATCCAAAATCAATCAAAATTTAAAGAGTATATGGTCTCTGATAGAAAATATAATATAAAAGCTTTTGTGATTGATGTATAAAAAAAAAGCTTATGTGCTTATAGCCAAAACTTTTGGTAATTTACGAAATAAAAAGTAAAGTTATTCGCTTAATAAATAAAAACGCAAAAATGCAAATCCTTTTCCTCATAAGTGCAAAATTTCAAAGGTGGAAACAAATCACAAAATTTTCCACAGAATTGATGATATAAACTACACAAAATTCTCGGTGCACAAAGGAATAGACTTCAAAATGTCTATTGAGATCTTATCATTGCGTTATAAATTTGAGAGCCATTTCTTCAAGCTCAGCTACGGAAAGAGAATCTGTGTTGATTTTTCCTTCATTTCCTTCATTGTCAGAGATGATCTTTTTTGCTCTTTTGCGGTTTCTTCCTGTTTCTTCTTCTGATGATCCAGAACCATCATGGCCTTCTTCTTCTTCTTCTTCTTCTTCATCTTCTTCCTCCTCCATGGCTCCTCTCTTCCTCTTAATCTTCTGTTTCATTCTCTTTTCCCTCCTCTTTTCCCTCTCTACTTTCTTGTCCACCGCATCAGCTTTCCTCATTTCCGCTCCCACTTTCTTATAGAAATCCTTCCTTTTCTCTGCAAAATTCAAGAACCAATTTACAGATGCATTGTAAAGAACTGATTCCTTGCTAGTTTGTGTGAACAGAATAATAGGGATATTGATGTAACTTGAGGTTCATGTTCCTTTACCTTCATCAAGGGCTACTTCAGTCCCTGCTGCAGCAGCTACACTTGCTAAGGGAGCCAAAGAATTGCCTTCCTCATCAAGCACAACTCTCGACCCAAATGGTCTGTGTAGATTGATCTTCAGCTTCTTGTTTTTCAAAACCCGAGTTCCTTGCCTGAAAATTCACAGGAATTTTATAAACATAAATAAGCATGAATAGACTGGATCGAATCAATGAAAAAATAGTTAATTGATTGTGAAAACCATACATGGGAACTTCTTCTTCCTTGGTTGATTTTTCTACTTCTTTGCCCTCTCCACGTGGCTTGAGAGCAAAATCCTCTTCCTCTAAATCTTCACCAAGAAGATCTTTTTTTACTACCAGAGGTGCTTCATATTCCTGTGCATTCTCAGGCTCCATAGCGATAGAACTCTCAAAAACCCCCTTTTTCTTCGTTTTAAGGTTTGTGAATCGGATTCTGGGAGTCATTGGCAGACCAAGTGAAGCAGAAAAGTTTTCAATGGACAGCTTTGACACATCAAAAATCTCTTTATCTCTTCTTTTGTGGATGGACCTCAAATATGTAATGAAGGCTCTCTGAGCAACACCTTGAAGATCTGGATACTTGACTAACAAAGCAGCCAAGAGCCTAGAAACCTCCTGCAACTTTTGGTTGTTTGCCTGTGTGAACAAATTTTTTTTAAGTCAAATGTTTTCTACCACAGTCGAGACTAAAAGAAAATTGAGGACGGGATCTACTACCTTGATGAGTTTTACAGGCACTTTAGCTTCTTGTAATTTCTCAATCATTTTTTCCTCCGAAGGTGTCAGAAAGAGGAGCGACTTCCCTTGAGTATAGAAACGAGCTGTACGTCCAACTCGGTGAATATAAGAAGCTACATCTTCAGGACAATCCACCTATAAAATAAATACGATGACATTACACTTCAGCCTGACAAAATCATAGGGTTTTGTAATTCTGAATGTGGATTCATACCTGAACAACCCAGTCAACAGCTTTATCAAAATCAAGACCTCTAGCAAGAACATCAGTACAGAACAGAACTGATTGTCTCTCAATGAACTGAGAGTACACTCCCATCCTTTTCTCCTGACTCATTTTTCCATGAAGGCTCTTCAAAGGTATTCCAGGCCGGAGCTTGTTGAATGCTTCATGAACAAATTTGACCTGCCCAAAATTGTGATCTGTTTATCAATCTCAAGATAGAAAAAAGTAGCAGAATAAAGGTGAAACAAACTATCTCCATGTTGATTATTCAAAGAGGAAGAGAGGTAAAATAATCTAACCTGTTTCTTGGTGGAGAGAAAAACAAGAATCCTGGAATTAAGGTGAGTTTTGATGAAGCTCCATAACATGTCTAATTTCTTTTCAACTGGGACAATCATCACAGTCTGCATCAAGGAAGCTGGAGTAGCTGTAACCGCCTCTTCATGTACACTAATGTACTCAGGATCTCTCAAACTGAGTCTTGCTAGATCCTTGACTTTCTTAGTTTGGGTAGCAGAGAAAAGTAAAGTTTGTCTGCGCTTCGGCAACTGTGAGATTATAGGATCTAACTGCCCCTTGAACGCAGAATCAAGAACACGGTCGGCCTCATCTAAAATCAGAATCTGCAGCAAAAGAGAACAATAAGACTAAAGAAATTTGGCACACAGAAACATCGACAGAGAAAGGGTATACCCATTTAGTAGTGGTTCTACAATATCCTTATTGAAAATTTAACCATCTAAAATGTCTCTGCTACCTACTATCCTTTTTTTTTTCCTTGGTGTCCGCACAATGATTATAGATAAGAGTTAAAACACAAAGTGCACAAATATTCTGTTTGGGGTAGTGAAAACATGATCAATACCTGAAGATGTGAACATTCGAAATTTGGGGTCTCATCCATATGCTGAAGAAGCCTACCAGGAGCACATACCAAAATATTCATCTCATTAACTCGCTCCTTCTCAACATCAACTCCTTCACGACCACCAATTAAGAGCCCCGCACTAAACTTATGAAACTTTCCTACTTTATTCAAAACACTGAATGTTTGAGCTGCCAATTCCCTCGTTGGAGATATAATTATACATCCCACTCCATCTTCAGGACTCCATCTTTCTCTATGTAACTTCTCCAGAATCTAAAAACACACAACAATCCATTAACATCTATCAAAAACCAAACATGATCAAGAGAAAAAGCTACACAGAGCAATAAACTCTATCGAAAAATGGAAACTTTACCGGAATAACAAAAGCTAGAGTTTTGCCAGACCCAGTTCTAGCAGCACCGAGTATATCTCTTCCACATAAAGCATGAGGAATAGCAGCTCTCTGAACATCAGTCATGTCAACGTATTTCGCATCTTTCAATCCTCTTTTCGTTTTATCTGATATTGGTAACTGAGCAAACTTCCTTACACCTGCGTACCGCGAGAAAACGGTGCCGTTTTTGCCGTCTTCGAACTTTCCGATCTTCGAATCTTTAGGAAGAGGACCCAATAAAAGTGGATTTGATCCTGAATCTGGTTTCTGTGATTCGATCCACTGGTTCAGAAGATTTATCTCTTCGACTTCGTTGAGACGAATCTGCTTCCGCATTCCCTTAGTCTTCTTAATTTTTACCATCCTTGACACAAACACGAAATTAGAGCTCCAGAGATAAAAAAAAAAAAAGATTACGACTTGAGATGCTAGAATTTGCAGGAGAGAAGAAAAAAATTAGGGTTTTAAGAATTGGTAGATACACAAGAAGACGTTGAAGCAGCCAATCGAAGGGTTTAACGATGACGATGTTTTTTCTTTATTACCACCAAAAAAAAAAACTAATCTAGGCCCAATAAGATTAATAGAGGTCCAATAAATAGGCCTTTTCCATACCAAACAAAACTAATTGAGGCCCAATGGCCAAATGGGCCTTTTTCGTTTCCCTCGTCTCTCTTCTCTAGATCTCTTCTGATTCTCGAATCTCATTTTGTCTTCGTCTTCTTTTGTTGCGGACTTGCGATACATATATATACACACATACATATATACCTGCGAGTACACCGGACTGTGAATTTTCCGATAAAATTGTGTGAAATTTTGAACAGAATTGATTTGAATATGGCAATCGCGAAGAAATTGGAAGATGAGATCTCACGCTCTTCTCCTTCGTCATCATCATCGCTGAACGAGGCTCTGTTAATCTCTACTATGTGTATCATCGGCTTACAAGTCCATGTGCACATCAACGATGGCTCAGTTTTTTCTGGGATATTCTACACCATCTCTCTTGAGAACGAATTCAGTACGTTTCCTTTGGGTTTAATGAGGTTTTGATTTGGTAATTTGTGTGTTTCGTTGATGAAATTGATTCGAATTTGTGTTGGCGATCACAGAGATTTGAATAGGATCTTACGAGATTATTTTGATCATTACTTAATTGGTGGTGTGAATCATTCATTGCTTCATTGTCAGTGTTTTCGATTGTTGTAGCATTTTGATCTGTTTCTGACTTTTACTGGTTTGATTTTGGATTAGGCATTGTGTTGAAGAATGCAAAACTTACTAAGAAGGGAAGAAGTAAATCGAATGTAGCAAGTCGGAAGATTGTGGAGACACTTGTGATTTCGTCTTCTAATATTGTTCAAATTGTTGCAGAGGTTGGTCTTTTTTTCTATAGTGATTTTACTTCCTGAGATTCGTTTTAAGCCAGATTGTGTGACTTTCTTATGGTTTTTGTTTATAGGGAGTCTCGCTTTCGTCCAATGTTGCAGGCGAGATGGAGGGTGGAAATGTTGTGTCGGCCGTGGGAGTTTCTTCCGAGACTCGTTCTTGTATTGCAAATAAGTCCATAGATTCTGGCAAGAACAGAAGGGGCACTAATCGTAGAAGGTAACCTGTGTGGTTTTGTTAATAAGTTCATATCAGACAGAAAAGTTAAATGTTAAGGATTATGGATGCATCACCACTTTATGAATCTTGTGTTGCTCCTTGCACCCTCGTGTCTTTAGTTTTGTTTTGATTTACTCTATTGCTTTAGGAGGCTTTTTTAATCTCTTTAATTTATGAAATAGGAATTCTGCCAAACGTGAAAATCGTTTGGAAAATAAAGCAAGAACTTTGACATCTGGGATGGTAAACGGAACCGCAGGTGCCATAAAAGAGCCAGGGGAAAGAGACGAGGTTGGTATTTTACAGGTAGCTTTGTCTTTTCCGTATTGTGGAATTTAACGAAGTAGTTTTCCTATTGTTGTGGGAACTGGAAACCATTACAAGATGGAAGTGAAACCAGCCTCCATTTAGTAGAATGTAGAATTATGCACTTGGTTTTCGGTTTCTTTAATGGGTAGACATTAAAGTAGATGCCTTGTCAGTCAATGATTAAGATTCTTGTCATGTTGTTTACTTCAGCTTTCACATTCTGAGTCCCTTTCTTGGTTTTCACTCTCTTGATACTTTTTCCATTTCCTCTTTTGCAGATTAGACATCATCCTAGCTCACTGAACCATCAACGGTATGGATCATAGGAATACTGTTTTTGGTAGATAATTAGTGTCCTGTTAAAATCTTTATCTCTGTCTTAATATTGCCAAATATGTAACCAAACTTCTACATATATCTCAGTTTTAGCAATGTAGTTTTCTGGCTACAATAAACCTCTCTCTGTTCAGCGCTGCAGAAGTTACTTTCGATGTTTGACATATCAATTCTAAAGTTTCTGTTGGTAACTCTCTGATTCTTGTATATTCTTTTTGCTGACAGACAGGCAGGAGCCCGCAATTTGAAGCATATTAAAAAAAATACTGACGTTCATCTGAAGGATAACGTTAGTCTTGCACATAAATTGATTAATTCTGTTTTTCAAGATATTGCTCTGCAGCTGCTTATTATTATATTTACCTATTGCAGGTTGAAGCCAGAAGCTCAAGTTGTAGCTGTGAGTTCCTTTTTGGGAAAAACCTTTTTTATTTAAATTACGGAACCATGATGAACTCTTTTCTGCTTCCTGTTAACAATAAAATGTTTTCTGACTTGTGTATCATCACTTGTTATAATGACAGTGGACAACATGTCTGAACGTGTAAAGCTGATAGAACAAGAGAAAACTATGCCGGAACCTTCTAGCAATGGTTTTCATGATGCTGCAGAAAGGCCCTCGTCAACTGAAAATTCTTCATCACAGAGCACAACTCTGGATGAAAACTCAGAAGTGAGTCGGGTTGTGGTGGCATCTACAAATAGGTTACTACCTACGCAGGCAACAGACCCTGACAAAAAGGCTAAGGTAATAAAGATTTCGTATTGATTTCTCACATTCAGAATATCTGTTAGTTTGGGATGCTCCTTTCTTGGTTGTGATGGCTTGATGACTCATGCATTATTTCTTGTTTCTCGTTTTTGAAATCCAGGAGTTTAAGCTGAATCCAGGAGCTAAGACTTTTTCTCCATCTCTTGCAAAACGTCTTACATCAGCTCATGCTGGTAGGACGCCTGTTGTTGCAAATATGGGTTATGTGCCAAGTAATACTCCTATGTTACCAGTTCCTGAAGCTGTTCAACCGGAAATTGGAATCAGCCCTTTCTTGTCTCATGCATCTTCACCTTCCAAGTTTGTTCCTTACACTAATTTGGCTACTGGGAATGCTGGCGGTGGATCTCATTTTCCCCAACATGTAAGTATTCAACCACAAATGAGTCATCTTCTATTCTCTCTCTCTCTCTCTAAATATCACATTTTTAGAGGAACTTTATTCGTCTACTAGCTCCTTTTAGCTGTAAGTACCTGAATGGCTGAAATGCCAATATTGCATGACCAGATTATGAAACTGAGTATCATTTTCACACATGCGATGATATTGATATAACTTAATAGAAACAACGGTTTGTAATGTTAAAATACCCCCTGTTACTTTCTACTATCATTCTATCAATTTTGTTCACAACCGGTGATTCAAAGTGCTGTGCAATCAAGGAATCATTTTTTTGCATTTTAATCCAATTTTCTGCAGATGGTTGGACCAACTATTAACAGGGTACAGCCACATAGATTCACCACTCAGTACCAATCTGTTCAAGCCACACCGATGCTTGTACATCCCAATCCTCAGGTTGTATTTCATTAACAACACCATATTCTCACTTTGTTAAAAAAAAGAAAATTGTTTATAAGAACTGAGTTGTAGTGTATGAGTTTCTAAATGCTAATTGAATTGCATATCCAGGTGATGGTCGGGAGATCAGGACAGCTTATGTATATGCAACCAATTTCTCAGGTAGGAAGAACTCGAATGATTGTTATTTGTGCAAACAAACAATTACATTAGCCTGATTTGCTTACAAGAAACTCAAATCATCTTCCCTTTTATGTTCTTATAAGGATTTGGTTCAAAGAGCACCACATAACTCACATTTGCCTCCTCGTCCTCTCTTTGCTCCCCAACAGCTTCAATATCCAAAGCATCAAAGTAAGACATTCTTCTTTGTCCAAGTATGGTTTCATGTTAAAACCAAAGATTTTGGTTTTCACTAAAACAATTCGTTTTTTTGGTGATTCAGGTCTAATCGCAACTGGTCAACCGATGCAGCTATACGCTCCACAACCATTTGTAGCTAATGGACATCAGCCATACACAGTCATGCCTACTGATATTCCGGTTATGCAGCCACCTTTTCCCATTAACCGGGCCATACCAATTCCGGTTCCTAATGGTTTCTATGGCACAAAGTTTCAATAGGAAGTCTTGTTTTTCATCTTCATTACCTTATCACTTACCTCCCAGCTCAATAAGGCTTATATATTATAAAGTTTTTGATCCATAGTTAAAACTAAAATTTGGATTTTTTCTTTTTTCTTTTTTCTCAATGATATACAACTATTAGCTAAAGAGAACAGAAAGAGGAAGTTACTGAGCATTTATATAATGAATCACGGTAATTTTGCTGACATCTTTAAGCTAGACAATAGTTAGATTCTGTTTTCCTATTTCTGATTACAATGAGATTGAATCAGACTTTAAGCTCTTAAGAGTTTGCAAGAAGAAGTAATCTTCAGAAGATCAATGGCCTTGAGAAAAATGGGTCTCTCTCACATTCTCCTGCACAGCCTAAGACAAATCAAACATGAATCTCTGTAGAGAAAAACAAGTAAACTTGGGATATTATCATTGGTATGGTTGGGTTTAGTACCTGAAGGAGTTCTGTCATCTTGCCTCGTCCGTAACTCGTCATGGGTTTCGGCATATGTACTGGATGGATCGGGTGTATCGCCTGCAATGGCTCTATAGACAGAGCTTGCTCATCTGACTCGGGTTCAATGGACTGTGCTGTGTGATGGACTTGACCTTTATTCATTACCTGGGTGAGCAGCGTCTCAAAAGGCTTGCCATTACTCGCTCCACTCACTTGAGACCCCGTCTCGGTCTGCATGGGACTGTGGTAGATCGGGACCCGCCCACCACCATTCTGTAGATGGGGAGGCTGAAGCACGACGGGAACCACAAGATTCTTTGGTACTGTCGGATGAGCCGGCTGAATCGGGACAGGAACCAATGCTCTGGTTCTAACACCACCACCACGCTTCTCCCGGAATCTAGATTTCCGACCTCGTTTAGCTGAGCCGTCATGATGCATCACATCACTGTTTCTTCTTATCATTGGAACATCAGGAGCAACATCGTTATCAACAGATACAGGATCACAGTGACCAGGCTTGAACACCACACCTCTAAGCATGCTATCTGAATTCCCAACCTTAACCGAAAGCAAGAACCCAGCTTCAAATGTGGCCTCAATCACGCCACTAATCGGTTGTCCAACCATAGCTTCATCGTCATCCCTCTGGCGAGACTGCTGCTGACTCCTGCTAAACCGTGGAGAATGACCAAGAGACTGCTCATTCGATTCTAGCTTCAATTGTTTCCTCGGACGACCTCGTTTCCTTTTCGCCATTAAATCTCCTGAGACAGTGTGGTTGTTCTCTTCATGCCCTTCCTGCTCCATTTCTTGAAGACTTGATATCGCAGTGATTAGTGTTAAACCCTCTCTGGCTTTTGTTCCTCTGAGACAGTTAAAAGATAAAACGCAGGTTAGAATCATCAATACACACAGAACAACACCACAGATCAACACAGTAACTAGAAATTAAAATGTCCAAAACAAAATGTTAAACCTAAACGAAAACAAATTTCAAAAATCTAAACTTTTTTTTTTTTAAATAACTTTCACAATCCAAGAAAAAAATCTGAATATTAAACTGTAATTTATACACATTTTGTACTAAAAACCTGGGATTTATACAGATAAGATCCAGTAATCCAAACACGAACATGCAACCATTTCTAAACCCTTAAATCAGGACTTCTAATTACAAATTAACTCAGAATCAAACCACTAATCAACACACACACACAAACAACAAAATTAGCAATTTCTCAGTAGCCCAAGAATCGAAATCACATAAAGAACAAAAAATCTCGGATTTCAAAGAAAAAAAATCGAGTGAAGAAAAAACACACATAACAAAGTATTATTACCCAAAATAACCAAAACAAAGGAACGACCAAGGAAACAAAAGCTTTGAACTTTTTCCGTCAATTTCTGTGTAAACACACACAGAGAAGACAGAGAAAAAAAACACAGACCTGCGATTTTTCGTCTCCCTTTCTTCAGCTTTCTTCTTGTGGCATTTAACAACAAACGAGTCAAAAAGAGGCTAATGCGAAAAAAGACAAAAACATTTGAGAGCAACAAAATAAGGGCCGAAAATTTTTATTACAACAAAAAAAAAATTGTGGATTTGGTTATAACACTTCCCTGTTGTTAAATAAAGGAAAAAAGATTGCCAGCACCCTGAACTGTTGGAGAATACATGGCCACACATGGCAACTAAAATAACGGATCTTCACCTACCTGAAGTATATGTATATCATGGTCACATATTCGAATTATATGTCGTCATGTATTCTACACCACAGACATAAAATCTCGGTTAACTGGTCTAAAAACTCCGGAGTTGACCAATCGTTGACTCGTCGGAACCCAGTTTAAAACCGGGTCTGAGACTTATTGACCCGACCCGTTGACCCGCTCCACGTCCGCTCCAGAGTTGGGCACTCGTAATGGGCCAGAATTAAAACAAAAGGCCCATCTTCGTTGAAGCCCTAATCTAATTGATTTGTTTCATGAAAACAATAAGGCCCATCTTCATTAAAACATTGAATCGACACCATCTTCGTAAAAAGGTTTTACCTTAGATCTGTGGAGAACAAAAAATCCCCTTTTCACTTAGGGTTTATGAGAGATTGGAAGCGTTTGAAGCTAGAGAAGACGAATCCGGTGACATTGTTGGTTGAAATCGAGATAGAAGACGAAGTCGCGTTTTGATTCTCGTTCCAATGAGGTACATTTATGCTTGCGGTTTGATTTGGTAACTTGATTTGGTAACTTTGTAGGGTTTATTTCGACAACAAGTTGTGGTTTTTACTGGGTCTGAGCATGTGGGCAAGTGGGGATGTTGTCGGGAACTTTTTAGGGTTGATTTGGGGATTTCCTTAAGTCAAGAGAAGAAAAAATCGTGTTCACACTCTTCTTCTCAAAATGATATAGACTTGTCGAGTTTGTGTCGGCTTATGTTTGTCTTTATTCACATTGTTTATGTCTTAAAATGGCCTCTTTTCACATTGATAAATCCGTTTGTGTTTTTTTTTCTTTTTGGTATTTTGATAGTCAGAAGATTACGGTGAAGGTGAAATGTCATCATTCTGGCTGCTTCAAGACAGAGGGTGGAGTGTTAAGCTATGGTGATGGAATAGTTGATGTCTTAGAGGTGGATTCATTGACAATCTTTGAAGATGTTGTCATGCATTTGGTTGCAAAAGACAGTAATAACGTTGGGAGGATGTGGTACAAGCTACCTTACGAGGACGTGTCAGACAGGATCCCTCTGTGGGAGAATGTTGAGGAGAATAAGAAGAAGTTGGTTGTAAAACTACCTGGCAGGCTAAACCAGGATCAAACCAGTTGGCTAAACGAGCAAACCAGGCTAAAGTTGCAAGAAGACGTGTATTTAAATGAATCACCACGCAAAAAGAAATCTGAAACAAAAGTTGGTCGGGAAGGAAGAATAGTGCATTGTGGTCTATGTGGTGAAGCTGGTCATAATTCAAGAAAGTGTCCTCATGAGGTATGAAATTTTATTGTCTCATTGTCATCTGTCTACACTCTAACTCTGTTTGTGTTTGATTTTGGTCATTTCTCTTTCAATAGTCTCCAGAGAGCAGGGCAAAGAGACTGAAACAAAACGATATCCCTCAATTGGAAGCTCAAGATCAAGCTGAAATGGAAGCAGCTTTTGCAGCAATGGAACAGGCACCTCCTGAGACTCAACCTGAAGTGCAAGATGTTTCTTCATCCGCACCTCAGATTAGCTTTATCAATAGGATACTATTTGGATGAGTGGATGGTATGTAGAGGGTGTAGGAATTTTTTGGTCATGTGATTTGGTCATGTATTTGATCATGTCTTACACTTAATCGGCTTGTTTTGGTCATGTCTTAGGTGATGTTAACTTGTTTTGGTATTGTGTTTTGGTCTTGTATTTGGTGATGTTAACACTTAATCGGCTTGGTTTTGGACACATTTTAGCTTGTTTTTGGTCTTTTTTTTTTTTTGTCAAACGCTTGTTTTTGGTCATGTAATCAAACGCTTCATTACAACAGCTTCATTACCAAACTACAAATTCATTACCAAACTACAATTTCATTACCAAACTACAAATTCATTACCAAACAAGAACAAGACAAACGAACTACTCAAGCTTGATGCAAATACTCTACTTAAGACAATAACTCAACTACAGACAATTACTCCAATGGCACATACAAGTAAACCCGTCAAACCCGTGATGATTACTCGTTGGCGATGCACAATCTTTTCCAGCTCCTCAATCTTAGCCTTTGTCTTCAATCCCATATCAATTGACTCTTTCTCTTCATCGTCGGAATCAATTGATGATATCTCCCCTTTAACCTTCTCCAAATGGTCACGGAGCTCCTTGATTGTCACTGTTAGTTCATCGATCATCTTGTTCTTCGCATTAATTTCAGCTTCAACTTCTATGAACCCGCTTTTCGGCAATCTCTTCAGTTCTTCTTCTTCAAACCACCTAAAGAACTTGCAATGAGCATTACTTCCTTCCTTGTACAACTGACAGCCAAAGAACCGCCGATTTGGATTTTTCTCCGTTTTGGATTTGTAGATCTTAGCAGGCAATCCACAATCACACACTTTCCGGCCTCCATCTAAACTCCTAAAGGTACTAGAAGATCCCGAGCTTAATTCCATCTTCTCACCTCCGTCGAACTCCTTTTTCACGATGAAGAAAATAAACAAGAACCCTAAAATCGATTTTTCAGATTTTGGGGTAAAATGTGGTGGAGCAGATGTCGTGGAGCAGGTAAACGAAGATGGGCCTTTTGTTTTAATTTTGGCCCATTAAGAAGGCCCAACTCTATTATCTGAAGCGGGTCGTGGAGCAGGTAAACGTGTCGGGTCAAAAAGTCTCGGACCCGGTTTTAAACTGGGTTCCGACGAGTCAACGATTGGTCAACCCCGGAGTTTTTAGACCAGTTAACCGAGATTTTATGTCTGTGGTGTAGAATACATGACGACATATAATTCGAATATGTGGCCATGATATACATATACTTCAGGTAGGTGAAGGTCCGTTATTTTAGTTGCCATGTGTGGCCATGTATTCTCCAACAGTTCAGGGTGCTGGCAATCTTTTTTCCTTAAATAAAATTAATGGTTTGTTTTTGTTTGGGCTTTTAGATAAATATCTTTGCTTAAGATATTATTTTTGCTTTTAGCCTTGTGTGTTCTAATCTTTACTTTACAGTTACTTCAATTTTTTGAGAGGTCACGTGAAAAACACGTGTAGGTTATGCAAAGATCTTCGATATTATCAGGCCATTAACGAGAAGTAATATAATCCCTCCTTTTTGGATTATTAGCCCAAATAATTAAAAGATAACTGCTTTAAGCCCATTCAATCTTGGACTTATTTTTGCAAAAAGTATTGGGTAATTACAAAAATGTACCAACTTGGTTTACAAACAAATTCCGGTTTAACTTCAGATTCGTCGATCATTAAATTATATATTCTGATTCCAATTGCAAAATTATTGTTTACTCCTGTTCTTGGATGCGTTACTCTCATTTCTTGATCCATCAAATTATCGGTTTCTTCTAACTTTTTTTCTATTCCGTTTTTCAACTTTCATATCGTTTCACAATCATATTTTCTTCTTTTGCAAGTAAAGGAAGAGTAAGAAAATTAGAACAATCGAAATATGTATTATCATTGCAAAAGTCAACAACAAGAAAACCAAAGCTTTTAAAAACTCCTAATATTGTTCACACACACAAACCACACCAATTATTCGCATAGATAGTAGAACTAACGAACGATCCAATTCGGATTCGATTTAGAAACCGTGGATCTTGATCTGATCCTTCTTAGCAATCCCAGTTTGGACCAAGAACTGAGACACTTTCTTCCTTTGATCACCTTGAAGCTGAATGATCTTGCCTAGCTCCTTGTCCTGCACAACGTTACCGTTGCAGCAAAAGTCTTTCTTCAAATCCTTGAGAATCCTCTCGTAGCTATACTCTTTCTTAAGTCCTTGAACAGTAGTCAAGCTCTTTTTCCCATTCCTTTGCTGGATTCGGATGTGAATGTTCTCTTTAGCTCCAGGTGCATCTGAATCTTTGGCTTCTGCAAAAGGATCGAATGCTGATGGAATCTGAATGTCTAGCTCAACCATGTAAACTTGGTTACTTTGAACTAAGAAACTGCTCTTAAGCTGTTTGATTCTCTCTGCAAAAAAACAAATTGAGAAAACCAAGTTTAGTCACTAATCAACAAAAGATAAACCAAAACAAAAATTTGACCCAAAAAAAAAAAAAAAACAGAACATAACTATCATAATTGAAGAACCAAGTATATTATAGTGTTTATCAACATTAAACAATCAAGAACAGAGCATAACTTAACCAGATTACTAAATAGATCATGATATTTGATAGAACATACACATGAACAGAAATTACTCGATATAAGATATGAGATCAAATGACCCTAGTAGATCAATTACATGACCATGAATCTAATCTCAATCCAAACCATAACAATCACGTAAATCTAATCAGAAATCAAAACCATAAAAACAAGAAAACAGAACGCAGAATCAAACCAATCTGACTCATAAAACGAAACAACGAAGAACGGAATGAATCAAAACCCTAATCGAATCAAAAAATCCAGAACAATCAATCAAAGATCAAATCTACGATGAATCTACGAAAGAGAGAAGAAATCGTACCTGAAGGTGTTGTTGAGGAAGAAGACGATTGAGTCTTTAGATTTTTGGTAATTCAATTGATGAAGAAGAAAGCTAAAGGAAGGTTTTGTATTTATAGGGGATTTGTTTTTACCATAAATCTTCTTTTTATGGCGGTTAATTCTTAGCCGTAGATCTATTATTTTGTAGACACGTGTATGGATAAGTACGGCTTAGTGACCAAGTTGGGGAAGGTTTCACGTTTAGAATAATTGGTGGGAGACGCAGAGAATAATTACTCTCTTTGCGTATAATGGACGCGCAACTCTCAAATCCGTGTAGGCCCACTAAGAGCATTTATTAAAAGAAAAAATAATAAAACGGTCGTGTAATAAGAGCCACAAGTGGGTCCAATATCAACACTTGCGAGAAGAATCTCGAAGTCAATAGCTTCATAAATATGATTTCGGTCGTATTATTCGATATCTGTGGTTGCCTGACAAAAGAAGAGACCGTCTTATTGAAAATTGTTCGATACTTTTATTTTTAGACGAAAATTGTGATATAAACAACACCTTTGCACCATGGAACAGCAAACTCACTCACTCATTGCTCAAGCTTCGAATGATATACGAAAGCATACCACCATGATTATAGTATGCCAATTCCACCTGATCAATTCCAATCAACCAAGTCAGACCATTAAATATATGGTGACAATCTAATCTAGACAAAACTCTTTTGTGATTACCTCTGTGTCTAACCGCAAAGTGCAGACAAAAGATTTAGCAGTGTCAGTGGTCACAGTTATGTCCTGGCCTGGTTTTATCTCATTGACATTGCTAGGAAGGTGGATTGTGTAGCGTTCATGGCCAGTTAGTCCAAGGGTTTCTGCATCCTCACCGGACTTGAAACACAGAGGAACAATCCCTATACTAGCCAAGTTGCTGCGGTGGACTCTATTAAAGCTCTTGGCAATGATAGCTTTCACTCCCTAGTTATTGTTAAAATCTCTTGGGTTACATTGAACATAACTAAGCCGTCGAAAAGACTATTAATTGTATGATACTAATAATGTATGGTTACCAGAAGCAATGGACCCTTTGCAGCCCAATCCCGAGAGCTACCACTTCCATACCCTTCACCAGCTAGTATGATCGTATCCTGTCCAGCGGTCTTGTATCTCTGCAGATATGATAAATGAACATAAGTGATGGTTTAAGGTTTTGGAGTTTGTAATACAAATCTTACTCACACTTGCTGCATCATAAATGCAAATTTTCTCTCCTGTAGGAATGTGAACTGTCTTGGGGCCAACTTCTCCATTTAAGAGCTTGTTTACAATATGCGTACTGGCAAAGGTGCCGCGTTTCATTACCTCATGGTTTCCTCGACGACTTCCATATGAATTGAAATCATACCGACACATCGAATACCGTTCTATGAGAAACTTTGCAGCAGGACTATCCTCGTGGATAGTTCCTGCTGGGGAAATGCTGTTTGTGGTTATGTTGTCTCCAAAGTTCAATAAGCAATAAGCATCCTTCACTTCACGGGGACCAGGTGGATTTGTGGACATATTCTTGAAAAAAGGAGGTTCATGAATGTATGTTGAGTTTGAATCCCAAGAATAGAGTGCTGAATTTAATGACACAGAATTTCTCTTTGTCATTGTCTTGTAAGTGCTCATGAACATGCTTTGTAACACCATATTTTGAAAAGCCTATTCAAAAGTACCAGTAAAGTCACAAGGAGCGTTAAGAGAAGTTATAGAGAAAATGTGACAGACATATATATGCTCTATGTACCTTAACTTCTTCACTGCTTGGCCATATGTCCCTTAAATACACATTTTTTCCATCTTTGTTTGTTCCCATTGGCTCTTTCTCAAAGTCGATGTTAACCTGTAAGCATAAGATACGTCCAAGAAAGAAAGAAACAAGCTCGACACAAATCAATACATTAGATAAATTTCAAAGAAAATGCCCCATGAGACCCCTTGTTCATTGAGATGACTAAGTACAAACCGTTCCAGAAAGCGCGTAAGCAACAACTAGTTGTGGCGAAGTAATATATCTCGCTCTTGTTAATCCATTAGAACTATAATAGCCTCGCCTACTAGAGAACACAACAGCCGCAATTATATCTGTGGTAGGAAGGAGAACAAAGGGAGCCAGTAAAGTTGAGGTTCACCCATACTTGTTGTTTGCTAGAAGAAAAGAATTGGAGAGAATTGAGCATAGAATGATGGTCAAAAAGATTCTCATATCTTATAAAATGTGAAATACAATGGACAGTAATATGGTCTTGTATAGAGCGTAGAATGCGATATCTACGTATATTCGTAAGGGAAATAGTTAGTTTTTTTTGTTGTAGAGGAATAAGTTGCTACCATTTTCTGAAATAGCAGATGCAATTGGCTTATCAAGTAAGTCATCAGATCCCCAAATGCTTCCGTTGAATCCTTGTTTCGCCAAGTACATTTTAATCCCACTGCAAAGAATTTAAGAAAGTAAGTTAAGGATGATACCAAAGATCCAATAAATTATACAACATAAACTTAAGTGACATTAATATACCTTTCACGCAAACATTCCTCGACTACTCCAGAAGCAGGAGTTACAATTGTCCTAATCCATGGTTTTACCTACAATTACTGTCCCATTATGTGACGCATATAACCTTATCTAGATGACCAAATTCAAAAGCAGAAGGAGAAACTCACTTCCAGGCCAAGGTCATAAGCCTTTTTAGCAACAAGTGCAGCACCAACCATGTCACTAGGGCTTGATATAGCACAATCACTTGTAATGGTCGCCAAAACAACACTACCGTGTTTAAGCTCAGCAGGTTCTCCGTCGTACGAGAACTTAACAATTTTATCTTGTTGTTCATTTGGGACTGCAAACCCCTTGTAAAAAATAAGGAGACTATGTCACAACTAACTTCTTTGGTTCGTTATAGTAAACCAAATTTGCGTCGTACCTTTATTCCAAGAGGATTGTCAAGGCATGCCTTCCAGTCAACCTTCATGTCTTTCAAGAAACTTTGGTCGCAAGACCTGTTGAACAAAACATGAAAAACATTACAAAAAATTATATGTAAGAATTAGGTGATGATTTATAAAAGTAAAAGCATATACCGTTTTGGACCAGAAATACATGGTTCAACATCTCCCAAATCCAATTTCAGACAGGATGTATATGCTCTTTCTTCCTGGGGCTGCAAGACAAGTCCATTTGGGTTCGAGATATTGACTAAATTGAAAGTATCAATAATGAAACGAAAAATTATATCCTTACCTCATTGTAGTCAACAAACATCTTGTTTGCACGCAAGTATGATTCTGTCATTGTCACCTAAACAAGCACCACAAGATAGATAGATATATCCAAACCAGCAGAGGCATATTATTATGTAGATAAGACGCACACCCGGAGAAATAAGATACTAAATGAAACCACATAACTTAAAATACAACTCACAGTTTCATTACTTCTTCCCTTCAATTTGAGGTACTCAAGTGTAACATGGTCAACAGGGAAGAAGCACATTGTTGCCTCATATTCCGTGGACATGTTTGCAATCGCTGCTCTAGCATTCAGTGACAGCCTACTCATCCCCTCTCCTTCATATTGAAAAAATAAAACAATTTATGTACACCGAAAACTTAATTACACTATCTCAAAGATTAAATTCTATTAATCTCACCATAAAATTCAACAATATTGCCAAAAACACCATGCTTCCTCAACATTTGAGTCACGGTTCGAACCAAATCAGTAATAGTAACACCAACCCGCAACTTTCCAGCCAGCTTAAATCCAACCACACTAGGTAGTACCACGCTAATGGGCTGTCAGTTCTTTAAGTATCAAATCAGAGGCAAAATCCAAAGTTACCATATGCATTTATTACACAAATGTAGCCTCACCTGACCAAGTATTGCTGCTTCTGCCTCAATTTCTCCTACTTCCCACCCAGCAACTCCTAACCCACCAATCATTGTTGTGTTAAAAAATGTACCTACAACACTGTCAGGGTAGAGAAATCCATCCGAGTTAAAAGCAACACTTCCTAGGTATTCTAAGTCTACCTGCAGGTTGAAAATGGAAATATCATCATATCAAACTTACATTATCCGAATTTTAGACTAGAACAACAGAAACATTATGTACCTGATGATCATTACGAGACCTCGGAGAAGCCATCACCATGTTGTAAAAGGCAGATGATCCCCACTTAAGGAATATAAACCTTTCAGAATTGATGTCAGATTCTAGCTGCATACCTTTCCGCAGGTCTCTTTTTTGTCTTGCAACATGAACTTGGACGGAGTGATCAAACACAAGATCAACAGGAACCTGTAGGCAGAAATGAACAGAAATGTTTAACGATTGGAGGATAATAACATATGGGAAACTGCTGTAGATTTGACACACCACAGCATCAAAGTGATGAAACAGTTGACTAACCCGTGGATTGATCTTGTTAGGATCACTACCAAGACTCTTCATGGCATCCCTCATAGCAGCAAGATCAACTATAACTGATACTCCAGTAAAATCCTGGCCAAAAAAGGTACTATTAAGTAATGTAAATGAACAATGTTTTCATAAGTTGAGAAAATGAATAATTCTGCCAAATACCTGTAGAATGACACGGGCAGGTTTGAAGGGGATCTCAACTTTATTAACAGATGTATTCTCCCAATCTATTATTTTCTCAACATCATCCTTTGTGATGTGAAAGTTGTCACAATTACGAATAGCTGATTCCAGCAGTATCCGGACAGAGTACGGTAAGCTATCTGCAACATCAAGAAATAACTGTTATATATTCACGAGAAAAACACGACAACAAACAGATTTGGTAACAACAAATGCTTCTGAGTAACCCTACCGATTCTTGGATCGTTTAAAGCAGGTAAAGAGTAGAAGTTTCCATATTCTCCACCATCAGGATTGTGAAGCGTTGTTAAGCTATCCTTGTAGGCATGTTCAGAAGCTAAAATTTTCATAGCAAAACTATTAAACAAAAATTGATACAAATCAAAAACTGAAAACACTTCAACCACATTTAAGCAAATCAAGTGAATGTCAAACATGTAAAATAAATCAGACAAGTGAACAAGGATTCTTATAAAGCGAGCTAAGAGAAACGACTTTAGAAACAAAGATAAACCATCAAGTATTACCAATGGTAGCGAATTTCCGTTCAGATTTCTCTAATATCGGAGCAGCAATCCGGGTTTGCGCCCGGAGGCTCGCATGCAACCGCCAATTAGCGCCATGACTCCACCGAGTGGAGGCAGAGCACACTCGAAACAACCAGAGAGCCGAGAAGTTCCTCACGGATCGGTTTGAGTTACTAAGAAGCGATGCGGCAGACGAGATCTTCGATAGGTAAAAAGCAAATTGCACGCCAGAAGAGGAATACCTATACATGGCGAAAAATCAAAACGGCATCGGTGATCAGAATACTCCAAAAGGAGGAGAAGAAGGATCAATCAAAACCCTAAAACATAGTTGAAGGAACAGATAGAGAAACTTGTGTTATTTTTTCTACCAAGAAGGAAAAACACATTACAAATTGAGGAGGCCACGTCTGGCAAGAAAACATTCCTTTTTTGACCGTTGACAAATAAATTTAAAATGGATTAACGAAATTTTGAAAAAAAACAGAACAAATCAACGACTCTTGTTCGTATAAGTGATGGATGTGTTTCACAGCCATTTTCAAATGCGTACCTTTAGGGTCTTCACTCCTCAGCAACCATAATTATCTAAGGTTCATGTTACTTGACACAGTAGGTGGGTCTCGTGAGTATGCAAGCTACAAAAATAGAATCTAGGAAGATTGAAACAAGAACGAATGAGGATTTCGATCCATTTGCTTCCTCTTGTTTCACACCTCCAATCATCGACATAAAAAGAGGGATATCAATTGATTCAGACCATGAATCAACAGATAATGACGTGATGGGTAAATCAAACTCGACAATTCTCATTTGAAGATATATCTAAATACTACCACAAGCTTTACAAGCATCAAAAAATGAACAAGAGAAATAAAGCTGCTATAAGGCTTTCTTGTCAATCTTAGTATAGAATCATGTAACTAGCCAAAGCTTTAGTTTAATGGACTCTCAACTTTACCTTTTACACAGCAAAGGGAAACAACAGGTGAACCACTGAAAGCAACAGCTGAAAGCAACAGCTGAAAGATTTGAAGGCCACCAACCCCAGTTCCTGCGGATTCAAGCTGCATCATAAATTTGGACAGAGTGATCAAAGGCAAGACCAATAAGGAGAATTGCTATGGAATAAGCAATTTAATCCTACTTAAGTCATAAATTATCCCCAACTGTGAAAGATTCGTCACATCACAGCAGCACAGCGAATGAAGTTGTTTTGTACACCAGTGGATCACTCCCAAGACTCTTCATTGCAATCCCTCATAGAAACAAGATCAAATTTAGCCATGAACCAAAAAAACAGAAAACAAAATAAAAGTACTATTCAGAACATATCAAGAAAAGGTATAACAGAAATTAGCATAAATGAGAAAGAAAGGACGCTACCAACTGCCTTTAAAATAATCATTGGCATCTTTGGATGGGATCTCAACTTTCGTAAGACAATCGATATACCAATCCAAAACACAAAGACCATAGCTCTGATGAATCTGCGAAAAGCTGAGGACGAAAGACAAAGCAGAGGAAACAATTTCTTATTTAGGCACTCAAACAGCTTATATCCTCAAGGGGACACACATTGTTTTCCCATCCAGATGGGTATAAAAGGATACACACTACTTTACATAAAACCGCAATGAAACTACCAAATTGGAAATTTATTTAAGTTGATTGCATCTATGAACTCTACTGAGGATTTGGGGGACGACTGTTAGCAGCAGAGACTCTAGAGCCCCACTCCAAAAGTTCCTTGCTTGTATCGTCTTTGTGCACTATCACTTCAATAAAACAAAAGCTATCTTTTTCCTCATTGGTTGCCGTGTTGATCGCTTTCACAAGCTCCTCCTCGCATCTCACCTTGGCAGTCCAGCATTTTCCTTCTCCATTGTGGATGGCATCGACAAAAGCTGTATAGTTCCAGTTCTTTATGACATTGTAAGGACCATCGTGAATCTCCACCTCAATTGAGTAGCCTCCGTTGTTGATGAGGAAGATTATGGTCTTTTGCCCACACCGTATCATCGTAGATACATCCTGCGCAGTTACCTGAAAACTACCATCTCCAATACAAGCAATGACACGCCTGTTTGGCATGGCTTGAGCATAGCCTAGAGTAGCACCCACTGACCAACCAATTGATCCGTACTGCATTTGGAATTCGTAACCGCATCCTTCAGGGAGCTTCAGCTTCTGACAATTGAACCAGGAATCTCCCGTCTCAGCAAGTACAGCAGTTTCAGAAGAGAGCATATTTTGAATGTGTTGGAACAGCACATTAACCCTCAAAGGCTCATTCGGGTTATCTCTCAAAGGTTTTCCTTCTGGGACAAAGATCCTGTGGTAGTTCTCATAAGAAGTGTTGTTGTGCTTAATTCGTTTAGCCAACTCGCTAAGAAAATCCTTCATAAGAACACACCCAAACGCAGGTCCGTTTCCAATAGTAACCCGATCAGGCTGCACAATGATCGCTTTCTCCTTCTTGAGAAGCAGAGAGTACCCAACAGAACTGTAATCGTTAAAAATCGGACCTGCAAACAAATAAGCATCCGCAGACTCAACGATTTCAGCACAGAAAGCTGTACTCACAGCTCCCCAATACGTCCCTATAAAATGCTTGTGATGCTCAGGTACTTGTCCTTTAGCAGAAGGCATCACAGCAAGACCATAACCAGAAGCATCAGCAAGCTCAACAAAAGCATCTGCGGCTTTCGCAACCCGCATTTTCGGCCCACCAACAAGAACTGGCTTCACAGCTTTGTTCAAGAATTCAGCAGCTGCCTCTACCGCCGCATCTATACCCATCTGATTACTCACCTTCGGCGTAAGCATGAACGGAACAGGATGACGACTAAAAGTCGGAAGAGGAATCGCCGGCAAATTACAGCTGATACTGATATAAACAGGTTTGCTTTCTTTCAAAGCAGTTGAAATCGCAGTATCGATGAGTTCATGAGCTTCTTCCAAGTTATTAATCACAGCTTGATAACAAGTAACAGCTTGAAAACACCTAAGCTCTTGAGTGAAATCAGGTAAACCAATTGTATGATGAAGAATCCTATTGGTACCGTAATCGTTGGAGTTTGGACCACCGACGATGCAAATCAAAGGCAGATTCTCACTATAAGCACCGGCGATCGCATTCAGAACACTCAATCCACCGACGGTAAACGTAACGACGCACGCACCAACGCCGCGAGATCTAGCGTAACCGTCAGCAGCGTATCCGGCGTTAAGCTCGTTACAGCAACCGATCAGCTTAAGGCTTGGTTCAGCGATGAGGTGATCGAGAAGCGTTAGGTTGAAATCACCAGGAACTGAGAAGACGTCGGTGACTCCGATTTCGACTAACCGTCTTGCTAGGTAACGGCCAAGAGTCGCGTCGCAGGGGCTGACGGTGATGGAGTGAAGTGGACTTGAGTTTTGAACGGTGGAGACTCCGCCGTTTGGAGGACCGCCGATATCGTCGTGGGTCGGGTTACAAGCGTCGATGGATCCGATCTTAGTGTCCATAATCGTTGCTCGTTTCACTTGAGAAAATTTGAGAGAGAAAAAAGTACAGTTTGAAATATGAGATTAGTAGTAAGGTGAGTGAAACCGCCACTTAATTATAGAGACGTAAAACAACGGTGGCTAAAGTAATCAAACGGTGGTATGAAACAGGCGGCTAAGATTTTTAGCCGCAGATATTTATGTGTCTGTGAGATTAGACACGTGTAATTGTATAATTGGAGAACAAGTTAGAAGGTTCACGTTTAGAATAGTCGGTGTGGGAGGCAGAGAATAATTGCTCTCATGCACAGCCGGGCAGCCCACAAGTGGGTCGAACCCGATTTTGTTAGAAGATCCGACCCGATTTTGGGAATATAATAAAGTCACGTGACCATGAAAAGAGACTCGTGTCAATACCACGTGACCCCAAAAAAAAAACTCCCGCTCTTTGTGACTTTTCAAAACCCTAAAGAGACTCAGAATTTCCCCCCTAACGCCGATTTTCCCGCCGCTCTCACTCGATTACAAAAATCCTTAGATCCCCAATCTTCAATCACATATCTTCAACAATCTCTCTCTATATCCTCAGATTCTTCAATCTCTTTCACCAAGCATAACCAAATCGTAACCATGAAGGATATCTCTAAATCTCCGGCGAGAAGAAGCGACGGATACCACCGCTACTTAAAACCAGGAGCGCTTGCTCAGATCCGAAACTCGAGAATCAACGCTAGATCTACAACGACGACTACGACAACATCTCTCGTATCTCGATCCTCCCTCTCGCAACTACTAGATCCGATTTCACCATCTCAGAACTCTGTTGATGAAGCAGCGGCGGCGCGAAATCTGACGATAGATCAGGTACCACATCTTCTAAGAAAGATCTACGGTCCTTATAGTTATCAGAGGAAGAAATTAGCTGCTGCTAGATCTGTATCGTCGATGATGATGATGAATATCAATCCTCCTATAAATTCAGTTCTTGTTGAACCCAGTAGTGTGTTGAGTAGTGATGTTATTGCTCATTGAGTTAAACTAGTTTCTACCAAATCTGTAATCTGATGATACAATTGGTGTAAAATGTTCAATACTCTCATAAGACTCACTATATGAATCATTAAATTTTCAATAAATTGTGTGTTTCAATCATTCAATTGATGGTTTTACCTTTGTTAATTTAATGTTTGTGATGATGATTTGATATCTTCGAATTTGGATTTGATCATTTGGGATTATTAATGATGTATATCTAAATCTAAATGTTGTAGCTGTTTTGGAAGATTAGTCAATACTTAATGATTCAAAGAGTAATGATATTATTCCTCCAGAGACCAAATATATTTTATTCAATGTTATCTTCTTGTTAGATTGTAATTGATACATAGGCTATGTTACCTTCAGTCATTTCTTTGTTTTGCTTAGTCTAAACATCTAAATGCTAGAAGTTTTGTTGTTCTCTCTGTTTGTTGTGATGGATAACAATGTTTGCCTTCTGCTATTGTCTCAGCCCATATTGTTACCGAAGTTTGTCGATAGGTGTAAATGAATTTCGTTTGCTTGGTGGTATTACCGCATATGGAACTCTGGTCTTGGTTTACTTAGTCTCTGTCATATCAATGTTATAAGTTTGTCTATATGCTTCCGTTGTTTGTTCTAATGGGTAATGATGGTTATCTGTGTTGCCTTTAGCTAATGTCTTAGCCCATATGGTTGAACTTGAATCCTGATCCAAGTGAACCTCTTTACTCTGTGATTATGCAATTGTCATAAATTAAAGGATTGTATCATACACCACTTGCTTCTTGTCAACAATCCTTGACTGGTCAAGCAATGGAAGAGAGTAATCATTCAAAAGCTGATGCTGATCATCATCATAAGAAATTAAGAATGTGTATCACTTAATGATTTGGAACTGATCATAGTAGTTCTCAGCTACGGATGGATTCTGTAGAATATTCGAAGTTAGGAACATGATGCTGAAGAAAATCGTGAGTAGACAAAGATTGTGTAGGAATCATCGAACTAGTTCATGTTGATGAATCTATTAGATTTAACCGGTGAAATCAATTGGCACAGAAGCATTAAATCAACAAAACTTGCAGCAACGTAAAATTGAATTGTTGTTGATACACATTGTTACATCCCCAAGTACATATGCAAGAGACCATTCATAACTTTCACTTTCTAACCTTCAAAGTTTTCTAAATCTTTCATTGTCAAATCCTTCATCTTTTCTACTTTTTTTCAATGCATCAAGGACTATAATTAGTCCACATGGGCATTGATAAACTAACCTCAAAACTAAAATAGAGGTAAAAGAGAGAACCACTTTTTAGAAAGGAGTGGAATTGTTCTCGTATCACGAGATTACATCAACGTGAATCGTCCAAACTACTAGATTCCAAGAAAACCAACCAAATCACAAATTTATTCTTTTAAAATAATGAAACATGATGTGAAATAAAAAACAAAACAAAAATATGATGTGAAAACACAAACATGACCCATTTATCTTAGTAGGTTTTGAAGTAAACCTAACCGAGCCCAATCTGAAGCTACCAAACCACAGTAAATAGAACCAAACCGACGTAAATTCAAAGCTATAAACTCAAACCGAATCATAAATTATTTTTTTTATTTTGATATTTTTCTCACTGAATCAAATCTAAAAACCTAAACCCAAATTGCGAAATCTGAAAACATGGAAATAATAATAATGATGTGAAATGCGGACTCCTTATGGTCGATCAATTTTGTTGTTGTAAAACTCTTTGAACTATGATGTGACATCACCTTGACATATGCTAATGTCACCACTTTATGTCCCGAAAAAATAACACCACCGATTAATAAAAAGTTATGGGCTCCCACATCATAAAAACTAAAAACTAAATATGGTGGTGAAAAAAACAATTATTACACACTACACATTATCAAAATTTGGCCACCAAAAAATGTAATCAAACAACACCGACAAAACAACATAGTTTAAATAGTAGAGTCGGTAACAACAACAAAATCCTATGTATATTTAGCCCCAAATTAATCACCATTTGACAGTAGCTCAGTTTGGCAACGGTGAAGGTTAAAGAACGAACTAATGTTTACTTGTTTAGTAACGATTTTAAAAATAATAAGCATCTCAATATTTGGATTATTTCAAGTAAAGTATTAATTAATCCAAAGCCATGATGATTCATATGAAGCCCACCAAGACGAAGCCAAATGTCGATCTCTCTCGCTACCAGCAACCACCGCACTTGTGCCTCGTCCCTGTCACTTCCACTACCAGATTTTTGGTGCCACTCGAAATAAATTTATCAAATCACTAATCTTTTTTTACATCACTTTTCTAACTTTAATAATCGCTATAAAAGTTACCAAAATGGTAAATCCTATTATACAAAGTTACATACAATCCGGAGACGGTGAAAAAAAAAACTTGATTATGTGAATCTAGGATGCTTAATCCACCATATTCACATTTGCAAGTTTTTCATGTCTTATCATTTTTATATGGAAAATCACTTCTTCCTTTTTTTTCCACGCGGTTTTAAAAGATTAATCATCAAAAGAGTAGAAATTAAAGGAACTTTTTTGTATCTATTATAATTTGTTTTTATATGTCTTGTGACCACAAAACAGATAACCTACATATTTATTTTATATATAAAGAGATGGATAATCTAACTGAGAATGAAGTCAACAATTTTTATAGCTTTCTTCCTCTCCAAAACCACACAAAATCAAGAAAAGACATTTGAGTTTAAGATCCAGTTAACCAGAGATGAGAGCCAACAACAACAACAACACAAGAGAAGAAGAGAGAAGCAGTTCTTCAAAGCAGCAGCAACCACAAGCTCCTATGTCTTTGAAGATCATAGATTCATGTCTCAGACTAAGTGTGGTTCCTCTCAGTGTTGCAACCATCTGGTTAACTGTCACTAACCATGAATCCAACCCTGACTATGGCAATTTAGACTACAACTCCATCATGGGTCTCAAGTAAACTTACTCTTTACTTTCTTTCAATTTTTGAGTAAGTATTTTATAATTTATTAATTGATTAGTTATTTGTAGGTATATGGTTGGTGTGAGTGCCATATCTGCTATTTATGCTCTGCTCTCTACTATCTCTTCATGGGTCACATGTTTAGTCTCCAAAGCTTGGCTCTTCTTTGTTCCTGACCAGGTTTATTTTTAAGTCTACTCAATCTTTAATCAAAATCTAGTATGCAAATTCTTATGTAAGTGAATATATAATTTTTTTTTTTGTTGTGAAGGTTTTAGCTTATGTGATGACAACATCAGTAGCAGGAGCAACAGAGATAGTGTATTTACTTAACAAAGGAGACAAAATAGTGACATGGAGTGAAATGTGTTCTTCTTATCCACATTATTGTTCAAAACTCACAATTGCTTTAGGACTTCATGTCTTTGTTCTTTTCTTTTTCTTATTTCTCTCTGTAATTTCTGCCTATAGAGCTTTTAGTCCCTTTGATCCTCCTTGTGATTCTCAAACCAATATTGATGCTTAAATTAGTCAGTTTTGGAGTCAACTTTATCAAAATGTTGCAGAAATTATGAGTGTTGTAACTTTCTTCTCGAATTAATACGATTTCTTTTTGTTTTCTCCCACTAATTGTTGTTGTAGGCACCAGTCCCATTGGTTAAGTACTATCAATTTATTTTATGTTTTTGAGGACCATCAAATTATTATTTTAATAATAATAGGTATATCTCAAAACAAGTCATAAATTCAATTTCACCAAAAATTGTTGTTTAATAAAATATTTAACACAATTTTACATAATTTTAAAATTAATTTTGTATAAAATTTTGAATAATATATAGAAAGAGCGTTAAATATTTTTGTTGGACCGGCATAAAAGCTTATTTTGCGGAAAAACAAGATTTTTACCTGATTTTACCTACATACTAAATCTTACCATTTATGTAAAGTTATTATCAGTTTATAATAAGTTAGAAATCTTTACATGGATTAAAAGGTGTGCAAAATTTTAAAAAATAATAAATACAAAAGCATTGAATTAGTGTTATCAACAAAATTGTGTACTGTAAACTATAAAAAATTTCTGTGTAATCTATAAAAAAAATCAAATTGTAGTCAACAGAAGTAAATATCAAATGACTAATCTATTAAATTAATAAGGTGACAACCAACAAATATTGTACTTAACATAGTAAAAAATCTTACATTTCTGTTAGTGAGTAAAATCATATAAGGAAAATCAAAAGAAAAAATATGAATCTCGTGTTCCTATACGACTTTAAAACCCGCACATCGGACGGATCCTAATCTAGTTTCATTATAAAAAATGGCTAGTTTTGCAAATTACCCTTATATCTTTACACAACAATAGCGAGTAAAAGTTCAAAAAAACACATAAGATCTAATTAGTTATCGTTCAAGAGAGATTAGGGTCTGTTCCTTTTGGTTCATACCACACCAACCATGACGGACAGCTACAGGCATGAACTTATCTCAACCTCAACTAACGAAACTGATCGAGTCATTAATCGTTGCTTTCTCCGGAAGAAGACCACACAAGAAACCATTCATCTCAAAGCTTTTCAGGTCGAAGAATCAGATTCGTACTCTTTCACCGTATCCTATCAACCAAATCTCCGGATTCGTCATGAAAATCTCGATGGACACGAACTTAAGACCACTCTTGAACGTCCTCGCGATCGTGCACTTCAACTCGAAGACAGCATCCCAAAACAGTTTCTTGTCTCTCAAGAAACATGTCTCGAACACGTCATGATCATCTTGTCGGCGATGTATCTCCCGCATTCGATTCAAGAACGTCTTGTCCGTTATATCTCAACAGAATCCGTTAAGTTCAGCAACCGCCGCCGCGGTAGAGGAGGAGGTTTGAAGGTAGAAGTTGACGTTAAAGTCGACGTGGAACAATGGGTGAGGATTGATTGTTGTTGTAAACAAAAGGGTACTTGTCTGGTTCCGCCGATGGATTGTCCCATTTGCTTAACGGACTTATCTAGTGCGGTGAGTCGTATGGAGTTATCATGTTCCCATGTTTTTCATAGAGACTGTGTTATGACGTGGCTGAAAATGAAGCCTTCTTGCCCTATCTGCCGAACCAAACCTCTTGGCGAAACTGTTTTTATCTATTAATCTGTATGTGGGTTTGTAAACTTTTATATTGGGCTTGAATATGTAATTTGGGCTTTTATCTAATCCTTTAAGGCCCATTTATTTGCCTTAAATCGGAATCAATAAGAATTCTTCTTTTCTTTGTCTCCTCGACCAAAATTCTCATCAAAATCAAACAAGAACCAAAGAGACGAAATATTCTCAGGTAAAATTTACACTTTCTACTTGTGAAATCCAATCCATTTTTCATTCAATTTGCTTAAGAAATCTGAGTAATCCTCGTTTTCTGAATGAATTTGAGTTACTGGATCGTATAATTTTGCTATGAAATGTTCAAAATTTCAATAGAATTAGACCGCAAAGAGATTCGAGATTTTGTGAACTCTAGTTCTGTTTAGGCTTTAAGTTATGTTATGTAGGCATCATCATCATCATCAAGTGATAGTCTTTTCACAGGTCAAAGCTTGGTGCTGGGTTTTCTTCTATCTCTCTCATGGAGACGAGCTCTGACTTGTCTTCCAGGGTTCGTCTTAACATTGGTAAATTTCTTCCATTTATATTTCTCTTGCAATCCCATTACTCATCACTTAGTTTAATATTTAAAATCTTGTGAAAAATCAATCCTTTTTGATCCAAAATGTTTAAATGTGAACCAATTAGTACTATTGATTAAGTAAAAGTGGTTGCTAAATCGTGTGAGAAAGAATGTGCTTGGTTATCTTATATTCGTTATGTTTCTGGATTCTGTAATTGAGATGGTGCATTCTCAATTTCAGTAAAGTTTCTCTAGAAAAATGAAAACTTTGGGGCTTAGGTTTCACTTGTAAGAACAGTGTTATTTTCTCCTCTTAGATATTTCTGTGGTTCCTCAACCATCTTCAGAGTAGAGTAAAACCTTTTTTCTTTCACGAGACTTAGCTCCTCAAAAAAAATGTTGTGTTCATGCAGGTGGAAAGAAATTTTGTACGACCATTGATACTTTGACTATCCGTGAGCCAGACTCAATGCTCGCAGCGATGTTTAGTGGTCGACATGCAATGTGCCAGGAATCCAAGAAGGTAATTGTTGCATTCTGTGTTACTTGATTGCAATCCAATATTTTGTTTCAGGATGATGCTAGTTCAGAATCTGCATATGAATAGGCTTCAAGTGTAATAGTTGGTCCTTGTATCGAGTAGCCTTCATTTAACGATAATTTAAAATTTAGTTATGTAGAGAGACTGTGATTTTAGCTACCCACTTTAAGATTTGCTTCAAAATATAAGAATCGAGTCAACGTATATTTGAAGCCATGTACCAGAAATCTGTTACACATAACAATATATACACTGACCTTTATGTGTATGAGTAGTATGCTCTTTTCATTTAGCAGCACCTTAGGATGGCATAGCTTTAAAGTTTAGGGCGAGCTTCAAACGAGGAAAGGCTTATGCTGTATGCATATGTGCACTTGTGACGAAGTATATCCACTAAATTAGTGATTTTATTGTTGCAGGGATATGTATTCATAGACAGGGATGGAAAGCACTTCCGTCATATTCTAAATTGGTTGCGTGATGGCGTTGCTCCAAGTTTGTCAGATCCTGATTGTTCTGAACTTTTGCGCGAAGCAGACTACTATCAGCTTCTTGTAAGCTAAGCTTTTCTCTTAACTTACTATTCTCTTCTTCTTTTTTTCATTTTAGGTGGTAACTGGACTTTACCTTTTGTGGAGTACAGATCTAATTTTTGCTGGAGATGTAATACATTTGCATTCTCTTCCTATTTCAGGGGCTGAAAGATGGAATAAAAGATTCGAGAAGAGAAGTTGGTGAAGTAGAAGCTGAATTAACGCGTATAGATATCATCAAATGTATACAATCCGAAAGAGTCAGGTTCCGAGGAGTTAATCTTTCTGGAATCGATCTTTCTAAACTGGTACTATTTCTTAATCTCAGATTCTTGTAGGTTACCATGCTATTAGCTGATTTGTACTCACTGCATTTCTGATCCCCAAAACAGTTGTTTCGAAGATCATTTGTGGGTTGGATAGAACATATAGGCTAACTGATTCTTGTTGTTTTAACCTGGAGTTTAAAAAGAACTTGCAGTTTCATTTCTAAGAACAGATTTATTTTATTTTTTCAATTGGATTACACATCTGCTGTCTTAGTGAGTGTCTTTATTTTTTTTCAACATCAAGGGATTAGTAAACCTATCCGGGAAGAAGAGCTTCGTCTTAGTCAGTGTCTAGAAGTAACCATTTCGTATTTCTTGTCTGAATGTTTATCTTTGAATAATGTAGGATCTATCCCTTGTGGATTTCAGCTATGCTTGTCTCAGGAATGTGTTTTTCTCTCGTACAAATCTTCAATGTGCCAAATTTCGGGTAAATATGTTGTATCACTATCACCTTTTTTTGTGCTATGTGAGAAGAATATATCATCATATCATGGGAGTTTCCTTGAACATTTGCTTAATCATATCTACTGAATTACTAAATGCTCAAACAGGATGCTGATGCTGAAGGCTCCATCTTTCACAATGCTATTTTGCGCGAGTAAGGAATTTGTCAAATCCCATTACATATGATCAACTGTACTTGGTAACATTTCCTGAAAGATTTAAATTATTTCCTTCCTATTAAAGGTGTGAGTTTACCAGTGCAAATCTTAGAGGAGCGTTGTTAGCTGGTACAAATCTTCAGAGTGCAAATTTACAAGGTGCATATAAGCCAAATCTTGCTTGTTAGCAGACTGCCATGAAATTATTTTACACATGAACATAATTTGACTAATATGTTCCTACTTGTGTACTGTAGATGCCTGCTTAGTGGACTGCAGCTTCTGTGGTGCAGATCTCCGCACTGCACACTTGCAGGTGCCTTAAGTAGTCTGTAGAATTATAGTTTTAGCTTAGACTTTTCATCATGACAGTGGTTATCAATTGCCGGTTGAATCCACCTTTCAATCCCACTTATCCAGAAGGTATTTATGAGCTTAGCGTGATTCGGTGATAATGTTAGATTCTCTTTCTTTCCTATCAGAATGCGGACCTTACAAATGCCAACTTAGAAGGAGCAAATCTAGAAGGTGCAAATTTGAAGGTACGCAATTCCTTTTATTGACAATTAATATTCAGCCTTAATTAGATTTGTGCTGAGTGTAGTCTGGACGATTTGTGATGAGACAGTTAAGTGATATGTGGCTCTTAACTTAGTGTTTTAGTTACGGTTTTAATTGGATCATACATATATCTGGTATAGGGTGCAAAATTGAGTAATGCCAACTTCAAAGGAGCAAACCTTCAACGAGCTTACTTGAGGCATGTGAATCTGCGAGAAGCGGTAAGTCCAAAACCAATACTTGGGTATTGAAAAACATACATGCACAGATTGATATTGGCCAGTAATTGGTTTAATCTTTTTTTTTCTACTTTTTCTTTAAGTTTCTGAGTAGATGATACTTAAATGGTGAATCCTTGTGAATATGTTTATGTAACAGCATTTGGAAGGAGCAAACCTCGGTGGCGCTAATATGACTGGTGCTATTCGATAAACTCCATTTGTTCAGACTGACTGTAAGTCTCGTCGTCTTATAAATGATTTGTAACTGCTTTTGGCAAAACGTGAATGTAGTGGCCGTATCTCAAAGCTTCTTGTTGTTGAAATAACAAAAATATTCTTTCTTCAAGATTATCTATAAGGCATTTTTTCTAATATTGTTATCTTTCTCTATTTCTGTTGTTTGTAAACGAAAATAGCTCTGGCAAAGATGATGTAAACTATAAGGTTTTTCTTTGAGTGTGTCTAAGCACGAATTTGATTTGAATTTTACTTAAAAGTTAAAACAAATGTGAGGAGAAATATACTTGCACCTTTTTTTTATTATCATGCAACTATGCAAGTCTGTTAATATCATGTTTTTTTTTTTTAATATCACGTGTACTTCGTAACTAATCCCAAATGCTTGACTGAGGGAGTAAAAGAAAAAAACATTAAAAAAAATAGTAGACCAAAAATCTACTGAAACTCTTTCTATCCTTTCACATTTGGAGTCGATTCTTGTCTTTTAAAAAAAAAAAAAATTAACAGAATATTGAAACTCTTCAATTCCGTGCTTACCAAAAAAAAAAAAAACTCTTCAATTCCGTTAAAACTTGCCTTTGAGGTACTAGTAGCCTACTCTGGGCGGGAATGCATAGATCTGGCTTAAAACACCTTCTTTTTGTTTCTTGGCTTTCGCTTCTTCTTCTTCTGCTTCTTTTCCTCATCATCGTATCTTTTAATCACTGGTGGAATCGAGGCTTAAAGCTCTGAATTGAGAAGAAATGTGGAAAAAAAATACCATATTCGGTATTAGTTAGGACCAATTAATGAGAAACAGGCCCGGCCCACCCATAAAGCTAACAAAGCATCTGGTTTAGGCCACAAAATAAAGAAACTTTTCAGGGCCACATTTCTAAAACAGTTGCTTAGGCTAGTGGTTAGAGCATCATTAACGGTAGTTCCTTAGCAAAAATCTTAGGTAATAACTAATAAAAATTAAATGATAAATCACTATTAAAGTTAACAAAAGTTAACAAAATGTCTCTTAGTTAAGGAACGTTTGTTAACTTTAATAGTGATTTATCATTTAATTTTTATTAGTTATTACCTAAGATTTTTGCTAAGGAACTACCGTTAATGATGCTCTTATGTATCTAAATAGTTAGGGAACTGGTGCCTAGTTCGAATCCCTTCTTTTACAGTTTTGTTTTTTTTTTTTGTTTTTTACAGACTTACAGTTTATATTTTTGTTTTATAATTTAGTTAAAATTATTATAATAACTTTTACATTATTCAATAACTTTTCTAATGTTCTTTTAATATATTTTAGCATTTTAATAATAAAAATTTTAACAATAGTTTTTATAAAGAAAATTATATCATTTAACTATGCTTTAGGCCACAAAAATCCTAGGACCGGGCCTGATGAGAAATATACATTATATTGATGATATACTTACAAGCAAGAGAGGATATGCTTAGTTTCACAAAATGGTCTTTAGACTTGAGATGGCGGGTGAACCCTTCAAAGCTTTGGGTAGCAAAATCGCATGTGCATGAACTGCATACAAACAAGTCTGGAGTATGTATGGACTCTGGTCTTATCGTCGTCTCCTGAGGATCCATTTCATCTGTGGGGGAAAACATTGGATATGAGCATCATTGTAGCCGGAGGCTTATTAACTTTTTGCCAGTCAAACATTTCCAGCAAAACGTTCGCGGGATCTGTTCATCAAGTACAAGGATTTAAAAACCCTAATTTGTAATTATAGACTATATAGAACTAAGAGATAAGAAGAAGATCTTACAAGGGATCTCTCTAAGAAGGACAAGGACATTGATCAAAATGATTGGATTCTTCTGTATACCGAGTTTGCACTTTTCCAAGTTTGCGAGGCTGGATCTCATTCTTTCCTGCCAGAGGAGATGGAGATGAAGAAGATACTTGTGGAAACCCTAGAAACTCATACTCAGCCGTCTCTGAAGCTCAAGTCTATCCATGCTATCTTCCACATAAGCTTCAGGGCCAACAGTTGCCACTACACATCGGTAGTAAGGAGAACTACAGATGGGATTTCAGGACATATGTTCCTCGAAGTCGATAGTTTCTCTCGAGAAGTTCCTTCATGAGAGGATCAAAGTTGGTGGTAAAGCCAGTGCACTCAGTGGCTCGTGAGAAGAACAAGATCACTGTCACTTCTGATGGTTTATGTCGTTTAGCTATCCTATGGTTTCTAATCCACCTCAACTGTATCTATGATCTTGTATTTGTGTTCTATCGTATCAAACAGCTTGGTTGAAAAAACCAATACTTTAACATTTTGTTTGTGTCACCATCTCTTCTTTTTCTTCTTCTTCCCTTTTCTTTCTCGGTTTCTCACTGTTGATTTGTTTGTTGTCTCCATCTTTCTCTTCTTCTGGCTGCGGACTTCTTCTTATTCTTGTTTTGCATGGACAAGCTCCAAGATCAAGATAAAGTACTCTAATACCATGTTGAAATTATTTCTTCTTCTTGCACAGAACACAACAAGTGTTTCACTTGTTGCAAGAGAAAGAGAACATAATTAAAGTTGTTATATTTAGTAACTAACTTCAACAAACAAACAAAAACAGAGAAGATATATGGACGAGAGAGAGAGAGAGAGAAGCAGAGTATAAAAGTAGGACTGAAACTTGTTTTATTTACTCGACAACTTTTTACATTATGACAACATACACATATAGATTTCAAACATTATGAAAGGCTTCCACTGCTAGGTGTTTGCAATGCATTGGTATTTACACTTTTGCTGATGGATACATTGTGTTATACTTTACTTAGTCTCTGAGGACAACAGAACAAGGAAATTAAGCAGCCAAAGGCAAGGGCAGTGAAACGAAGACAAATATGGCAAACAAAAAAAAGAAGGATGATAAACACTGACTAATAATAATAATCTTGTTCAAAGAACATAACAATAGAGAGAGAACAAATTAGCCATGAAAGAAACAGATTGTCAAACGGACTAGTTAAGTTGCACTAAACTCGGAGAGTTTATGAAAGGCTTACCTAGGAGAACCTGGAAAAGAAAAAGTAACAGCTTCCCACGGTAGACATTTTGGAAGAGTTTTACTCAAAAGCGTCATCATCATCATCCGGGAGTGGCTGACTTGCCGCCGCAATGAGATCAGCCTCGTTCTGCTGCTGAGCAGCATGGTCGATGTGAACCTCTGGTGGAGCAAGAGCAGGTGACTCGACAAAGTGAAGGTTTTGGTCGCCAGCCAGTTTTCTAGCAAGGTACAAGAATGGCTTCTCGAAATTGTAGTTGCTCTTGGCAGATATCTCGTAATACTGGAGATTCTTCTTCCTGTGGAATGTTACTTGCTTGGCCTTGACTTGCCTGTTCTTCACATCAACTTTATTCCCACAAAGAACAATTGGGATGTTTTCACAGACCCTGCAAATATTTGACAACATGAATTAGCAATTTGCCACATCCAAACAATTGCTATCTTCTGTGGAGAGTTCATCATACCTGCAAAGATCACGGTGCCATGTTGGAACATTCTTGTATGTCAGACGTGCTGTGACATCAAACATGATGATGGCACATTGCCCATGGATACTGTAACAAAACAAAACACATATTTTGTATCAAACAAAGTATTTATTGCAACAATAACCTTATAAATTAGCTTATCAAGTTGCTAGCTAGCGATCATGCTATTGAGCTTTAAATCAAAATCTGTACTTACTAGTAACCATCCCTCAGACCACCAAATTTCTCTTGGCCAGCAGTATCCCAACAGTAAAAACGGATCTTGCCACAGTTAGTGAAGAAATCAAGAGGATGAACCTCAACACCAATAGTGGCTGCAAGAAAACAAAAAGACATCAGAATCGGTGAAGTCGTGAATAAAAGGTTTCAAGGAGGGGCTTGCTTGCAAGAACTTACGTTCATACTTCTTCTCAAACTCTCCAGTAAGATGTCTCTTTACAAATGTGGTTTTCCCTGTGAAACGAACAAAATATATAAGAGGGTTATCCAAATGCATTCAACCACTAAAACCATCTCAGAATTGAACTGAGACAGATCAAAATTACTCATAAAAACATATTTGAAGCATGGATAAGTAATTAAAAAAAAAATAAGTAACATCACAAAGACACAAACTAAGTCAAAGCAGCAAACTCAAGAATCGTATTTCTAATCATAGCCAAATGCAAACTCTAACATTAAGCTCTAGACAGACAAACTGAGTCAAAGCAGCAGCAAACTGTAGAATCAAGATTCTAATCAAAATTGAACATTAATCATCAAGATTACTTATAGAAACGCATTTCAAGCATGGAAAAGTAACAAAATCAAGCTCTTAAGCAGGTAAACTATATCAAAGCAATTTGATCCAAAATCGAACAAATCAATCATCTGTATATATTTCTAAAACCAAGATATAGCTGAAGGTGGGATTTGGTACCTGTGCCTCCATCACCAACGATGACGAGCTTGAAGCTTGGGTAATCCACGGTTTGCTGGTTAGGTAATGCCTGTCAATTATGTCAAAAATAACGATGAACAAAAAAATCAACAGACCACACGAGATCGAATAGAATGTTAAACTCTAGAAATCAAAGTAGGATCGAGAGATAAGTAAATAAAGGCAAAGACGGAGACATAATCTTACCATCGGCGAAAGTGAAGCTACGCGAAGAGACGAAAGCGGCGAGTGAGAGTGAGCTCTCTTATACAACAGAGTCGTGAGGCTTTCTTTGGCCAATGACGCAATTACTCAAACCCGGTAATCCAGAACCGGATCTAATTGTTTTTTTTTTTGGATTTGTTTCGGTTTGATTTCTTTTGGATTTTTTTTTACATTTATCGATTTCAAAAATGCATACAATTGTTTGTAATTTGGATTGGTTGTGTCATTACATTATGCTTTTGGTCGAAACTGAAATCACAGCCAAATGCTATTTTAAGGTCATTTCATTACAAATAATCACATTTTTTGTTACTTGGGTCCTGACAAACTCCAATTAGTTTAGTCTTGGACTCTTGGCTGATATAAAACAATATTGGCTGATATAAATTTAGAAAATTACTTGTATGTAATGTCATTTTCTAACTTGAAGGTGGGTTGGTTTTGATATAATTAAAGACTAGAAGAACACCCGAAACAAGTCATATTTTGAGACTGCCAAACGAACTCTTGTAAGGTAGATAGAATTCACAAGGTCAATCATCCCACAGCTTCTTAGGGGATTGGAAAATACTTATTACTACTGATGTATGTCTAAAGGAGAGTAGAGAAACTCATTAATAAAACAAAATAAAGAGAAGGCAGAAAAGCTATGTCTGAAGATTTCATATTGAATGACTTGATGAGCTATTTCTTGGTTCCGAAGATTCCATATCAAAAACTTGATCAGCTTTCCCGTAGTATCGGTTAATGAACGCCGATACTAGCACCACATGATGATGCTTCCCAGTCAAAATGCTCTTAAGCTTTACATTACAATTAAACCACATTTTTGTTCTTTGGTTTTGATATAAGACTAGAAGTCTAGAACACCCCAAACGAGTTCATGATACGGATATTTTGAGACTGCCTAACACACTCTTAGATAGAAGATTCACATGGTCTATCATTAAACAGAAAATAACTATCAAAGCAGAAAAGCTATTCCGGGTTCTGAAGATTCTATATCAAAGGACTTGATGAGCTTTACCGTAGTATCGGTTAATATACGCCGTCTACAAAATGTTAAAATAAAGAAGGAAAATTGATTACAAAAACCTCTATTTCTTTAAGGTTTTTTTTTTTTGGTAATAAACCCTTAAATCGCTATTTTTTATAATTTTACTTTTTATTTTTAGAAAATGCAGGTCATGAAGTCTAAATGACTGCGTCTAGGTATTTTCATGAAAGTAGTGAAGACTTTGAAGGAGTTTTAAAAACAATACATGAACGTATCCATAATCACAAAATTAAGTAAGGAATCAAATAGCATTGAATAGTTAACAGAAGATTAACAACAAAATATAAGAAAAGAAAAAAATGAATGATACAAATACAATCAAAGATCAAAAACCTCTGTTCTTTGTTAGTTCTTGATCTTGGTCCGTAGATTCTTTTCAGACATTTTTTCTACCTTATTCCCTGCATGTTTTCCCAGGAGCAATTATTGTTATTATTGTTGTTGTGTTGGTCGTTTGTTGCGGTTGGGAGGGCTGTAGAATCAGCAGGGAATAGTGAAGCTAATTGATGAACATCAAGAACGAGATTGTCGTCAGTGACAACAGATGATTGTCCGTTAGAGATCTCTCCACTATCACTTCCCCAATCAAGAAGCTTAGCTATGTCCTCTTGCATTGTGTTCATTTGAAGAGACTCTTCTTCCTTTGATTTCATATCTGCGTTTCAGTCAAAAACATTTAAAATTTTCCCTATAGAGAAGTGTATAGTTTAGATTTGAAGTGTTTTGAGTGGTTTAAATTTTACCTTGTACGGAACATAAGTTGTCAGAAGAATCATAATGTCCGAAACTAACCGAGAAGAAGTTGTCGTTGTTGTTTGGAGGAGAAGCTGTGAGTTGTCTTCGTTTTGGAGGCCGCCCTCTGCCTCCAGAGGCTAAAGCTTCGGCTTCTTCAAGGACATCCTCTAAGAGGCTGCAGCTACTACTTCTTCTATGAACACCGGAACTGTTATTAAGGTTATGATTTTGTCTCTCATTGTCTGTGAAGTTGTTGACATTATTGAAGGCATCTATTTGGGGAATTTGGTTTGAAGGGAGCTGCTCTTGTTTCATGGAGTAAACCGGGTTGGTATGAAAGGAGGTGGAAGAAGGAGTGTAATGGGAGTGAAGAAAGCTTGGGGAAGAAGTTGCTGTAGGGTAAGAAGAAGAAGAAGGGTTTAAAGAGAAGGAAGGAGAGGAAGAGTAATTGTTATTAGTGTTGTGGTAAGAAACTGTTTGAGTGGTTGGGGAAGGGTAAGGCAATGTTAGAAAGGAAGTGTAGGAGTCTCTTGAAACAGGGGAAAATGGAGCGGTTGAGACGCGGTTGATGCAATTGAGAGGAGTGTTAGCATTGTTGTAACGTTTAGCGAAGAGCGATGAAGGCGGTTGAAGGAGAGGTGGAGGTCTAGGGAAGGTGAAATTTGCGTTATTGTTATTGATTTGGGAACGTGGGAGGGCGAAGAGAGGAAGAGTCGGGTATTGATTGTTGCGAGGCGAAGATAAAGGAGAGGAAAGTGGCGGTGGAGGCGGTGTGGAAGAGAGTTGAGAAGGAGTTTGGGGTGTGTTTGGAGTGTGAGGGCTAAGTGGATGGAGGAGATTAGCGGTTGTGGTATGAAAAGTGAAGGATGATGAGGAGTTTGCGTTTGCGGATACTGGTGTTGGAGATGGAAGAGGGGAGGATGATGGTGTGTTTGGTTGTGAAGATTGTGGTTGAAAATACATTTGTTGATGATGATGTTGTTGTTGTTGATGATGATGATGATGATGGTGGTTATGTTGTTGTTGTTGTTGATGATGATGATGTTGTGGATGTGGATGGAGTTGATGGTTAGGGATAATATCTGGAGGATAAAGAGGAAGTCCTTGGCGTTGAAGGCGTTTCAACCTCGTGTTCCAATAGTTCTTGATCTCGTTGTCTGTTCTTCCCGGCAACTAATTTATGAAAAATTTGCAAAAAGATTAGTTAACGTGTAACGCAGGTAACACCAAGTATATATGTATACGTTGTTATACCTGAGCAGCCATGCGAGCCCATTTGTTACCAAGCTGAGCATGAAGCTGAATGATGAGACGTTCTTCATCGCCGGTGAAAGAGCCTTTTTTGAGATTGGGCCGGAGGTGATTGGCCCATCGAAGACGGCAGCTTTTGCCGCAACGAGCCAAACCTGTGTTTTTCTGAACGGCGTTCCAGTTTCCTTCACCGTTCTCTCTAACGTACGCAGCAAGTATCTCATCTTCCGCCGCCGTCCATGGACCTTTCTTCAATATCACTCCTCCGTCTGATAAGTGATTGGTGGATCCACCGTCTTTCCCTGCTCCGCCTCCTCCGTATAGGATCATAGCTTCTTCCCTCGCCGAATCAAGAAGAGAAAGAAACAAAAAACAGAGTTTGTGTTTATTAAAGTTTAATTTTTTTGTATTTTGGCTTATGATTGGGGGGATTTGAGAAAGGTAGGACCCACAGAGTGATTTTCACCCCCCAAGTTCGGCCATCGGAAAATATTTGTTGTTTTGTTTTTTTTACTGTGACAAATGATGACAAAGAGGGGAAAACAGAGAAGAGGTAACTTAGGTAATTTACGGTGTAAAATTACAACGGAAAAAACAAGAAATAAAAGAGATATAAATAAAAAGAGGAGAGAGAGAAGAAATTGACAGTGTTTGTTTCTCTGGACACAACACAAGTCTTCTTAAGACAACTCACAATATCGGTTGGTTTTTTCTTAATTACGAATGATTTTTTATCTTCTATTTTAAGTAATGACATTTGTAACGCGCTTATTTTAATATCATATTCAACGTGAACTATCTTCTCTTACAGTTTTACTACATGTAAAGAGGATTTGATCATACGACTTCTTTTTTACATAATTAGCCTTTCAAAATTGTAGAAACAACTTATTTTTACAAGACTCTTCAAATGTTTTCAACCTTCAAATAACATTTTTCCCCCATTAAACAATTGTCAGCTGGATAGATTGGCATAGTTGACAAACATTATCAGATTCTACCTAAAAATTCTCTTAGTTTTTGGTTTAACTCAGTGCAACGCATCCATTTTGAGAAGTTTCGATATCAACCCATGAATCAAACATGAGATTGATTTGTGAATAATGTTTTGTGCTCATCCTACAATTATTCATGTTACTTTGCGTTTTAAACATTGAGGAGGTGCATGAGGAATCAAATTGATTTTGTGGTAAAATGCTCTTTTGTCTCATTTATCATAAATGCCTTATGGAGTTCTTTTCTTATCTTTGACCAAACACAGAAACACTTGTTGTGTGACCTTTCCTTCTTTCAAAGCAAATGACGCGAGCCACTTGTGTGTGCCATAACTTGAAGACTCGGCCAAACAACCTTCACTATGGTCATATGATATAATACTAATTCATATATTATATAACAAATAGAGAAGTGTAGGAAGACCAAAGACTTCAAGGAATCAGGTGAATCAAGAACTTGATTGGTTTGATGAAACATCTACGTTAGGAACATAGTTAGCTAACCGGGGTGTCGATATCAATAAACATTCTCCAAATTTCAACTCTTAGACCAACTATACTGATGACTGATAACTCTAAACTAGCCTGAACCTCGAAATAAAACTAACCACATCAAAAAAAATAAAGAAGCCTAGGTAAAAGATTTTGATTCACATGTAGACTCACCCGGTTAAACAGCTCTTGGCCTTATGTTTGTTTCCGTTTTGATACCACAGCGATCAATTACATATCCAGCCCGCTTTATCGCCTGGTGTAATGATGAGCACAGAAAACAGAAAAGGCTGTGGCGGTATCATTTGCTTGGGTTTTCTTCATGGCTGTTTTTTTAGAGCTGTAGCGCCAAATCAGGCTGTTGGGAATCGACACGAACACCAGAAGATTGTTTTGCAGGAGAATCAGGCGAATGAACTCCGATGTTCAAATCTGGTGGGAGATTGAGATTCTCTTGTCTCTGCTTCAACTGGACTTGTGGAGTAATGCCTCCTCGCCATGGAGACTGGACATGGAATCTTGTGAAATCAGAAGTTGGAGCAGCCATCTGAGGAAAAACAATCGGTCGGTTGTTCTGAAATGGTTGTGATCCTACATTCATCATCCCGTGAACAGGCTGGTGCACAAATGTCTGGAAAGGGAAACCATTCCTCTGAGGATGGAACTGTGTCTCTTCGGGGTCTCTCGGTTTGAAAGCTTGTTGGTGAAGTTGTTCCCTTGACGGATTATACAAGGACTCCGCAGAAATGTGGCTGCTCCTCGGATTAGTAGGATTTTCAAATGTTTGTTTATTATTCCCTCCAGCTCCTATCGACATCCATGCTCTTGCAGCTGCTACAGAAGCATTGCTCGAATCTTCACTTCTTGCGGATTGTGGTGACGAGACATTAGGTGGAGCATCAGCTTTAGGATGATTATAAGTGGAGTTGTGCTGTGTTCTAGCCTTCTCATTGAAGTTTCTCATTAACTGTGCTTGTTCACCGTGGCTTTGACTCTGTTGTCTCATGGGTTGTTGTGAACTTGTTGCTGTGCGACTCATTTGATTAGCAAAATCAGTAGATAGATCAAACATTCTGTTGTTCACACCGGGAGAGTCTTTGCCATTACTCAATCCACCAGGGAAGATCCCGTTAGTAGTCATCTGATGCTTGTAATGTTCAGAATCTTTAGAAGTCATGTTCCTCATCATGTCACTTGATGACCTGTATGATGCCACTGTATCTGATTTTCCAAAGCTACGGTTTTCCGAAACACAAGTAGAACCGGAATTGGATTGTTCTGCTGGTGGGGGTAAATTCAGTTCTACTTGCTGAGGCATCCTATTTTGAGACTTGACAAAATCTAGCCGAGAAGGATTTCGATATTCATGCTGGCTCATAGATTTTAGGTTTCCTACTTGAGTAGCAACAAAAGAAGGACTCCCTTCTGACGAAGCCCCAATAGATGTTGGAAATGGGAATGCACGGTTTCCATCTCGAACGGGTCTGTTACCCTGTTGTTCCTTTACGGGCAGAGGAGTCTTAAACAGTGTCTCATTCTTCTTTGCAGCAGCATTTGATTTTGGCTTTGAAAAGACAGATGCTTCTTTAGGTGGTTCTTTAGGTGTGTAGGTTTCAAATAGAAGTACTGGCGTAGGAAGCGGCTCGTATTCTCCAACCCATCCCCGACCAAACTTAAAGTCTGCAGGAAGTGCTTGCTCAATTCGCTGAGAAGCTATTTTCCATGCAACGGGTCCAAGAGTAGCAGCAAAACGTGCAAGGCTCCTACCATACGCATGTTCTGCATGAAGCCCTACCTGATGATACGGGAAAATGATTTAGTCAAGAAGGTTAAGCGCAATCATAAAATGACAATGAAACTTTGAGCATAATAATTATCACTTACAGCAACAAACTGCTTGGTTTCACTCTCAAATGTTGTGAATATGGACTCCGATCTATCGGCCTGCTGATCAGAATTTTCATAAGTTGCACGGCGGTCTTCCTCAACAACCAACTTCCTCCCACACTTACCAACAAGACCCTTTCCTAGGAAAAGTGAAACAAAATGGAAATATATCAAGAAAAGAGAAGAGGTGGGTGGAAGAAAAAACCATTATTCTTACATCTACAACTAATTGAAGTATGTGTTTCCTTCATACCGGATGACAAGTCTTCTGCTTTCTCCAGATTGTCTACTAAGGATGTATTTCCCTCAAAAAACACATCCGTACAGCTGTGCTTTTCATGTCCGCCAGTTTGAGTTGAAACAGGTTCATTTTGAGAAGCTCCTCCACTTGCAAGGTTTGCACCAAAGGAGAAATCAGAACCAACGGGCTCTAGTCCATTTCGACTGAATGGCTGTCTCACTTGCTTCTTCACAGAGCTGACAGGTTTCACCTTTTCATCTGTTTTAAGCTCTTTCTCAGCCCGTTTAATCTTAATTCTTGCCTTGTCAAACTTCCTCTTCCCCATTTCCTGAATAGTCCTTGCCTGGTAGGAAAAAAAACGAGTTTCAAATGCCGGGGAGCAGAAAATAAAATCCAATTTGCAAAGAAAGAAGATTGGTGAGAAAATAAAAAATATGATTTACCTGTTTATAGTACACAGTGTCTGAGGAATTGTATTGCATCGCATTTGAGCAAATCAATAAGACATCGCTCTGCAGTCAAAAAACACAGTTCCAAAAACAGCTTAGCAAAGGAAGTCAAGCAACAGTATAGGTGATGGATTTAATTCATGATCCTAGCAAATACACTAGAGCAGTATTATCACAAACCAATTATTCTACAAAGAAGCCATATCTTGAAAAGCTACAAAATCAGTTCATCATGTAAAAGCTCTCCATGTAAACTTGAGAAACAAACTTATCACCCACCTCAAGCTCTTCCAATGTAGAATATGATCCATTTGCAAGCTTCTTCCTCACTGTGGAAAAATCCATGGGATGCTCTATCATCTCATGATAATCAGGAAGCTGCAAAATATAATCCCAAAACATATAATCAAATAAAACAACTAAAAACTCCAATTGCTGAACAGATTGGTCAGAGATAACTGCAGTGAATCCACCATTACCTCTTCAGGATCAACCGGTTCTGCATACACACCATAGATGTCTTTCCTGTTTGCAAAAAGAACTCCCAAGTAAGATAAGATAAACAATGTGATCACGCAGTCGCACACAAGAGAGAAAGAAAAGGATTTTGTGAGTAGTGTACTTCTGAAGTTTGTCAAGAATCAACTCCAAAGACTTCTTGTCAAGGATAGGTGTTGTTTCTGAAGAATGATCACACTGAGTCCCTAATACAACAAGAACGATAACCAAATCAAACTGAGAGATGAGATTAGTCATGATAATCAAAGCTCAAAAACCAAGTTAGCATCATACCAGAAGCACTCCTCCTCTTCCTTTCCTGACAAATTCACAAGAGAACTCATATCAGAAACCTCAAAAATGTACTTGAATCAAAACCTAATGCCAAACGAAAAAAAGACAGAAGTGATTGACAGAGATAGTGTGAGACAACAACCACAACAACACACATCAAGAATTTAGAGAGAGAGAGAGAAAGAGTAAAAGATGAGGGTAACGGAGAGAGAAAGGTGGGAAGTGTGATCAGATTCTGTGGGAAGAGAGAGAGTGAGAGACAGCATAAGTTAGTTTTTTTTGACAGTTGACCCCGACAGTTTAATTATCTCCCAATTCCCCAACACTCTCATTGCAAGCAAAGAACCACACACACAGAGACAGAGACAGAGAAACCTATAAAGTTCATCACTTTCTAGGGTTTCCGTACAATACCTTATCATCATCATCTTCCTCAGTATCAGCTTGATCTTCTTCTTCCTCTTCCACATCGTAATCCTTCTCTTCTTCTTCATCTTCGTCGTCGTGACGGTTAATTTTCCTCTTCTTCACTTGCCTCTTCTCACTCACATCTTCCTCCTCCTCCTCCT